TCTGCTGTACCCAATGGTGAATGTAGACAAGCTGAAAAGGAGAACTCAAGGCAGTGTTTTGAGAGGAAGGTGACAGCCTTCACCTGCAAGCCTCCATCTTGCCTTTGCTGGCAATTCCAGCTGGACTTGCTGTTGTCATGCCTGAGTTTGGCCTCCCCTGCTGCAACAATGCCTTTTCTGTGCAGGTAAAAGGGGCACCTGGCACTGAGCTGTGGGCCAGGGGACCTGTTCATGGTTCTTGTTCCTGTCTTGTGCACTGGCTTCAGATGATCTCACTGTGTGGTCTGCCTCACACAGGTCTTGCTTAAATCTCACTGCTGGGTGGGAGGGCTGGACTAAGACTCAAATCCACTCTCAGGAAGCAGGCAGGAGTGTGATTCCCCCGGGACTGAGCCTGCCTGAAATGCTGCACCAGGTTGCTGAGCACACTGGCACAGGCTCTGGAAGTGCTTCAGTGCACCCACAAGTGATCACACATCCTCTCAGCCTCACCACTGACAGAGGGCTCATCCATCATCTGCACTGAGGTGTGAAAGGCTGCCCTGGACACCAGCCTGGGAATACCTCACTGGCACATTCCCACTGCTGATGGGGACAGCTGTCTCTGGGCACAACGATACTTCTGTGCTGCTGGGAGCAAGGAGGTTATTGGTCACTCTGCCAGCACAGCTGAGTGTCCCACAACCAATGTGAGAACAAAGATCTACATCTTGTGGAGCTTCCTGTTCCAGCAGAAAACCTCATGGACCTGCAGGGGTTCAGGGTTCAGCCCTGTTGCTGGAGTTAGGTGTTGCTCCTTAGACAAAGCCTGTTTTCTTTCCTCACTCTGCAGGGAATCCACTCAGAGCTGTGCATGGCCCCTGCCTGCTGTGCTCTGTGTGTCAGTGCCTGTGTGGGCAGCAGCAGCAGCAGCAGCTGCTCAGGTGGATGCCTGTGCCACCAAAAACCCTTACTGCCAGGTAACACCAGGCCTAGAGGCTCTCTGCCTCGCTGGGGTGAGCCAGGCTGGGATGCTCCTCTGGAGCTGAGACTGGGAAGGGCCTGAAGGTCTTTGTATCTTCACAATTTTATCACAAAGGTTTCAGGAACAGCAAAACCCGACCCCTAATGTTGCATAGCTCCAGATTTTCTTTGTCCTTGTCCTTGACTATTTCCTGCCTTAGAAAGCCACCCAAGGGAGGTCAGAGAGAGGCTTTTGCCAGGGTTTGAGAGTGGTGTGGCAGGGGAGGCAGGCACACACCAGCTTACCCCATCCCAAGTGGGTCTCTGTGCAGCCCTGGCCTTGACTCCTGATGGGCCTGGACCCAGCAGAGCGTGGCTTAATGAGTGATATTGCTACAAAGCACATTAGTCTGCTGAGATTAACACATTAGTCTGTGGTTATTAATTACTAACTACACCTCCTGAGGCAACTGAGTCAGCAGAGAGCATATAATTAAACCCAAGATTGGTTTTGATATATTTTAAGCATTCTTCTAGAATTCTCTGCCTAGAAGGAAGAAAGAGGACAGTGATGATGAAAGGTGGTGAATGGTTCATGTGAACATTGACTCTATTTTAATGGCACTCAGTCCTGCCTGCTACCATCACATTTCAGTGCAGAGCTATTTAGTATGTTGTCAACAGTGGCCTTTTTTTTTCTTTTTCTTTTCTCTTGCCATGAAAAATAATGATCCCAAAGCATTGTTCAAATGAACATTTTAAGTGAAGAAGGAAACAAAGCCTTAAACATCAGAGGGACAAGGAATATGTGATCAATGTTTGTGGGTTGAAGTGCTTCTTCTCTACCTGGCAAAGAATTTGTGCAACAATTTTATCAAGAAGCCTTCCGTGTGCAGTCCAGGCAGGCATGGCGTTCTTGGGTGAGGTCAGCTGCAGCTGCCTTTTTACTGCTTCTTAATAAATCCCTCATAATTAGATGCTCTTCTGGATAACTTGCAGCTCTAAAGCTCAGAGGAATTTTAATCAGTTCAGCCTCTTTTGGGTGAGGATTACATTAAATGTATCCACACTGACTGGCCATTTGGTGCTGTTATCTGTTTGGTCTGCAGGATCTCCAGAGGAAACATGGGAACGATCAACCCAGCACCCAGCAAGTCAAGGCTGGGAGATTACCCATTTAAGGCTGGACATGCTGACACTGTTCCTGGTATCAGTACAGTATTTATTACATACCTCAGTATCCTCTGGCAATGGCCTTGGCCCTTGTTCAAGGCTGAGTGACACACAGTTACTATGCAGTAAACCCACTGTGGCACTCACATTCTCTGAACAGAGAGAGAGAGAGAGATAATTCTCTCTCCCAGGCTTTTTCCTGGAGAAGCACAGAGAGAAGAGGAGAAAACAATTCTTATCTCTACTTGCTGCTCCTGTTGTTTTTGCACATGTGGAATGTGTTAGGAAGATTGTTTACCTGAGGGGATTTGGTAATTGGATTCTGGTGATGGTTGTTTATATTAATTAACCAATCACTCAAAGCTGTGTCCTGACTGTTGGGAGACAGTCACAAGTTTTTCTTTAGTATGTATCTTTGTATAGTATAGTATAATGTAATATAGCATAGTTTTAATAAAGCAATTATTCAGCATTCTGAATCAATGGAGTCAGATGCCAATCATTCCCTGCTTTGGGGGCTCCCTGCATTTTACTATAACCCACATTACCAATCTTCATGTTTGGGAACTGTGTGTGATCTGGAAGGTGCTACACAGGAAAGATCTGATGTGCACTGTGCACAGGATTGTCTTTAGTTGCTGTCTTTAGCAGCAACTAAAGACAATCTCCAACATTCATGCCTAATGCTGACCTCAGACCTCTGCCAGCAAAACCAAAGTAAATCCATTACAGAGCTTTACAGGCACACAAAAAAGCACTTTCACTCAGTGCTTAACTTGGATGTCCTGCCTGCTGCCAGGCCTCTCTGCAGTACTGCTGCCCTTACATACCCACCTGCTTCCAGCAAACAGGACACAACTGCATTAACTCTGCCCTTTCCTGCTGGCCCTTTTGCTTGGATGGTGGCTACTGAAGTAGCAAGGTGCCTCCTCATGTCAGCTGCCATCAGACAACACCTATGCTGCTCAGAATACCTTGAATTTCCTTCCATCCCTTCTTACAACTCTGCAGCCTTGGTTGGTGTTACAAAGGTATAAATCTCTTCTCACTCAGTGAGATCAAAATTAGGCTATTTGGGGCCAAATAATTTTACCAGCCTAACTTGGCAGGGCTTCATTGCCTTCTGTAAATGAAGATGGCCATTTGCATTTATCCCATCAGATGGGTGGTTAATTGCTTGGCATTCCTTGAAGATATGAACAGACGGCGGCACAACCGATAATTCATCTCAGCTGCCCTCAGGAGAGAAGCAGCAGATTTTTGCATCCACTCCCGTTATGCACTTGGGCAGTGCAGTTTTCCTGAGCTCCTGACAGTGACTGAGGTGGAAGACAGCATTTTTTTTCAGCAAGGAGAGGAGATGACTCCATTGCTGACAGTGTCCAGGCCATGGTGCAGCATCAGGGTACTCTTAGGATACCATCACCTCAAAATCCTCCTCATTTCCCTCTTATCTGGTGGTCTCATTTTTGACCACTTCAATTTCCAGACCAAACCCACACCTGGCCAGTTCATGTCATATTTGTTCTCATGTGACACTGCTCTCTAGTTCCAATCAACCTGATTCTCTTGTGCTCTTCACAAGGGGAACAAGCACAGTTTATTTAATTTCTTCCCATTAAATAAACTCTTCAGTCCTGTCCCTGGCATATGTGCCTTGCTGAGTCCCTTCTCATTTGGCATTCTCTTTGACATGGATGCAAGTCTGATGAAGGTTTGTGTCATTAAGCATTCCTTGGCTTTCACAGGAGATATTCCCAGCTAATTACTCTCACATCCTGCTGCTCTTGTTCCCAACTTATGAGCTTCCCATTTACAGCAGTGATTTTGCCCACAGCCCTGCACCAACATCAGTCTCCCCAGTTGTCACTGCCAGAAACAGCAGCTTCCCAAAATATGGAACATCTGCCTGTCCTTCACAAGTGCCAGTGCATGCCCCCACTCCTGCTCCTTGTCAAGAACTCCCAAAAACACTCAGGGAGAGCACATGCAAGGCCAGCTCCTGAATTCCTCAAGCATTACCTCCTATCTGCTGGTTTGGCCCTGAAGTACTGAGACTGCTTTTTCTTTTCCTAGCTGAGCAGTACATCAGAGAAAGCACAGGGCAGCCCAGCACAGCTGCTTTTCACCCTACTGAGGGTTGGGTTTTTTTATTTATTTCATTCCTGTTTACCTTTGAATGTGTTCTTTCTTTTAAAACTTCTTTTCAATCTTGAGTCAAGACATAAAGGTGCCGAATACACTGCTATAAGTTCACTTACACAAGAACACTTGTAACACTGCTTAGAAACCTATAACCTAGATCAAAATATACACTCCAAGTGTTGTTTAAACTCCTGAAATAAGGTAACTTCAAGTTGAAACCTTGTGTTCACCAATTTTAAAAGCTTATGAAGTAAGAAAATGCTGGAAAGGAAAAAAAACTGTTTTGCCTAACAAATCTGTTTGAAGTCACAGAAGCCAGCAGTGATTGACATTGTTATTGAGATTATTTCTTGCAGTATGCACTGCCAAATCTACATTCCACAAGGACTGATATTTTAGGTTAATGCAAAACTGCTTCTTTTGTTTCCCAAACCCAGCCATTTCTTCCAACTGCTGATCTTTCTGGTTGTACACAGACCGTTTAGTGATAAAAAGAGGAAAAACAAAAGTATTCTCATGCCCAGGACACAACAGAAAGCAGCCCCACTGTACTCCAGTTCAAAATCCCTCTACTGCACTTCATAGAGACAAATTTTAATAAATTTACATTTATTGAAAATATCACATTAGCTTTTATTTTGCTCATTTGCCCCAGTGCACAATTAAGCTATTTAACACGTAAATGGTAATAACAGAACTGCAAGCAGCTTCATAAAATGAAAGACCAAATAGACTTGTAACATGATCAGACTGTTTTTAATCTGGTGGATAAGGAACAGTGGGGTGGAAGGGAAGAATCTGTTTTAGGGTCCAATACACAACCTATCTTGTTGTTTCAACACATACATCTGTTATTAAAAGCCACTGTTGAGCAGCGTAACATGCACCTAAAAATTGACAACGTGGGACATCACCCATTAAATATACTATTTGTAGATGAGAATCGTTAGGGATGGGAAAAGGATTAAAACAAGAAGAAAAGCACCAGGGCTCCACAGCCCTTCTAGAACCAGGTACTTTGCAGGGAGGGTGTAATGCCATTTGTCAGCTCTACTGCGCCATGCTGCGAGGGAGAGCGCTCGGTCCATTTCCCGCATGTTTGCGGCAGAAATGCACTTCTTTGGGAAAGCAACCTCCAGGGCTTGGCAATGTGGGGTACACCTCACACCCCCAGTTTGTTGGCCTGGGTGAGGACAACCTTGAGGACTGGCATGAAAGCAGAGGTCTCGCTGAAGTTGCTGGTGCTGACAATGTGTGTGTGGATGTTCAGTCCCTCCTGGTAGTTGCGGGTCTCGATGCTCTTCACAATGTTGTGCAAGCCACTAATGATGGTCGGAGAGAGCTGCAAGGAAGGCAGGTCAGCACAAAGGAAAGCAAAGGAACCGGGAAAGGAAAGGAAGTTCTGAGTGTGGCGCTTGGCTCTCAGGAAGGTGCAGCACTTAGCTCCTTTATTTGGATAGCCATCTTCAGAGCTGCACCACACTGGGAACAGTCATTGAAAAGTCTAACAATAGACTTCAACCAGAATGGAACCTTCTCTGCAGTACTGCTATGCCCTGCAAGCCTTCCCTGCCTGGATGCAATTCCCTGGGGTGGGAGACCTGCTGTGACACACTCCTGGCAGCAGAAAAACCTACTGAGCTTTTTATGCCTTTGGGTACAGTTAATTGCTCAGCAAATGTGGCCTGACAACAAGAGGATTACATCACTCTAATCTTAAGGTACTGAGACATTTAAGCACAGTCCTTTATTCTGCCAAAGCCTCCTGAAAGGCTTTGGAAAAATTACCACATCTTCAAAAGTACTTGCACATCTCCTTCCAGTGAAGTCACTGAGCCTCCAGAATCAAAGTCCCCTGGGTTCTGTTCTGACCCCAGGCTGTGTGTCTCAGTTCCTGCCTGGAGCAGGTGCCTGCCTGGAGAAGTGGTGCCTGCTGCAAGGAGCTCTGCTCTTTGGCTCAGCACAGCCTCTGCACAGCACCATAAAACTCATGACACAACAATCCCAAAACAACACTGTAAAGTCTGCACAGACATGTGGGGCCAGGCACAGTAACTGGCTGATTTCTAAGAAATCCATGCAAACTTCCAATAAATGGATGTGGAGCACACTTCCAAAGAAAAAATGAGCACCTGCTACATACTGCAGAAGTAGTATTGCACCAATGAAGTCATTGGTCAGATGTGACTGAGGGATGGGGGAAGTAAAACAGAACTTACTGTCTGTTCCCTAAGCTTGTCATACAGAAACTCCAGGCGTTTATTTGCATCATCCAGTTTCCTCTTGGTTTGCTGCAAGACAAACACATCAAAGGACAGCAATTTTTAGAATACCAGACCAATCTGATATCATGGCAAATAGGTCCATGCAGCACATCAAATTTCTTTCTCAACAATTTGCTAACACATTGTTTGGATTCTTTGTTCTGTACTCCCCTGATTTTGCTAGGAAACACCACATGACTGTAGTTCTCCACATGTGAACTCTTCAGCTGTCTACAGAAAATAGAAAACTGCAGAGGTGCACCCCAAAAGCCACTAGTCATTTGCAAACCCCACTGGCATAGCTGTTAAGAAAAGTGACAGAATTCTGAGTTGCAGCACAATTTTTTTCCTATGGTTCACTGAAAAAGCATAGTGATAACTAGATAAAATTCTTACTTTTGAATGAAGTATCCAGCAACATCAGTGAGTTTATTGGCACATGCAGATTCTCCAGTTCTAAGTGTGTACAGCTCAGTCATCATTTATGACAAAACCTAATTATATTCTTCCTCATGTGATTAGTAAAGCCAGCAGTTTGTAAGTTTTTAGTGTCAACAGAAAAACTAATAGCCTACCAGAAAAGCTAATAGCCTGACCCAGTCTGTCCTTACAGACACTTTGTGCTTCTATGACTTTTATAAAGTAAACCACCCACTGATGTTCCTGGAATTATTTTTGCCACTAATTGCCTTTGCTTTTAAAACAACCCCAGTACATTTCATCTGGAGCTGCACCTGCTGGAGAAATGAACTTTTATCCACTTTTTTAAAAAACAACATCTAAAATTGTAGATTTCACTCCAGAGTAATAAAACAGTAATAAAGCATCAAGGTCACAACTGCAGGAGCACAAAAAAGCTGCTGGTCAACAGCAGCAGAAATGGCATCAGTGCACAAGAGTAATGGAATTTCCTCCTAAATCAGTCTGTGCATCAATCCATCTGCACTCAGGATAACTGCCATTTTCCCTGGCAAAAGGAAATGTTTCTCTGGATTAAATAACTGCCTGGAGAAAATAAAGGCTGTGGGAATGCTCTAGCTCAAGGGTGAAGACCAACTGCTGGCTGCTTGCTGTGCTAGAAATTAGGGAAAGCTGTTCAGATGGCATAAAGGAGAACACAGCACATGGATCTTGGGCCACATGCAGAAACTCCTCAGCAGCAGTTATGTCATCAAGGAACTGAGATATCTAAGGAAAAGTCCCCCAGGAGGAACAGGTAAGAAACCCCAGTTCTTCGGGACTGCCTAACTCTCAGATGCATGACCACACAACATTAGTTTCAAAGCCCATGAAAAGGTGCAGATGCTATTTTCATTTTACAGATGGTCAGCTAGGACAGAGAGGAATAAATTGTGTCTAGGAAACAGCAAGACATCTCTCCAGCCAAATCTGGTGTAAGTGCAAACTGCTGTTCTCCTCACTCTTTAGTTCCTATTCCCATTTTCCCCTTCAGAATGCAATAGCTGAGCAGTGCCTGTATTTGCTCTGACAACAACTGATGTGTACAGTCAGGGTGGTGTCTCTTGTCTCTGTGGGCTGAAACACTTTCACTGCCTAAAAATATCTGGGACTTAACAAGAAGCAAGCAAAATGTGTTGGCAGAGCAGAAAAGCAATCCCCAGGTGCAGATATGAGTGGAATGCTTTTGCCTTCTCTGTCTGGGGGAAGGGGCACTTAGAGGAAGCAAAGGTCAAAGGGAATGCAGAATCCACTATATATACATACCAACACATACACCCATGTATGTAATGCATTCTACAGCCTTTAAATAAAGGATTTTGAGCACTTGAGTGATACTGAACTGACAGGAGCATGAGTCTGTGCTGCTGACCGAGCAAATTCAGCACACAAAGCTCTCTGCATGCCACCAGCACCACCTTTTAGCACGTGGCAGGCATGAGCTGAACAGTCAGCAGCTGGGCTTTGTGGTGCTGGGTAATTTACTGGCCATCAGCAATAAATGAGAAGCTTTGGGAGGGATAGCTCATTTACAGGCTACTGGCTGCCATGGGAAATGTTTCCCTATCCAGCTCCAGTGGCTGTGTTAAAGCTGTTAGCCTTCCCTTTGAAATGAGCTTGTTAGCAGAAATCACAAGTCACAGAATCACCTACCGGATCGGAGGCACACAGCAGGCACCTCTGGATGAGAGCTTCAAAAGTAGTCTTCAGGATAAGGTGCTCCTCAGGGATGGGCTTCTTGGTGATCTTCTCTGTTGGCAGTGCCTGCACATGCTGAGCAACAGAGAGCAGGTGAGGCTTTTCCAGGTCACTGTGCCCACATGTGGTTCTCAGCTAAACCGAGTGGCATTATTGCCCAGCTTGGCACAACTCCTATTTCTTCCCTGGGGCTGTGTGGAGGTGACTTTACCAGCACCTGCTGTTGCTCCCTCTGGGAAGCTGTGAAAGTTGCAGAAGGAAGCAGCTTGTTGGCCCACACTGACTATAGGATTAGTGCCATCTAGGTAGAGATTAGAGCAGCAAAATGCCAGCACGGTGTAAAGCCAGTGCCTACAAACTCCACAGCACACTTTGCAGCTACAAGAAAAGCCTGGACAAGAGGATCCTGCCTGGCAGGCTCTACTGCTGGACAACCCAACCCATGCAGTGCTGGGGCTACCTTACCTGGATGGCATTGCCAATGGGGGCCCCCGGGGCTCCCTCCGTGCTGGGTTTGGAAGCAGTGGGTGCCATGGTGGATGGCCCCAGGGGCTGGGCAGCAGGCTGGAAGCCCCCCTGCAGCACCATCTGCCCTGCAGGGAGGTGGGCAGGCTGGAAGCTGGGTGCACTGCTGGGAGGTGCTGGAGCCTGGGGCTGCTGCATCTGGGACTGCGGGTCCGCCAGCGGGTTCATGATGGGGGCGGTGATGGGCACCGGGGGCAGGAAGTTCTCAGGGACCTGGGGAAAAACAGGGCATTCATGTTGGGGGGGCTGCTGCAGGCACTGCACAACACCCAGCTCTCACAGACTTCCCAAAGCACAGTGATTGGGAGCGTGGGATACAGAAATAACAGGGGCAGACAGCCCAGATGTCGCTCTGGCTGACCAAAGCCATCCCTCTGCTGCACAGTGAGTGCCTTGTGCAGCCCAGCCTGCCCCTGGCCACAAGAGCTGAGTGCAGCCACCTCCAACCAGAGCCACTCTCCCTCAAACCACAGCACTATTAGAAGAGAAAACTAACCCACACCTACATCTATTCTTACTATTGGGTCATTATATTTAGACTTTTGTGTCTCACTTTCAAGGGTGTATTTTTGTCCATGCAGTACAGTACGTAGGTCACAGCCAGCAACGTGCCCCAGTAAAGCTTCTGAGAGCCTTCCAAGCTTCTGGCACACAGGTCTGCACTAAGGCAGATTTCAGATTCATCCTTGAGCATCTGCCAGTCTTTACATAGGGGGTTTTCACAAACATTTGGTACAGGGAAGAAAAAACCAAAATGAGCTACTGGCCTCTGCTACACATGATGCAGGAATCAAAACAACAGAAAGGGCTTCCATGGGAATGTGCACATTTCTTCAGGTGTGCATGGAAAAAAAAAGAGGGAAGATTGCAGGACCCTGAATGAATGATGCTAGAATTGAGCTAGTGGTTTGGGATAGGAAAAAAAAATTCCCAATCCAGCAACAAAGTCAATTATAAAAGAAATGAATCACAGCAATAAACTTTTGAGTGGTGAATAAGTTGTTAGTTAGGAGGAAAACAGCTGAAAATTCTGGCTTGAAATGCCAGATATTTCTTCTTTTTTATAACAGTCCATGTGGTGAGTCATTTTATATTATCCTAAACCACCCCTTAGACAGTGGACAGAAGGGAAACAAACATAGAAACATGACTGACAGATTTGTTAAAAACCCAAGAGGGAATGCAACAAACACATTCCTCATTTAGAAGGAGCCATCTTGCAAGCCTTGGCTATGGCAGAAATTCTGGCTGTGACACACACACACAACAGAAGTAGCAAAAATCTCGTGTGCACAAGGCTGCTTCTTGAGCTCTCTGCTCCAGCAGTTATTCTGGCACTAAGAGTTCTCTATCCAGCCTCCAAAAGCTTCTTCACTTTGAACTGCCGAGACCAAAACCCAAAGGGTAAAGAAGGCTTCTGCCTTTGCCTTCACCCAGACCTTATCTTGGCTGCTCTAATATTTTGTTCTCTCCACACTTTACATACTCCAGACTAACTCTTGCCTCCCAGGGTCAGAGAGTGGTGGATAACACTGACTGCTGTGGGGATACTCCAGCCTGCAGGAACACCAGGGCTGGATGAAAAGGCTCACTCTGCTCCGTGCCAAGCGTTCCCAGTTATCCTGCCCTGCTGCAATTTAAATCCATTTTGCAAAACTACATTATCTCCATCATGGAAATTGTCTTACTCTCAACAGATCTCTCAGGGTCAGGCCCTTAATCAGGATAAATTGCTTTCAGCTCCAGCAATGTCAATAATCTATAACAATTTGCACAGCCTCCTCATTTTGCCTAAATATCATCTCCTGCAAAACTCTGCTGCTTTACTGCAGATGAAAACAGTTGGAAGTATTTGCTCCAAACCACGAACAATGTTGTTATTAACAACCACAACTTCAGCAAAAACCCACCATCTCTTTAGAGGCTTAGACATTTGGAGAGGGATAATGCATATTAGAGAGACATAAAGGCCATTTCTGCTCATGAGATGCAGCTTTTGTTTGCTGCTAAGCCTTCTCTTCCCTTCTCCTGCCAACAGGTTTCCCAGCAGCAGCTTAAACTATTGTTTTTCAAGGGATCAGCACTCAGTTGTGTTGAGGTAGGAGTTGCTAGAGTACCTTCTTCTTCTTGGCAGCTCTGTTGAGGGTGGGAGGGTCATTCCAGCCGTTCTGGGGCCCTGGGACAGAAAGAGGAGACTTTAAGTACCTGGGAAGAGGGCAGTGATGCCTTCTTAAGCTGAGCTGGGCCAGATCCATGCCATGGCCCTGACCTGCCTGTTCTTCTGCCCTTCCCTGAGGGCCAGAACATCTCCTGTGCCAGCCAGAGCCTCCCAACATCCCTGCCATCAGACCCTTTGGGCTCCACTGAGCAAGGTTTGGGAACTTGGCCAACTGTTCCCAAGCTAATAACCTAATAATTAACTTTTTATTCTCTTGCAGAAAAAGAGAGCTTTGAGCAGACATGCCTTTGAAGAGGGCCTACCATGCCCCAAAAAGCTCTGCTACACAGACTGTGTATGTGAAGAGAGCTTATCCATGACATTTGTACATGAAGCTCCCCAGCCACACCACACAAAACACCACACAAAAAGAAAAGGCATCAGAGGCCTTAAGCATTTCAGGCCAGGTTCACCCAGTCACCTTGGAAACACCAAAGAGCTATAAACCCAGCTTTCCCCTGCCAGCTACAGCATGGTTTTGGGTGCTTTGCATCCCCAAATCAGAGCAGAGCTGCTTGAGCAAGGTGGGAAAATCTGGCTTTCTGTACCAGGGGTGATTTGTTTACAACTGGAAGCACAGAGGATGTGTGAGCAGATTCACTCCCAGGCTGGGGTGCTGCTCTGCACCAACCCTTGTGCTCTCCCAAGAAAGCAAGCCCCCTGCAGCTGTGAGATTTGCACCCCAAAGCTCCCATCAGTGCATGGAAAGAGCTGCCCACCTCCTCATGGAGCACAGGGAATTGGGCACATGGCATTACACCCAGGCATTATTAACTGCAGTGCCCCAGTAATCAGGATTTATTGCACAAAGCCACAAAAAGCCAACAAAACCAAAGCCCTGCTCAATGGACTTTTTCACCACAGTATTTTTCACTCAGCAGATGATGAATTTACCTTAGACAGCACAGGTTAACATTACTGCAGAATTTGCTCGATTTATCTGAAATATCATTTGCTCCCAGGCTTTTGTCAAGCAAGTTCCACATCCAGAGCATGGTAAAGGGGTAAATGAACAACTATTCAAAACCCCTTTCACAGCTGCTTTCTCTTTAACCAAAGGCAATGCCATCTCCTGGCAGCCTCCTCTATTCCTCCTTATCCAGAAAATCCCAGAGTATTTCAGATACAGGGAGTCTAACTGATAGGAATAGGACGTTAAGAAAATCTCCCAGACTGTCACTGCTGTTAATTTCCTGGAATAATTTGCATTAAAAAAGGAAAATATTTAAAAAGAATTTGTTTCTGTGGTTAAAAACTCCGGATATGTTGTTATTGGTTTCAATTAAGGAATTAAAAATCAGTTTGATTAAAGTCTAATTGGCAAACAGCATCACACTTAATGTTCTGTAAAGAACATTCGCATAATTGATGTCCATTCAATTAATTTCATGTAGTGGCTGCAATTATTTTCAGGTTAGGTGGTACCTAGTTCACCTGTGAAGGGAGAGGCCTGGTCTTGAGATGGTAGACTTTCTGCAGACAAAATGCAAAGATAACTAAAAAAATACTTTTTTTCAAAAATAATAAAGCAGTTGGCCTTTAATTTTTGACCAGCAATTTAGTTTCACAACATGCATCAGCAGAAAAAACACCTAACCAAATTACAATGCCAGCTTGGAGACAAGCCATTTGTTCAAACCCCTCCATGAAATTACTTTTGTCCACTTTCCCCCAAAACAAGCCCGTTGCTCTTTCCATGCAGTAAATCAGTGTTTCAAGTTTGTAACAAATGCTGCAGTGTTCTGGCCCTTTTTCTTCCCTCTTCTGATGTTCTCATTTTCTATTCCAGTGCGGCTGACAGCCCATTACTCTTAGCCACAATCTTCTGAACACCATTTTACCATTCCAGAAAGCTTTTCAAGAGATGGCTGAAGTCCCTGACTTTAGGCAACAGGAGCATGCTCACACATCAGCTTTACACTCACACAAACACACAGTGCCTGCTCAGACTGAGCAACAAACCCAAATGGCAAATGAAGCCAGTAAAGCCCTCACCATTCCAAAGAGGGATAAGATAACTCCTGTCCCCAGGGTTGGCCTGCTCATACTTCTGGTAAAAACACTTTGCTTAGCTCAGGGCTGCTCTATTGCATTTTCAAACAAGATTCAAGATGCTGAAAATTAGGACTCCCTTGAAAGTATGTTCTAAGATCTAACACAAAACAAAGTGAAAGGGGTTGAATATAAAATTAAATGTGGGCTTTTCTTGCTTACAGAAGCTTCAAGCACAGCTTAACATACCGATGTTATGTGCCTTTGAAAAAAATCCAGAAAATATTTACAGAACTCTTCCTTTTTACATGCATCTTTAAATCCAAGCCAGTTCAAAGGTCAGGTGTGAACTCTTTTCAAGAGTTCAGATTTGAGATATTTTTTTCCTTCCTCCATAATTCCTGCCTTTAAATGAGTCCCAACTGCAAAGTGAAGCATGATGTTCCCAGATAAGATCATCACCATGCACAAAAGCAGGACCAGCATCACTGCACCAGAACACTCAGAGCTACAGGTGAGATCTACTTCTGGCTGCAGATCTCAGTGCTTCTACAGGATCTCATGCCAAGGCATCCCCCACTAGGCAGTGCAGCTGCTCACAAATTGTGTTGGTGGTTAAGCATATTAAGCATGTACACTGTCATTGCTGCACTGAGAAAACAAGTTTTTTTTTCATTCTTGTTGGTGTGCTTTCTGAAAGGTGCAATCTAAACCCTGGAAGAGAACAGAGTGTGCTCTTCAGACACATTTAATCTTTTTTTCCATAGTTCTCCAGCTGCAATCATCACTTGTGTGTATGCATGAGCCATCCTGGGCTCAGCACCTCACCATGCAGTCCACCCCTGCATTTCAGCCCAAGGCTGCAGAAATCAGAGAGGATGCCCAAGTTTGGGTTCCTGAAGTTCTGACACTTTGTACTGGCTACCCTGCTCACCATAGCTGCTGAGAAAAACAGAAGCAGCACTGATAGTTCTCAGAAAGTTTGATAAAAAGCCTAATATGAACAATTTTTAACTCTGAAAAGAGCTTAACCCACTCTGAGCATGCCATGTGGGTTATGTCACATCACTGCAAGAAGTGCCTGCCAGTGATGCAAGCTGAGCAGTAAAATGGATAAGAAAGAACAATTTTCTTGTTCCTTGCATTTATCTGGAGGTGCAGAAGCTATGGTGCCTGCCTTATAATGTGCTGCTTGACATCCCAGGCCTAGAACCCTATCCAACACTTCTCCCTCCTTCCAATTTAATAATTCCTCTGGTTTAGAGATTTTGACACGCCCTGTAACGTGGGGCCAGGAGAGATCACACTACAGCACCTCCAAAAGCAGAAAGGACACCAGTCTGGCTGTATGGTGGATGGAAAAGCTATTTTCTCCCTTTGTAATTCTGGCAGTCCTACACCAGTCCTATCTTTTGGCATAGCAAAAGACCACTTTTCCCCCAAACACAAGGGAGTATTGTGAGCTGCCAGCCTCAAGGACAGGAACAGGAGCACCTACTCATAGGATTCATGCTGCCAAAGGCAAAATGCTTTTTTTGCACTGCATCACCCCAACAGACTTTTAAAATAAGAGAGGGAATGACAGTGGGCACACTAGTGTCTGTCAGCAAAACAGACATGCCCAAAACATCCCTCAAATCCTGCCCAGTATTCCCTGTACCCTCTGTTTCCCAGATCTGCTCCTTGACTCTTCAGCTGGACCAGCTGGATGTGAAGGGTGCTCATGAGCAGGTTTAGAAAAGGACTGCTGATTCTTCCTGCACTGTCTGACATGCAAAGCTGCTGTTTCACAGGCTGCTAAGGGAAGGTTTGTCATGGCAGGCAAGGCCACTGTCCCACAGCAGTGACACCCAGGCAGTCACAAGCAGACATGGAGCCCCACCTCAGCCAGTGCTCTCTCACCAAGCATGCTCCAACATGCTCCTAAGTGTCAGCCACACACACATGCTTTTAATCCACATTCAGGGAAGAGACGTGTAAAAGCATTTCTAAATCACTTCTGATTCTCTTTTAAGGCATTCATAACCTCAGTAAATCCCAGCACAATAACAGGTTAGGGACAAAATAATGAAAGAGAGCTGATGCTATGGGAAATACTGTTTGAATTAAATATGCTGCCAATCCAGGCTTAACAGGCTGTCAAGAGCCAGGGACGTGGGCAAATCACATCTGCAAAATCATTCAGTGAGGAGAATTGGGATCATCCTGTCTGCAGCGATGAGGAAAACTTGTTCATTTTTGTACTTTGCTCTCCAGTCACAGTGCAGGCTCTGACACCAATGTTAAAACTGAGCCATGATCCTTCATGATCCATCAGAGCATACAACATAAGAAGCCTGTGGTAGCATCCTGTCTTGGGCAAGACAAAAGCTCTGTGACAGTGGCAAGGTCAACACAGCCCTATCACAGATGCACAGGAGTGATGTTGTGGTTTAGAAATGCTTTGAACTGATCTCTAAGCAAAAGCAAACTTTTTACAGAGCATTCACAAGGCAAGAAGTGCATATTGAACTGAGTGGGTGAAGAGCAAACCCCTCCCTCCTCCCTGCCTGCCCCCCTGTCCAAGCGCAGACCTGTTCTCTGGGATGCAGGAAGGTCACTGGCTGCAGGCAGAGTACCTGTTGGTCCAGTAGGTAATGCATAAGCCACAGAAGTTGTTGGAAGTCCTGGCCTGCCATGCTGAAAGGATGTGCCAGAAGGAGGAACAGGGAAGGAAGAGATGGGATTCAGGCTGGTTGGGGAGGGCTGAGGCTGCCCGGGGTACAGCGGGGAGGGCATGGAGTGGGCAGGGGCAGAGGGCAGGTAGGAAGGGGTGGTGTTAGGGGCAGGGCTGGGGTAAGAGGCTGAAGCAGGGGCAGCAACAGGCTGCTGAGGCTGATAGAGAGCTGGTCCCCCAGTTCCAGAGTACTGCTGTGTGGCCTGATATGCTACAAACAGGGAGAAAAAACAGTCAGTGAGTTCACAACAGAGCAGCAGGTTTCATCTGCCTCTGCTTCCTTCTTCACTTGACTCTCCTCTCTTCATGCCCCTACACCCCAAAACCACTTACCTGCCCAGCCAAATCCTGGCTCCCACAACTCTGGCTGCCTAAATCCCCATCCTGCCACTGGGAGGCACAGAGAGGATGGCTTGGCTCAAAGGACTGCTCCTCTCCCACACACACCCTCCAGCCCAGAGCCACCATGATGCCTGGGGTGGGGCTGGACACATGGACACTGCTGTCTTCTGGACCACTGCAATCCTCACAGGGGCTCTCAGAGAAAGGAAAGCCCTGTCCCAGGTTTTCACAAAGGGAAAACTTAGGCCAAGGAAATGAATAAAGACTCTGGAATGAATGTATGCTCACAGCCTTTCACTGTGCGTACTGCAGCCTGATTTCACTGCCTCTGCCCATCTATGGCCATTTTTCCTCCCTCATGCCAGTACTTTCAGTCCCTGCTTTGGGTGAGCCAGGGCTCTGCCCCCTTCTTCACTTACCTCTACTACTGCCCTCATTTCCTCATCCCCTCTCCCATTGTCATGGAGCCCCAATGAGGAATGAGATGAGCTGTGTCTCTTTTTGCCAAGCCTGTGCTGCTTTACCAGGACTCAGACTTTGGGGTCTCTGACCCCAGCACAACCTTGGGCCAGGCCAGCTGGGCAGTGAGCCTGAGAGCTGTGGGCAGGCACCTCAGCAAGGAGGAATGTTTGACAGAGGGTGTCTGATGCCTGCACCCCACCAAGAAATGACAACCCTCAGATGTCACCTCACCTTTCTCCCCACCCTGCAAGAACTGTGGGCCTGGCTTGGTCTGAACACTGCCACCCACAAGGAAGGGACTCAGGGTTATCCCTGAGTTAGGGCTGGCCCAGTTGGGTGGGAGGGACAGGGGGAGGCTGCTGTTACTCACTCTGTGGGTACGCGGGCCGCGTTCCTGCTTGCGAGTACATGCTGTAGTTGGAAGAGGTGGCTTGCTGTGGTGGCATGCTGGGGCCAACAGCACCTGGCATAATAAACCCTGGAGGAGGTGGGTTGTCTCCCTGTCAAAAAAATAAATTACAGGAAAAATGGGAGAGACGGGATTTCATTAGTAATGGTAATGCAGTGCTGAAGCAGAACTGCAGCAAAAGGGTAAGTTCACGTTTCAAGGCCTGAAACCATATTCCCTGGAAGAAGGGAATCAACAGCACAGGGGCAAATGCCTCCAACCAGCCCAGTGCCTCAGGGTGCCCAGCACAGCACTGAAAGCACAGCTGGATGTGCAGTGACTTCAGCAGCAAGCAGAGCAGCACACACCTGCCTGCATAAGGAAGAGCTCCCTGCTATCTTTCAACTCAACTTAAATGGTAACTCTGCAGCTTCTGATCTCCATGGAAAAGGGGGAAAGGAAAAATCCTACTTCAGATATTCCACTGTGGGGAAGGGCTGGGGAGACTCAGGTCACACTGAGCTCCCACTCAAGACTTTCCAGTGCCACTCCTCTGGGCATTGGTGAAAAAGAAGTAAGGGGATGCAGAGGAGTAAAACCAGAGCACACATGGGAGCTGCTCCGTCCATCTATCTGCACAGACTGTGCCAAGAATACAGATTACACCAGGGGACACACTGGGGTGGAGCAGAGGCTCAGGGAGGAATAATGAAGGTTATACCTGTGTGTCAGAGGGACAGCCTGCAGGAGGATGGCTGGGAAGGGCAGTAGGAGTTTTGTTACTCCAGGTAGTGACAGTAGGGGCAATTCTAACCTGAATCGAACAAAGAAATACCAATCATGGAAAACAAAACAATAAAAAAGTCTAAAGGGTTTCACAAATCAAGATGCAAAGAAGTGAACGCAAGAAGGTTTGCATGCTGGCACTTGTAGCAGCCATAAAATCTCAGAGGAAGAAGGGAATTGCATTCAAGGCAGACAAAAATCACTGGAGCCAAAGTGAATTGCAGAGTGAGGACGAAGCACAGTGTTGCAGCTGCAATAGGCTGTGGAGCAAGTGCAGTGTTATGTGTGCCAGTCAGCCAGGTCTCCATCTTTCATCACATTTTCCTACTGCAGAAGCCCCCCCCACTGGTCCATGACAGTGAGCATCACTAACCACAGCTGCAAGCCCCAGGTTCCATGTTAAATTCAAACATATGCCTCACACAGAAGGAGTCTGTTCAAATTGAGCTTCAGATGAATTTAAAAAGGTTAAAAAATAGTTTTGAAAGGTTAAAAACTGATATTCAGCTCTTGCACATGCACAAATACACATCTTAATGGTAATTGCTTCCCAGCCAGTCTCCCGTAGCTCCTTTCCTCCATCTTCCTTCTTTGCCACTCCAAACGGCTTCAAGTCCATACAACCACTCCTACCTTTCTGATGGGACAGAAATCAAGAACTTCCTGGGCCTGGCACACTCCTGAGCAAGGAGTGGGCAACACAGGACACATGGCTGGGCTTCAAGGATGTAAGCAGAGGGAAAGCTGTGACCCTGCAGCCCTGGCTGGCTTCAGTCTCTGTGTGTCTAACCCCACACAGTGCTAAGCTGATGGTGCAGTCAGCTGCACAACAGCCACTGCTAATGCCTGCATCACTCATCACCAGAGAGTCTCAAAGACTTTTCACCCCTTTCACGCCTGGTTTATTCAGATGAAAAAGAGAGTTCAACAAAACTGTGCTGAAAGGAATCCAAGTGTTAAGAACATGTTCCTATTTGGGACAGCAGTTAAACAGAGGCTGCCTCAAGCCTGAACAAGTCCTGCATACACACCTTCTTAAATGAAGTCAAACCAAGCAAGTATCCTAACACTCAAACATGTAATTTCTCTCCATTCTGGTTCATCAGCTGGGAACCTTTCTGACTGACACCTGTCCCCTTCAAGCCCTTCCTGCTGAGGATGAACTCCCTGAAAAGCCAGCAAGACAGGGGGCTGTAACTCCCAGTGAACTCGTGGGGTACTGATACATCCAGCCTTTAATTAATGAGCAGGCCTTGATGAAATAATTGCTTGAGGCATTTCAGAAACAGTGGGAGAAAGAGGGAACTCTGGTTTAAAAAAAGCATTGCTGATATCTCAGCATCTAGAGGACAGCTGCTACTCTCCAGAGCCAAACAGGACACACAGAGCTTCACTTCTCAAGGCAACTCATTGGTTACAAGGAAGAAGGCCAAAAACACAGACAGCAGAGTAGGCTTGATTATTAATGATGATGCATTTAATACCATATGCAATGGGGTTAGCAAGGTAAATCCTGGATGAGGGCTTTGTCCCTTCTGAAATCTACCTTGCTAACACCCTGGAGAGAGGGCAGAAGCACACACTACTGCTGACATTGAGAATGCCCAACTCCCCCCCAACTTTTCATCCCTCCTTTCTTCCTACCCTGGTTTTTCTGGCAGGCAGTGCTTGGGGGCAGCAGAGAGAAGAGATCCCTCTGCTTGTGCCAATCTCTGCCCAAGGAGAACACCCACAACCCTAACACAGTTCTGCTCCCAGAAAAGCCCAGCCCAGAGCACCTTTAGAGGGAGGCCAGATGAGCTGCAGTGCTGTGCTGGGGGATTAGAGACCTGGCTGTGCTCTAAGCACACACACAGCCAGGGCTGCCCAACACACCGCGCTGCCCTGATGGCCAGTGTGTTCTGCTGCAGTGTCATCCTCAGGTTAGAGGTAAAACCAGAAAATTTCCCTCCCCCATTTCTCCTCTTCCTCCCTGCACAGCTCCCTTTTTAGTCTCATACTCACCTGGTCTTTCTTGTACACAGTTTACTTCCCACCAGCCCTTGCCCTCTTACACCTGGCTGGGAAGGTGTTTTCACAGCAGGCTGGACCCACAGCTGCACTAAAGTGCCCTCAGTTTGCTATAACCACTGCTCAGCAACTTCTGCAGCCAAAATCAGAGCTAGGGGTGGAAAAACGTCAGGGACTGTGAGAAGAAGCACACAGAACTCCTGCAGTGCTGTTCTCCCACACAGCTGCTCTTGGCACATGTTCAAACAAAGGGGGAAACACCTAATCTTCAGAAGCAGGTGTTTAAAGGATGTTTCCAGATGAGGAGTAAAGGAGGCATCTGTACTGACTGAAAGGAAGCACCAGTGACCTTCACCACGAGGCTCTCAGTAGAGGTTTGTCACACAGCCTCAGATCAAGAGAAAAAAATGATTACATCCATCACTGGGCAGAACTCAAGCAGCATGTCCCTCCCCTACTGGCAAAGGCCATTTACCTGCTGGTAATACTGCTGGGCTGGAGCCTGGGGTGCCTGCATCCGTCCCGCCGCGGGGCCAGCTCTCCCTTTGGCCATGGGCTCTCTCTCATGGGGCGCCTTGAGGCCGTCCTGTCCTGCTGGGAGCTGCCCCTGGGCTCTGCAGAGCCTGTCCCGCAGCTGCACGATGTTGGGCTGCAAGCAGAAAAGGACAGGGAAGAGAGGTGAGGTGCACTGCCTGGCACCCAGGGCAGCACACCAAGAGCTGAGTGGCCACTCACTGATGAGCCCCCTCTGAGCCTGCTTTATTTCACTGGAATAAGTCTTTTCTGCATGAGGCTTGAGGCCATTGGAACTGCCTTACAGCAGCCTGCCTCATTCCCAAACTGTCTACAAATATCAGCTGATGGAGGATGGGAAGTCAGAAGAGAACAACCCAATGTTTATGGCATTCCATTTGCCATGTCTGGCTTGCAGGAAGGACACCCTTTGGCAGTCACTGGCTGCAGGCACAAGGGTGTGAAACTAAGAGGGAGCAGAACTCTGTGCAGGCCTGCCAGCTCAGCAAGGCCAGTGCAGGGTGAGGGGAACAGCCTGACTGTCACATTCCAAGGGGCACGTCAAGCAGCTGAACCATGTCACTGTCATAGTTTCTGGAAAAATCCCTTGGCCAGGATTTCTCTCCTGGGAAGCTGAGAAGCCTCAAAGAAAAGGAAAACAATTCTTATCTCATTTGCTTCTCCTGTGTTTTGCTGCTTTGGAATGTGGTTTGAAGATTGATTATCCAACAGGTGGTTGTTTGATTGGTTTCATGTGAATTGTTTTAACTTAATGACCAATCACAGTCCAGCTGTGTCAGGACTCTGGAAGGAGTCACGAGTTTTTCATTATTATCTTTTAGCCTTCTGGCTGTACCCTTTCTCTATTCTTTAGTATAGTTTAGTATGGCATAACATAATATTTAAAATTAAATAAAATTAAAATTAAATAAAATTAAAATTAAATAAAATTAAAATAAAAAATAAAATAAAATATAAAAATAAAAAAAAATAAAATAAAAACAAAAAATAAAATAAAAAATTAAAATAAAATTTAAAAAATAAAATAAAAACATAAAATAATTTAAAAATAAAATAAAAATCAAAGAAATAAAATTTAAAAATATTTAAAAATAAAAGAAATTAAATTTAAAAATAAAAAATGAAAATAAAAATAATTAAAAATTTTGAAAATTAAAAAAAATACAAATTAAAAAAATTAAAAAAAAAACATTACAAAACCCCACAACACGCACAACACCCAACACAACACACACCACACCATAATACAATATCATAAAACAATAAATTAGCCTTCTAAGAACATGCAGTCAGATTCATTCATTCCTCCTCTGTCTGGAGAACTGAGAAAATACCACAGAACCACACCATGCAGAGACCTCTGCTGAAGCACACCTGCTCCCAGGCAGAGAGGGAGCAAAGAACCCCTTACCTGGTTGGTGTTGGCAGGGAGGAAGGAGAGTGCTGCAGCCAGGCTGCCCTGAGCAGCCAGCAGGTTGGCATACTGGCTCATCTTCTCGGCCAAAAGGGCGCCCATGGCGTTCGGGTCCACGGCCTGTGTGAGCTGCACGGCTTTGCGCAGGATCACCACCTTCTCTATCAAATCCTGAAAGATCAGGAGGAGGGAAACCCACTCACAAGTGAGAACAACAAAGTGAAGCAGGGCCTGGCTTTAGTCTGTCCCTGGCAGGACCCCTCTCACCCTGTGGGGAGCCCAAGCCAAGCGCAGGTTTCCCTGCTGCACCAAAGGCACAGCTGTTCACAGGGCATGGAACAGCAACCACCCTCCAAGCACCTCCTAACAGCAGAGCCAAAAGATTTCCCAAGAACTGCTTTTATCAAACAGGATTTCAGGGCTCTATCAGCACTGAGCATCTCCACCAAGTGGATGCTTTCGTAAAATTATCTGGTGACAGCCTCAGAGCAGAGACAACATCACACCTGTCACCACTACTGCACTGCACATTTGTTTACAGGGCTTCAGTAAGTCAGTTCTTATCCATCTTCAAAGGATCTAAAAACTCCTGTGGAAGAGTTGTCCATACTTTTCTGGTTGTTACAGCAAAATTGTTTTCACCAGAAATACTCTATAACCTGCCTTCCTTGCACATCCCCCAACACCAGAGCTGGTCTTGGTTGGGTTTCCTTCTAGTCTTTAATTATAGGAATATTTTCTGTTCTGTTTTCTTATGTTTTTCTTACTGTATTTATACTAAAGGATACTACAAATATTCATTTCCCAAAATTAAAGCTCTTTTAAAAATCTTACAAGAGTGTACCACACAAAAGATTTCAACTATACATTAATAATAAAAATTGTTTTCTAACCATTTGTTTTCCCCTACAAATCAGCACTTCAAAAAAGGCAAGTGAAAAAAACCCCAAAACAACAGCTTCTATTGCCACTATCATAGTAAACAAGTCACCTAATTAGGACTTCAACAACATTTTCCAATTTTACAGCCTGAGAGACGAAAGCCATGCAATCAAAATGCAAATTCAAACTGAAGGTAACTTTGTAAATAAAGCCCTCAAAATCAAATTATTTTGATAATTCAGAGAGTTAATGACATGAAGCAAAACTCAGATACACATCAGTTCCTTCAATTAACTAAAGAGTCTCACAGTATAATCAAGTAAATACTGTCTAAAACTGGTTCTTCAAAGACCTTAAACAGATGGAAGAAACTAGCATTGTATTATAAAATAAATTATTCCATTACTGCTTCATTCCACCCATCAACCTTATTCCCTCAAGATATCTGCTATAAGCAATCTATTTCACTGCTGGAAACCAAACTTTGTATGTGCAAACCCCCAGGGAAAACTCTCATGAGAACCTTCCTACAACTGCCTCTCCAGATTTAAATCTAATTCTATTGATTTCTTCTCCTGAACTTCCAAAAGTACAAATATTTCCTAACCACAAAAGATGCAAGCACTGGAAGGCCCTTCTTTACCAAAACACTAAGTACTACTATTATTTTACACAAGAAATGTATTAGTACCACTGCCCAAAGAACAAGGCAAGCACAAAGGCCGCTGTACTTCCCAGCACATTTTCCAGTATCATATCTGTGTGTTATTTTTCCAGAAAGGAAAGGCTTGCATCCTGATGTACATCAGACAGCAAAGCTCTACACTAGATAATTTAAGAGCCAAATGATTGCAGTCTGTTATTTCCAACACCTTTCTTAAACGAATTACCAACCTGAAGGGACAAGGGGCTGTTTCCATCCTGAACTTTGGTCCAACAAGCAACAAGTTTATCCACGTTGCCAGCACAAATATAACAGAGGCAAGCTTGTGTCTGCAGAACGCTGTCCCCCTCATTCTCCAGCCTGCTACCCAGGAGATCTAGATAAAATAAGAACAAAGATGCTGGTAAATCACTCTGGGGGAAGCAACCTGCCAAGGAGCTGTGAGCAAAGCCACGATACTGCTCTGGAATTATCCAGTCTAAGAAGAGTCCTTACCACAGAGGGCTGTAAACTCATCTGGCCTGGCATAAGTGAGCACAGCAGCCAAGGCCTCTCTCCAATTCTGCAGGTCACAAGACTGCACAATCTCTTTCCAGTTCTTTGTTACAACTGCAGTGATGAGCTAGAGCAGGAGAGAGACCACAGTTAAGATCTTGTTAGGACTTCCTCTGTTTAATACACAGGATAATTTGGATCTGCTCCAGTGTACTCATCCCCACTATATCCAGGGTCATGACAGGTACTGCATTGCAGTTCAACAGCTGCACAAGAGCACATCTTACTTAAAAAGGAAAAAAATCACAAAACAAGCTCAGAGAACATGCAGAGGCTGATTTTTCTTGCTACAAAATGAACAAGAAAAGAATACACAAATCTCCACAAGCTGTTGCAAATGGTTTTCAGCACTATTTTTGCAGACAAAGATAGCCTACCAAGTATTTAGCTATAAAGTCTTCTACACAATGCCCAGGGAGATGTATGGCTTTTGTTTTTTAAACTGTTTCATTCAGCTTTAAGCTCTTGGTCTCAAGCTGACCAGTGAGGAGCAGTTGAAAAGGCTGCATAAAGAGCTGGCAGCAATATAAACCTGAGCTGGCTGTAGTAACCCTACACAGGCCACCTCTACACAGCCCTCAGAATGGAATTCCAGTTTTATCCTTCTAAAACTCTGCCTCCAGTTATTTTGCTTTGGACAAAAGACAGACTTGGCAGCTGTGCTGCTCTAGAGTGAACAAAGTCCTTCTCATGCCAAGACTTCAAGCTCAGAAACAGCTGAACAAGCAGTATGTGTGCAGTTTGGGACCAGAAGAGAAAAAACACACCTGAACAACAAATAAAACATCCTAACTACAAGGTCAATGTTTGCCTGTCAGCATAGGCACAGATAACTGGTCACCTCTTCATAAAAACACCTTTTCTTAAAGGATGAACTACAGTGAAGAAATTCCTCTAAAAGCTGCCACCCTTGCTAAACCAACTGTTCTTTTAAAGGCACTTCTCCAGTTTCAACCTCTTGTCACTTCTTTCTCCTATTGGTAGTAAAAAAGAAAAGATTTGCACAGGCAGCATCAGCAACCCCAGCACTGCAAAAAGCTGAAAATAACAATAACCAGCTGGCCATAACGCGCTGTCTCTTAGACAAAGGGTGATTAATCTACCCTGGGCATACTTTGCTCTCTCTTCTGTGCATGCAGTAAAACAAAGCATCAGCAAAATCTGTGAAGGCTGATCATGGGCAGAAATCAACATAATGCTGCTGGCCCTGAGCATGGGTCACGTGTGAAAAAAGTGACAGAACAGGAGACTGAAAATGTGCCCTTCTTAAAGCATTTGTCTTTATTGTTGACAATCTATTGGTGTATATGCAACTCAGAGACACTGGAGATGGGACAAAGAATACTCTTGTGTACTGTTGTCCCCTTATCAATTAAAAAAGAGTAACAAAAATCCTTCTGCTCTGAGATCTTACCGACTTGAACACTTACTAACATCTGCCAGAAATAAATCTATAAAATGGCAAGAAAACATTTTAAGGTGAAAAAGGGAGTTGCCAAAGGCATATGAGCATGTTACTTCTGACCTGAAACACATACCCTGGTAATTTTGCTGCGCATCTTGGCAAAGTACTTCTCCTGAGTCCGGGAGAGCAGCTCCTGCCCGCCGGCGATGGCCAGGATGATGGCGTCGGCCATGCGGTTGTCGTGCAGGCACAGATCCACTGCACTTTCAAAGTTCCCTGTCAGCAGAGCCTGTGTGATCAGCCCATCCACATCTGCAACGACACAGGGGGGCACTTCCAAATGCTGCCACAAAAGCCACAGAGGGATGGATGCAGCAGCAGGTGACACTGTCCAACTGTACAACGCTGGCACAGCCCACTCCCAGCCAGGTACTCACAGGGGCACAGCCATGCCACAGGGGCATTGTCAAACATTACTTACCTCATGACAGAGCAAGTTCCTAGAGGTCTAAATGGCCCCTAAAACAACTACCTGAACAGTGCCATAAAAAGCCAAACCTTGACAGGGGTCAGTGGTTTCTGTGTTACTCAAGATCCCCTGGGAGGTTCTGTAGAAACAGCACTTCATGCCTGACCAAGCGTATCTTCTTTTATCACTCAGAGCAGCTGCATGTCAGCAAGGGGGTACACAAGTGCTCTACAACTTCCTTCCTTCCTTAAAAAAGCTGTATTTTCAAGTGCCTTGAGACTGCATGTCTCAAGTTAGTTAGAGGCAAGTAATCACAATCCTTCACAATCTGTGCATCTGCCTTCTCACTGGAACACCACTATCAACAGCAGTACTTACAAATAACAGTACATACAATAAAATCAATATCAAGGTTATTTTGTACCTCCACTAACAGAAATGTTAAATGTTGTCTTTGCAGGTCCCAAATCTTCAGTTTCTTTTTTATGGTCCTTCAGTGTCTAAAAGAAAGGAAAAGAATAATTTCTGAGATTATGTAAACACTTAGAAAATTCAAACATTTTAAAACCATGTGGCTCTTGCACTGCAAGTTAAATTTTCAGACTACCAGTCTGAATTTCAGACTACCAGTCAACTCAGAGACCATTAACTTAAAAGGGAAGGTTATCCCTGTGTGCCAGCTTGGGCAGAGGTAAAGTTACTTTTCTTCAGAGTAGCCAGGATGGGGCTGTGTGTTTTGTCCTGGAAGCAGTGTTGATAATACAGAGATGTTGCTTTTGCTGAGCAGCACTTGCACAGCACCAAGGCCTCTTCTACTTCTCCTACTGCACCTCTGGTGAGAAGGTGCAGAGTGCGTGGGAAGTTGGGATGAGACACAACCAGGACAGGTGACCCCAAACTGACCCAAGGGATATTCCAGGCCATTTAGCATCATGCTCAGCACAATATAAAGCTGGAGGAAGAAGAAAGAGGGGGATGTTTTCAGGGATGGCATTTCTCTTCCCAAGTCACTGTTACATGTGATGAAGCTCAGCTTTCTTAGGGATGAAAACCTGCCTGCTCATGGGAAGCAGTTAATTAATTCCTTGTTTTTCTTTGCTTTACCAATTAAAGTTCCTTTATCTCACAAGTACCAGCAGCCAGACACCTGGATCCTGGGTACCAACTTCCATCTGTAGCCATATACACACAGCCCCCTCCAAGCAAAGCTACAGCTACAATGAGAAACTCAGACTCCTTTTCTTTCCTTCTTTTTCAGCCTTAACCCTTACCAAGAACAGTCTACCATTAATGCTACCTAGGTTCCACCCTGCTCCACTTTGAATTTCAGCTCATCCATGAAAGCCTCTGCACCAGACATACACCCCAGTTAAATTCAGCAAATTACACATGAACACAAGCTTAATTTTCAACACAGAAGTCCAGTGTAGCACTCAGGACAGGAATGTTCAGTAGACAGAGGCTGCTTTTTCTATAAAACTCCCCCAGAATTAAGACCACTTTGTGTGAGATTTTGGGATTTCAAACATTTCAATAATAAAAAATAGCACCAAAAGATAAGTCTCTCTTCACCATCCACTTTCACAGCACAGGCTAAGCAGAGTGCAGAACCTGGCCCACAAACCACCTCCACTGTCACAAGCCATTGCTCCAGTACACTAAGGGAGCTCAGGAACACCCTGCTTGTTCAGCTAAACTGAAGGACAGAGTAGACCAAAGACATTCATTTGGAGGGGGAAGCAAGTCTGAAACAAGCTTTATGTTTGGCTTGTGAAAAAGACACAGCATCTGGAAAATGATTTTGTTGTCAGATAACACTGGATGTGTGTTTGCTATTGGTTGAGAGCACACTGTGACTACCACAGGAATAATGTGCCCATCCAGTTACTTTATGTATGTGACAGCATGCCCTGATGCATCACCAGTGGCTTCAGGCCAGGCTCACAAATATTTAGGTAGGCTAAGGTCATGTGTGGCTGTGAATTCTCTCCTAGAAGAGACATTTGTAATGAGATATCCAATATCTTCATGACTGCATACAGCAAACCCCTTACACTGTCAGAAACACACATCTGTCACTACAGAGCCTACAGAACTAACAAGCAATCAAGCACCTAACCCAAGGAAAGCCTCCTGATTTTGATGTCTTTAACAGGCTGTTTGTTATGTCTGCACCAGCCCAACAGGCATGACCCTTAAACCACTGTCCCCATCTCCACAGAGAGCTGCAGACAGGCACCAAGCACAGGAAGCACAGCTACCAGCCCAAATTCTAACCCAAAAGGGGGACTGAGGGAATGGGGAAGAATGAAGTTGGCCTGTTCACACTATTTTCAGTGCTAGAGACACCTCACAAGGCAGAGGCTCAGTCCTTAGTGCTAATTAGAGACCTGTTCTCATATGTAAAACACAGGGTTGAAAACAATCCTATCCAAACAGTGTGTAGGATCCCAAATGCTGACATGGTTGAGCACAAACTCAGTGCTCCTAGCTGAACATAAACTAGGCTTCAGTAAACCTAGCTGAACCTACTGCCTGAAGCAGATGAAACAGAATCCCAGCAAGAGTCCAGTTTTACCATTATAAATAATTTTTGGTATTTCTGTATATCCTCAGCAGTAGGAAAAGCCAAGAAAATGAAATGCTGTTAAAAGGAACAAAGTAAATACAGGGAGGTCAGCAGGGTTAGTCTAGAGGGCAACAGATACCTCTCCCAAGAACTCCTCCTCTGTAGTCTGGCCTTCATCCCCCTCATTTGGCACAGATCCATCAGATTCTGCAGGAGCCTTCAGCAGAGAGAAGATGCCATAAACATCCACCAGCAAAATAGGCAGAAACACTTTGCATTGCAGAGTACTGTCACCCTTCCACCAGCCAAGTTAGAACCAGACTGAAAATCACAGAAATGCACTGGCAATATGTTCTTGAGCCTCACAAACAGGGTAGAGGCCCAGCTGGGTTTCCTTGCTCTCTGTCATTACACAGTACCTTGTGCTGTTTTCACCTCAGCTGCCTCAAAACATGCAAAAAAACCCAAACTTTCTTCCCCATGAGGCAGCTACAGATGACTCTGAACTGTCTGTGCCACAAAAGCACTGCAGAGTCCTGCTGTAGACTCAGGCCACTGCAATTACAGTGTGGGCAGTGCCTGAGCTGTAGTTACCACTCTTGCAGGAAAAGTTATAGGACCACACACTCAGTCCTGCTTTCTTTCAAGCCTGATGAAGGTGCTGCTCTTGCTATCAGGTGCCAGTGAGACCCATATTAAAACCTGTGACTGAGAGCCCTTCATTGGAAAAGGAGGGGAACATCTGAATGGAAAAGAAGTGGTTGCTTTTTTTTAAATAACACCTTCATCCTACTGAATGTAGGAACTTGCCACATGCTGGATTATTTGTGACTTACTTTGGGACAGCTATCAAGTGGAAAGAAAAATGATTATTACTTTACAAATTATTATGGCATTATAAAAGTAACCACAGAGTTACATAAATGTGTTTGCTTACCTCTCCCAAGGCACCATCTGCAAGACCTTCTTTATTCAGAGCAGATGTGATCTAGAAAATGATTTAGGTAAGTACCCTTTTAAAGAGGCACCAAATTCTCAGATTGCAAAACTGGCACATGTAGCTACTATGTTGCCTGCACAACAGTGAACATGAAATTAAACACTTTAACATAAAACTAAAGCCATTTCCTCTTCCAGCCTGGAGATGGATTTACTGCTAAGATACCTGCACCCCAAGCTCTGATGGAAACAACAGCTGCCATACACCTTTAAACCTTTAATAGTCAGCTCAAGGGCCTCAAACCTCACTAGAGAGCTGCTGGAAACTACGGGAATAAAATCAGTATCAGAACATGAAGGACAAAATCCTCTGTCTGCTCTGGTCAGGGAAAATAAAGCAGTGACAATCCTTGTGGAATAGAGAGCCTGTCAGGAAGCTGTGGGTTCCTGACATCAGGCATTTGGCTGTGGACTAGGATTTTCCAAGGTAAAAAAAGAGTTAAAATGCCCAGCTTCTACTGCTTTGCAAAGCAAACCAAAACTCCAGATTCAATTAGGGCTCTCAAAACCAACAATTTCATGTATAGAGTTTCTATATTATTTCAGCATCAGGGAGCCTGGGTTTCACATTGCTCCTAAAATTATCTACTATTTTTTGTATTGTAGGCTTTATTTTACCCTTGTGGGCTGGTTTGTGTAGAGAGCTGAGCTCAAATTTCTGGAGACAGTTTTCTCTTTCTTTTTTAATCACTAGTTTACAATAAAAATGAGAAATCCAGGACTTGGCTTCCATGAGAATCACAGGTTTTAAGAATATAACCCACCCTTCCCACGTTCTTCACAGCTTATTACAAGAAGCTGAAATCTGTGATCTCTGTTTTTACTTTCCTAATGGTACCAATAATAGGAAAACCAAGTTGTGATCTAGTGAGCTTTCCATCTGGGTATCACAAAGTTTCAGATGAGCTGTATTATGCTGCTTCTTCACACTGAAAAAAACATGGAGTCAACTTCTGCGTGGAATGTTTTCAGAAAACAGCTACATAAAACCAGGACTTTGTAGCTCCTTCAATCTGTTCCCCTAAATACTGAAATAATGGGATAGGCCCATTATTTCCCATTATATCCAGGCTACCCAGTTCAGCTGTGCCCATTCTCCCAGCTTCTCCCCATGCACAGGGCATATGAACCCAAAGCAAAAGCAAGCAGTGGGCTTTAATCTCATGAGGCCACTCTGCAGAACCACTACTGAATTTCAACTGGATTTTCTAATTGAGATCTGCTTTTCACAAACAGGATTACCCTTGCTATGCTTGCCTTTGGACAAATATTTAGAAGCTGAGGACAAACTGTTAACAAAACCATTCTTTTTCTCCCACAATCATATTAATTTTGCCCTGAAAGGCATTTAATTTGTGAGCACAATACACTTTAATGGAGCCAATCTCTGAAAATAAAACATTAGTTTGATATAATGAAAATGAGTCAAATGTTAAAATCCACTGAAACAGAGCTGAAGAAATACTAGATAGTTCCTGGGTAGACAACTGAAAACAACAGAGCCAGAAGGCACAGCAGGTAACTCCCTGTAACACTGAGTAAAAATCTTCCAGCTGGGAAGAAAGGTCTATAATGATGTGCAAATTGCTTCCTGGTAATCCAAACTTTGCTTTTCCAAATGTAACCACGTTTGACCTTTGGGCTTGTTTTTTCTCTTTTTCTTTCAAAAATGAAGGATGTCTCCCAGAAACAAAAAAGACTATCCCAGATTTTCCTAGTTAATGAAAACTGCTTACATGTTCTTCAACCAGAAAGCCTAAAAGCAGATGCCATTCCACCATGCTCAAGTAGAAGGGTGTCACATAGCAAAGTTACATGAATAGCCTGAATCAATAAATATCAAAGCTTCTTGATGAGTGAGAATTTCACTCATCAACAATGGACAGCCAGATGCAGACACACCTCTGTAGTGTGTTTGCCTGCTCTGGCATTTCCACTGAATGTCCATATTGCAAGAAGACACAACTAATGAGAAAACCCAACAGAGCAAAGTGTTTTCTGTAAGAATTCTGAAATTAAACTCTGAAATTCAAAAGTTATTTATCTCACATATTTACCTTCTTCTTCAGATCATCCTTCCTGTATCCTAAGAGCTCAAGGTATCTAACACGTGAATCCTCTTCGAAGTTCACCTTTAAAAAGTTAAAAACTATATTGCAATTCACAATTTTTCATTTTCTCCCTCACTGGCACAAATGACCCAGGGAGATTTAGTGACTGAGTAGACCAAATGTAATAAAGAGAAATGCAAAAACCTTCAGTGACTTGGGCACCTGAGCAGGTGGGTAAGGCTTCCATCTGGTTATTGCAGGTGAACCATGTGTTTATCTGCTTCACTTGGAAACCTCTACATGCTTAGAGTGAGCAGTGAAAGCCCATCTAAAGCTATCCCAAAGCTTTAATCCTCCTCACCAGCTCCCTGTACAAGTATTAGCTGATGGGGAATATCCAAAACCATGGGATATAACCTCACCCACACTTTTGCTTTGCCATGACTCCCCACAAACCCCCCTGGTCCTGAGGACCCTCCCTCCTCTGGTGGGTCTCCTGCAGTGCCAGGGCTCATGGGAATTATTCCCACAGCCTGCAGCTTTTGGTTCCCAGCACCTCCTGAGCTCAATGTGCAGAAGGAACCACCTCCTGGCTGTCCCACTCCCTGGGGAGCTGCTGCAGGGCTGCCAGCCTGTTACCTTCAAGAAGGCCCACACGTTCCTCTCAAAGTCAGCCAGGGCCATGTCCATTTTCTTCTGGCAGTAGCTGACAAAGCCCTGGGACTGCACAGCCTCCTGCAGCTGGTTTGAGCGGGCCAGGAACTCCTTCTCTGTGACAACCTGGCTCACGTAGACGTGGGGATGCTGCTGCTGCTGCTCCATGCCCGGCTGCTGAGGAGGCTTGGAATTCTCAAAGGTCACCAGCTTGCCTCCAAACTGGAATTGAAGCACACATACAGCATGTGAAAATACAAGTACCCAGCAGGGGAGCATGTATCAAAATGTATTTTATATAACATATATATGATTATTGTCCGATAACTGAACGCTCCTGACACCTGCTCATTTATTTTTTTTCCCCCATCCCATACTTCTATGTCTGTAAGGAGCTTGTTGGATAAGTAGGTTCACATTGATAAGATTTATAAGCACAGACATTCCTGTGCCTGTTTTTTTCTCAGACAAAAGACAGACCAGAAACTGAGAGCTGGAGCTGTGGGTCTGTGCAGTACCCAGCAATAGTGGAGTATCTAATGATATTGCAATGCAGTTGCCAAAGAAACCTTTACTTAACATTATTAAGTAAATGCTCAAGCATGATGTCTGCCCTGCTCTTGCCAGGCTGTTTAGCAGTTGAAACTCTACTGAGAGATAGGCAGTAAGTTGTGACAACATTTGAAGAGGTAAAATTAACACAGGAAAATAATTAGGAGGGGCTTATGATATTATTTCATTCTATAGCTGTAAGTTAATTTACACAGGCAAATCCAGTAAAACCTGCATTAGAAAAAAGCAAAAGCCTAGCCAGGGAAAAGACTGACACCTGGCTCCTAGGAAACCAGGACAAATAAGGGAATAAACATCATAAAATGACACATCAGTCAGTGGCTAGGCAACATCACTTCTTTTTGACAGGAGAAAATTGCATTTAATTTGCACATCAGATCATGAATAAACAGATATATGATGTTGAAAATTGTGTAGTATTGCAGCAGAGAAATTGAATTCAAATGGACAGGCTAAAATCCTCAGAAGCTCCCAAATAAATGGCCTGTGGGTTTAGAAAAGAAGCCAAAAGTGGAGCCAAGGAGCAAAAAAGCTAAGCTTGCCATCTCCTCAGCTGGCTCCTCTGCAAATGAACCAGCCATGGAGGAACCTACCCTTGTGCTGCTACAGCAACTCCTGTTACCTTGATCAAAGCTAACCTGAGTGTTCTCCACCATACTGACTTACATGAGCAGTTTGAAACTATGAAGTCTCAGATACTTGCCCAGTTTGGTCTCATTCCCCCAGTGTATATTTATTTACCCTAAAGCAAGCAGTGCACAGAAACAAAAGCAAAGCCCTAATGCCAAGATACAAACAAATGTCTCTCAGACACTTTTCTTATCCCAAGCATTTTGGTCAGGCTTTTGCTGTTGCCAGTGCCCTGTCTGGAAGGCACCCTGAGCATCTCCCATTATGATAACAAAGAGGAAGATCTCCCAAGGTGGAGCACCCCACTGAACTCCCCCCTTTTAAGGGTTTTAGCAGGTGGCAGCACTATCTCCCTACCTGCCAGGCCAGCCCTGCCCATCCCTGTCTCTTACAGTATTCATTGGCAGGGAGGAATGATGAGGAGGACTCCACCGATATCAGAAAGATATTATCAGAAATATCAGATAATTAACTACTTTATTATACTATATTATTTTATACTGTATTACACTACATGTAAACTGAACCTGCCAAGCACTCAACTGCACTCAACTGCACAGCATCTCATGACTGTCAGCCAACAGTCCCAACACACGCGCTTGGTCCTGACAGGCCAAGGAAACAAAACACCATCACCCTGGGTAAACATCTCCATATTGCATTCTACTTTGGCACAACACAGGAGCAGCAAATGAGATAAGAATTGTTTTGATCATTCTTTTCTCTGCTTCTCTCAGGTTCAGAGAATGTGAATCCCACAGTCCTTACCGAGAAGGATGCTCCCATGGGTCGCCGGATCCACTTGGGTGGTTTCTTCAGAGGCATCACCACACTCTGTGGGGCAGTCTGCTGGGGGAGCTGCAGGGGAGGCAGGGGCTGGCCCGTGCCAAAGGGATCGAGGTTCCCAAAAGACGAGGAGAGCTTTGATAACACAAGGGGGAAAAACCAAAGTGACATTACTCTAATAAATGAAACATCTATTTGGTACTCCTGCAAGCAGGGCTGCAGGCAACCACTGAAAACTTCCCAGATTTTGTTCACCTCCTCCCCCACTTTCTGTCCCTATTCTGAACAATTTTCAACACCTGGTCAACTTGTTTCTGCCTGAGGCCATCGGCGCTGCCGCCCATGATGGAGTAGACGCTGATGCGGCCGTCGAAGGAGGCTGCAGACAGCACAGCAGGGTTCCTCGGGCACCACTGGATATCAAAGCACCACTGAGTGTTCGTGGGCAGCTCGTACAGCACCTGGGGAGCAAAACCAAGCCCAACAAATCAGAGCTCTCATGGAGCACCCTGCCTGACAGCAACAACCTTCCCGTGTGCCCCAAGGCTGGTCTGCTCTCCCTGCTCCCCATCACCATACACACTGACAGTGGGCAAACCCTGATGATCTCCAAACATCACACACCACTGCTTCATCTCCTTCTCCTCCCATTAAATCTTCTGTTGAATCCCCACAGGACAAATGATACAGGTGGGGTGTGTCTGTGCTGTCCCACTGTGAGCTGCTGACATTCGCGCTAGCTTATTCAGAGCTGATTTAGGGATCCTCACACACTGTGTGGAGGAAGTCTGTTTCCACAGAAAAACTAAAAATGGTAAAACCTGCACCCTGGGCAGACAGCCTTTTGTGCCCTGGAACAGACAAGCTCCCCCTACAGCAGATATTTAACCATAAACCAGGAGAAACTCAAAGAACAAAATGATATCTGTCAGCAAAATGCTGTCTCCCATGGAACTCGTTTTTAGTTTTTAAAACTTCATAACAGCACAGGATCCAGCTCAGATAACTCATCTAATACTGCACAGCTTCTGCATTTTTGGGCCAATGTCTGAATTTTAGAAACACTTCCCATTCCACAATTATTACCCACTGGAGGCAAGGAGCCCTCCAGCATGTCTGAAGCCTTGCTTCCTGGTCTAGGGACAAACACTGTCTGAAAAACAGTTCTGGATTCTCTTTGAAAGATATTCCCAGGCCCAAAAGGGTGGGGTGGGAACACATTTGAGTGGCTCTCACTGATCTGCTACAACTATGGCAATCTACAAATACCCTCCTGGCTGGATAAAGTTCTTAGAGAAGGAAAAAGGCAATTGCAACCATGGTCCTGCCACACTGGACCCAAAACAAGAGCAGGAAGCATATATTTAGTTTAAGTGGAGCCATTTCCATCTCTTATAATGAACAGGGACATCACTACTCATTAAGAGAGAAGCTGCAAGGACAAATGTGTAATATTGACAACACCAGTAAGGAATCCTGCACCACCATGACAAACTCAGAAGTAAAGCATATAGCAAATAGGATAGGGGGCAGCATCCCACAGAAGCATCATTCCTAGGAATGCAAGCACAGGAATATGTGCTTTGCATGTGCCGCCTCTGAACAGACATTTTTGGGTTCTTTTAAGTGGTATGCATACAATACCTCTCCTGTGTTAGGGTTGGAGCAGAGAATTTTAGCATCTTTCCCACAGCTAAGTAGCAGCTCTGGATCTGCCATACTCCAAGCAATGGCCAATATACCCCTGCATGAAAAGCCACAACAAAAAAATAGCTTAATGTAAATGCAAAATGGTAAACAAAGCATATTTAGAAGTTCAGCATTCCATATCAAAATGCCCTCTCCACCCCTTCCTCTTACAAGAGGAGGAATTTTTCAATGTTATCAGCCCTTGTTTTGTTGAAATAGATGTTTGCTATTTTCTGCATGAAAAGGTATAAAGATGCAGCCATTGTATCTGAAAATTAAATGCAACAATCACATGGGAGAAGCTGGGCATCAGTAACCCTATGGTTTAGTGTCACTAACACAGTGTGCAAACCCACAGGTAAGGTCAGTGACTAGGAAGTATTTCAGCTTTTTATTAGCAAGACATTCAGCAGAACCCACTGGCAGCAGTTTTGGTAAGAGCCACAACACTGTTCTCCCTTCTTAAATCAAGCATTGGATTTGAGCAATAAGGAAAGTCACCAACAATGGAGGACGGACGAAAAAAATCGACCCATTTGATTTTTGCTTAACAAAATCATCCATTATACCCAAAATTAAGGCATTTAGGGACTGAGGGGCACAGAAACTGTGCAAACCCACAGAAGGATGTGCCTGGGTGCACCTTAGCATGTTATTCAGCCAAAATCAACTACTACGAATTCTTTTTTCCTTAGCTTCCTCTTCTTAAAATACTTAGAAACAAACAAGTAGTTTCAGCAGCCTGGTGGGTTTCTCTGTTTAATTTTGGAGCCAGTTTCCTTCAGAGTACCAATCTCCAAAACCACAAGGCTTTCATGGCACAGGGCTAGCTGGTCAGCAAGCCAGCTTACAGCACTGGCTGCTGCTGAAATTGCCAGCACCACGGGAGCCTTCCTCCCCAGGGAACAGCAGGAAGTGGGATGTACAAAGCAGGACAGTCACCAACAGTGCAAATACCATGGAGCACACCACTCCATGTAAGCCTCATACCTTGTGTGACTTTCCAGAACACGAAGTGGGGAGGAGGCAAATCTCAGGTCCCACATCTGAATAACAGGCAGCCTGTCGTCCTCCGAGGCCAAAACCATCTGGGTGGCAACTTCAGGGTGCCATGCCAAGCCTGAGCAGTGCATCTGAGGAGAGACATTGGGCCAAAGCATCACACAGCTGAGCAGCACTAAAGGAAAAAGAAAACTAGCCCAAATATGTCTGTGTGTATGGTAAAACACCACTGCAAGGGAATTTGAAGCTGTCTTTCCAGGCATTGTTTCTGACTGCATTCAGACTGGGAAATTCTCCTTATTCTTGTGAATGAGGAGACTTGCACTTCAGTTTCCCAAGGTCCTTTCAGAGAGGTTACACTGTGCTGACTTTTTCCCAGTCCTAGGTTTTAATGTGAGAAAACACTAAAGCTCACCATATAAACCTTTTTCTCTATTATTTTTATTGCTATTTTAATAAAAGCCATCATTAGGCAGAGGTTATTGGCATGAGAACATTGTATCACAAGACCACCATCACATGATGAAGACAGCCTACTGTGCTGCTGTTATGTCAGGCAACAAACACAGAAAACACTGAAAGTGACATAGTTTATCAAAATAATAATACAGTTAGGAAAGAGCTACTCCCCAGCACCCACTTCTAAGTTCCATTTTTAACTCTTGCTGTATCTTTGGAGTTTGTAATAGCAATATTCTATTTAAAACAATACAAAATTATACAAATATGTCACTCTCCACGAGTTAAACTCTTTCTTGCACTTACACTGCCTAAAGGGGTGGCATGGTGGTTGTAACTATAGGAGCACCTCTGTAACCTGCTTAATGCCATGCTTCTCTGTGCAAAATCAATAAAATCTTTCTGTGGTAGCCCAAACAGATCAGTAAGAGCTTTCTCAAAATTCAACCATCACTCTAATAGGACACCTGAGTGCCTTGCCTTGCTTCAGCCTGCATCTGGCTATTTTAACTGATAATGCTAACAACCCCTCTTGCATAAATATACTCCCAAGAGCAAACAGGGCCAGGCAGCAGGATCTCTGTCTATTGTATCTGCCAGGCACCCCTGACGAAGGCAGGAATGATGAATCTGACTCCATGTTCTCAGAAGGCTAATGTATTACTTTATAATACTATATTATATTAAAGAATGCTATACTAAACTATACTAAAGAATACAGAAAAGATACTTACTGAATGCTAAAAGGATAATAATGAAAACTCGTGACTCTTTCCAGAGTCCTGACCCAGCCTGGCCCCAGTTGGCCAAAGAGTCAAAACAAGTCACACCAGAATCCAATGAAACAATCACCTGTGGGTAAACAATCTCCAAACACATTCCACATGTGAGCACAACACAGGAGAAACAAATGAGATAAGAATTGGTTTCCTTTTCTCTGAGGCCTCTCAGCTTCCCAGGAGAGAAATCCTGGGCAAAGGGATTTTTCCAGAGAATGTGAATGGCACATGTATCACACAAAAAGGGGTGCCCTGACCCATCCCTGCAGCTCTGTGCAGGCACCCAGCAGCTGCAGGAGAGAACTAGAGAACTCACCCTGTTGTTGTGGTCGCTGACTTTGATGATGGGCTCGTTCTTCCTGAGATCCCAGACGGTGGCCCTGCCGCTGGGGCTGGCGGATGCCAGGATGTGCTGCACTTGCCTGTTCCATGCAATGCAGCTGATGTCCTCCAGAGGCTGCGGCACACACACAACAGCCTGTCACAACCCCGCAGGCTCAAACCCTGCTCTTTTCAGCACTTGCTAAGTGGGAAATCTGCAAGGAGAGTGCCCCGTGTACTGGGTGTGTTCTGGCTTCCTTTCTACACGTGCTGTAGTGTACAACACCTGAAAACACTGATGTTTAGAATTTCTCCGTTTAGTTATTTTCTGCTTTACAGTACTACACATTAGTTATTAAAACAAGACTAAGCAAAACTATCTTCAAGAACAGAAAATTACTCTGTGAAAGTATATCCAGACATATGAACTGCTCTTTTATCTTGGACTATTAGGTTTTTATTTAGCAAAAAAAAAAAAAAAAAAAAAAAGTTTGCTGAGAAATTCCATGGTTTTTTTTATTCCATCCCAATTCTTATTTTTAGACCAAAAACCCAGCTCTTGTTGCCCTATTATTTCTAGTTGTCATTATGCATATGGACTAAAAGATATCCCAGCCTAAAAAAAAAAAATCACTATTAGACATAAAAAGTCTTTTACAGGGATCTCTAAGGTGAACATCCCTTTAAATGCCTACATGTTAATAAATTACTTGAACTAAACCAAGTAACCAAACCCCACAGAGTTTAAACCAAAAATCTTTAAATTGAAGATTACTGCTCATCCCATTTGCGCACTTTTTTGTCTCCAAATTATCATGCAGTAATAAACCCATTTTCCAGCAACCAGAAGTGTACTTGCATAGAAACCACTTCCTCCCATTCTTCCATTTCCTTCACAAGGCAAAAAGCACAAAAGACTATTGTTTTTCCCCACAGATCATCTTTAAGAGACACAGGCTAAACACTGGACCTTGAGCATAGCAATTAAACCACTCCCTGAAACCCACCAAGGTAACTGCAAAACCTACTGCCTCATCATCTGACTTCTCAGTAGCTGCTTTTTATCTTTTTCCTCCTTTTCTCTATGTACCTCCACCATCTTCAGATTTGTGCATGCAGGGAAACAGGCAGAGGAAGACTAAAAGCCAAGTAATGGTTATGGTATTTGAAAAGGAGTGCAGTCTGAGAGACTCTGCTTGCTGCTTGATAAAATGCAACATTTCCCAAAGATTAAGGGGACACCACAGTTTTCCCTGGCCAAGTACAATTTCTTAACAAAAAACTGCCACATGACACAGCTGGCTTGTGCAGCAAGCCAAAACTGCAGGTCTGTTGTGGATAAAGAAGACAGCCCATGCAGGGTTGCTGCAGGGGAAGCTGAGCACACCACTCACTGCATGGACCCGTGCACACTTGCACTTACAGGCACAGCCAGGACACTGCTCCCCATAGGGCGACAAAAGCAGCAGCATCCAGTCACCCTTGCATGCAGCCACTACCCAAGATTGACTTCAAGAGGCTTCCCCTCCTCCATGCTCCTGAGACTGCTTTAAAACTGCAAATTTCCATCAGCTGTCATCTAACTGCCATGCATCTTTCCATGAGTCTGCTCTGGAGAATTTAATAAACACAAATCTGGTACCTGCGTCTTCACTCCTGGTGTCATTGGTGTAGCAAAGTTGTTCAAGTCCCAGATATAGATTTCAGACTCATTAGCACCAGAGGCCACCAGATTAGTCTGTAGGAAATATTAATAGACATTAAGAGTATTTCAGCATCAGCTTTCCCAGTCTTAGCTGCTGGGAGGCATCAGATCTGCAGAACTCTGCAAATTTCCCCTATCTGCTCATGATATAGGAAAAGATACAGGGAAAAGAGTGACAGGGCAGAGGAGGGAGCAGTGCTGCAGTTATGGCCACCACAGAGCTTTTCTCTGCACAGTGTGACATTCCTGCCCTGCCCACAGTGAGTGCAGCCATCCAAAGCACTCCTGCACCTGGGATGCAAAAGTCCAGGCAGGGCAACATGAGCCAAGGTCACCAAGTGCCCTTTGGTCACATTTTGTGGCTGATAACAGGCAAGTCCTGAGCTCACAACAGGCAGAAAGGGACAGGAAGCAATTCATAGAGGACACAATGAACACAGTGCAGCCTTGCTGGAGGCAAATGTGCAGGGACAGAAGTGTTATTTAGGAAACAAATCCAATGAATTCTCAGACAGCTGGTGGCAACAAGGAAAAACCAACACACTGTATCTAGAAGGAAGTAAATGCTCATTGGTGGTGTGGGAAGGATTGTTGGTTTTGAGAGCCCTTCTGCTCAAGAGGCCCCATGGCTGTGTTTCCTTGCTGTCTCCTCTTAGGAAGCAGGCCTTGAAGGTGGATCCTACCCAATCCCCAAAGGAGAGACCTGAAAACTGATCTCACCAGAAACATGAATGAGAGCCTGTTATTCCTTCCTGTGTGACTGGCACAATGCACAGAGGCTAAGAGAAGAGACTGACTAAAAACACCCTGAAGAGCACCTCTGCTTCACAAATAAGCAGAGCTAAACAGATCAACTAAATTGACAAGGTAAACTGATGAGGGGAAAGAACAAATTAAAGAACTTTCATTCCACATATGAAATGCCAGTAATGGGACCGGTTTTTCCTACTAAATACAGACACTCAAACACCAAATATAGTTCATGCTTTTCAGCGAAGAGGAAGCAGCAGAAACATTTGAGGTTATGAGTTAAGATAGGCCACCCCTCTATTGATGGTATGTCAAGAGAAACAGCCCAAAAACCAACCTGGAACATGTTGACATCAAGCGCTCTCACTGGTCCCGTGTGCTTGTCCTTCTGGGCTATTATTACCTCAGCCTCTCCATCTATGATTTTGGCTGAGTCATACAAGATGACATTGCCATTTTCACCCCCAGCAATCAGGACTCCAGACACTCTGTCCCCTGAGGTCATGCTGTGAGGGCCCCAGATCAGCTTGTGGTACCTGCAAGACACAGAGGCCCCACAGTCTCAGAACCATCCACCACCAGCTCCCCGGAGGTTGATACATCGCATTTGTGCTCACCCCAGCTAAAGTCAGAGAAAAGCACTGCCTGCTTTTCTCCCTAAGGATGAGTCTCAGCACAACCCTTTCCATCAGGAAGACATGTCCCAGTTCTGCTCATTAACAAGAGGCACAACCAATGACCCACAAACTGACAACATCTCCAATCTCCTGGCTGCAAAATCGGGTAAGTGCTCCCAACCACAACAGCAGCATCAAAGTAAGGACTGTCAGCCCATCCAGCCACAGCCTGAGGAAAAACTCTGCTATCTGCAAGCAGCTTCATACAGGAGAAGAAACAGGTGAAATTAGAAAAATTCCATATGCTTTTCCATATCTGTGCTTTTGGATGTGCAAGTGTTTTGTCTGCCATGCCAGGGACTCAGCAAGTTTAGCCAATATCACAGACACATCTCTTGGACCACAGCCTATTTTCAGGCTAACTCAAGAGGAATCAAACATACTTCCAGAAATTAAGAACACTATTGTGTCCATCTGTAAATACCCAAATTCCCTTCAACTCAATTAACTTCCTGTCTAAGCAAAACAGCATTCCTGCTGTTTAGCCATGCAAAGAATGAGTATGTTCTGCATAAAATGACACAGCCACTTATCAGCTCAAATGCAAGCAGAAAGCAAACTGGAAGGTGGCAAGGAGATACCTCAGCATTCACTGTAATATTGCTCATCTATTTGTTACCTCCAGGCAATCTTCAAGTAACTTCTTTAAATCACAGCAACTTTAGCATGGTAAGAAAGAGACTGCAGAAAGCTACCCAAAAAGCATATGCTGGGTGAGAAATACCATAACAGCCAAGTGTTCAGGCTCCCAGTGCTGAGATTACAGCAGAGGTTCACCAAAGAATGATGCTACAAATGGAAACTGGTCTGTGATCTCAGACAGACCCATTCCTGGGTATGATTTTTATGCTTCTGTGCCTAACTATGCAAGTTTACAAGGAATGAAGTAGCTGACAGGGCTGTCCAGGCATCATCAGCAAGACTGAACAGGACTTAAACCAAAATGAAGGCAGGAAACAATGAGGAAAAAACCCCAAAAATTAACAGTGCAATTACTTCCCTTTTGCCCTTTACTCTTTCCAAGATAAAGCATGGCTGTATAAAAGCAGTGCAAAACTTTGCTTGGAGGGCAATTAAGGATTTATCTTTTGTGGGTCTAATCACCTGGACATGATTTGCTGAAAACCAAAATACAGCCTGACATATACACTGCTATCTAATCTTTAATTAGAAACAAACAAGCAACCCTCAACCTCATTTTTAATGCATTTTCTGGGGCAAAGTCAAATTCTTGTGTTGCTGATCAAGGGAGGAGCATCCTGGCTCTAAGGAGTGCTTCTAGAAATTCAGAAAGCAAACAGCAAGTCTTGAAGAATCTCAGCCACAGTTAAAACAAGGTAGAACAACAAAACTCAAAGATCCAACACTGCCTTGTGCTCTGAGCAGGTCAGTAGGACATATTGACATCAGCTCTGCCAGAGAGCTGCTACAAGAGATGGGAACTGGATGCTCTGATGCTAACAATATTTGCCTGGATAAGCACACAGTAAGGCACTAACAGCTAAGTGGAGCTGTGCAGCCAGGAATTTGGCTTCCCAGCTGTAGGAACACACACAACATAACCCAAGTTTTTCATGTTACAGGAGTCCCCCTGAAATGCCTAAATACAAACAGGATGATGCAATATGAAAAGTTGCCACCATATTTTCACAATTTCACATTTTCTTCTGTTTTCTTGTGAATCCCAGAGGCTTCCTGAGACAAAGAGTCCACACATATACTTTAAAAAATTCTGTTTATGTCAATTCTGTTTCTGTCATGAGCTGCTTTCTTAGAGTCTAAGCTTGCTGCTCCACAGCATCAATTGCACACACTTGCCTTCATCTTTCAGTGCTGAACTTCTGCTTCTTTCCTGAACAAGTGCAGCCAAACCACATGAAGTGACATTTCTATGCATATCACACATAACAGTTCCACAGCCTGTACTTTTCTCTTACAACACTGCCTACCTGTGTGAGGAGGAGAATGTGGCACAGCTCTTCATATCCAGTGAAGGGTCTGCTAAGTCCAACTCGAATATTTCTAGAGAAGCACTTGTACTGAAGGTTGCATCCAGCTGCTGAGCTGAGGTACCTGTGAGGAAGCACACCTGGCAGTGAGAAGGCCACAATACACAGAGCAGTAACTGCAAATGCAGCACAAGAAGGGGAACAAAGAGGAACAAAAACATCATCCTTTCAAAAAGGATCCTGAGATGGGGTCAGGCTTCTGTTTCTGTTACTTAGATGTTGTTCCACACAACTCTCCTCCCCATAGCTCTTTGTTTGGGTGTTTCTTAATGACTATGAGCAGAAAAAGCTTTGGGCAAGTACCTCTCCCTGATGATGCACAGAACACGACTGATGTTACAAAGGAGCCACAAGTGACTAGTGCTTGGGATTGGTGTCACCATTCCCTGGCAGAAAGAGGAGGATGCTGGCTGTCACTTGCAGAATGCAAAGCATGCTTTTATCAGCACAACTCAAGAACTCCACTCAAAACCCCACAACATGCACCCCACTCCAGCCCCCAGGACACAGAGTAACTCCTACAGCTTTCAATAATGGTGTACCCCTTCGTTCATGGTGTGCAGCCACCGCACACAGCCCCAGGTCTGCCAGCACATGCTCCCCAAAAACTCACCTGTGGCCAGGTAAATGGGGTGCTGCTGGGCAGGGCTCCATGCCTGCATGGCAGTACGGTCCACTTCTTTCAGCTTCATTGTGCTGGAAAGCAAGACCAAGAGAGGTGATGCTTACATGGTGCATGGTGAGGCTGCACTGCCACGGGTTCAGGAGCCGCATTAGGGCTTGGCAGAGGGACCATTTTCCTAAAGAGATCCTTCAGACAGACACCCAGGCCATCCTCTCCAGAGGACACCCGGGGGAGGGGAGGAACAACTCTCCATTAGCAGAATAGCACTGACACGTAGGGGAAACTGACGGGTGCGGAACATAACACAGGAAAACGTGGGCAAAGCTTCAGCAGCTGTGCAAACCCTCTTCCCACAGCACCGAGGCATCAGGCACCCTACAGCAGCTCTCTGCCCTAACCCACGAAACAGACCCAGCCCCGGGAGGACCCTGCCCGGACCGTGCCGCCCAACACCCTCAGCGGCTCCTTTCGGGTCCCGTTCAGCCCCCGAGGGCTCCCCCGCCCCGGGTGCGCCCCGCCCGGCCGGCGGGACCGCCACCCTCGCCCCGTTTTCGACGGGAGCCGGAGGAGAACAGCTGCAAACCAGAGGATTGCGCCGTGCCTGCCCTCACCTCGGCGTCCCCGGCGCTCACCGTCCCCGGACTGCTCCAACGTGGCAGCCCCGGCACCGCCTCCCGGCCGCCACCGCCTTCCGGGCGCGCCCCGCGGCTTCCGGGCGGCGGCGGCGGCGGGGCAGCGCCTTCCCGGCACGGGGCGGGAGCGGCGGGCAGCCACGGGCACCGGGGGTGGTGGCGGTGGTGGTGGCCGGAGGGTGTGTGTGGGGATGTGCAGCCGCCTCCTTCCACGCGTGTCCTCCGTGTTCCTCGGGGCGGGAGCAGCCATCGGCCCTGGGGAAGAGGGAGACGGGTTAGGGGCGGTGGGAGCGGGGGGAGCCGGGGCGCAGCGCCAGCAGCGCGGGGGCCGCCTGTCCTCAGCTCAAGGGCAGTAATCATGGCGTGCTCATGATGTGAACAGCAGTGAGGCTCATCACGGGACAGGGGCCTCCGCAGGGCGGGGGAACGGCCCAAGGGAGCTCGGCCGGCTTCCACAGCCGGGGACGGCAGCCCCGGACCCACCTCCTCACGGCAGCCGGGGCACAGCTCCGCTGCCGCCTCCCGCCGGGCTCCGCGGCCGCTCGGTGGGCAGACGCCGTGCGCGGGGCGGGCGCTGCCCGGGCCGCATGGCGCGGCTCAGCGGGGGCACAGCGGGAGAGACGGCGGGCGCTGCCGGCCCCGCTATAAATAGGGGCGGGAGGCGCGGCTCCCATTGGCGCTGAGGATCGCCCCTCGCCACTGGCTGCGCCGCCGCCGCCGCCGCTCCCGGTTGGCTGAGGCCGTCCCCGCTCCCGCCGCCGCCGCCGCGCCCAATGGGGCCGCGGTCCGACGGGCCCGCCGGCCAATGGCGAGGCGGCGGCCGGGCGCGCGGGCGGCGGCGGCGGCCAATGGGCGGGCGGGCGGTGGCGCGCGCGCGGCGGCGGGCGCGGCGGCGGCGGCAGCGGCCATGACGCGGAGCTGCTCCGCGCTGGGCTGCACCGCGCGCGACACCGGGCGGAGCCGCGAGCGCGGCATCTCCTTCCACCAGTGAGTGCGCCCGCCCCGCTCCCCGCCCGCCGGCCCTCCGCGCCTTCATCCCGCCAACTCCCTCTGCCGCAGGTTCCCGGTGGACGCCGCGCAGCGCCGCGAGTGGATCCGCGCCGTGAACCGCGTGGACCCGCGCAGCCGCCGGGCGTGGCGGCCCGGCCCCGGCGCCATCCTCTGCTCCCGACACTTCGCCGAAGGGGACTTCGAGCGCTACGGGCTGCGGCGGAAGCTGCGGCGCGGGGCCGTGCCCTCCCGCTTCCTCCCCTCGGTGCGGGCGGGTACCGGGCGCGCTCCCCGCTCCCGCCCGGGAGGTTCCGCCGTGTGCCGTGACATCCCCTCTCCTTCTCCCGCCAGGAGCCGCCGGGCGCCGGCCGCAGGAGGAGCGGGACGCCCGGGCGGGCGCTGAAGCAGCCGCTGCCCAGCCCGCCCGCCGGGGACCACAACTACAGCCTGCAGGGACAGCGCGCCGCCGAGCCGCCGCCGCCGGGCACCCCGCGGCACCAGCAGCAGCCGCCGGCGGCCGCCGGGAGATGCGGCCCCGCGCCCCGGCGCAGGAGCGTGCCGAGCATCCTCAGGGAGCTGGCGGAAAAGCGGCAGCTTTCTGAGGAAATCGTGAGTTTGCTGCAGGCGCAGTTTTCAGGTATTGCCGGGACGCTCGCTGAGGCAGAGTGCGCTCCCTCGCCCCCGGTTCGCGTCTTTGGTTATCCCGTGCCAAGGAGGAGGCGGGGCACAGTGGTACCGTGCCTGAGCCCTGCACTTCATGCCGGACTTCAGGACCGAGTTGTTCCAGAGGCCATGCTGTTGCCTTGTTTTCTGCAGTGCATTTGTGTCATGCATCCCTCTGTTTCCAGCCATTTATTTCTTTCACTAAAGTTGCCCTTTTGTGATTTCTTAAGCAGATTTGCCTCGAGAGTTGCACAGCTGGAGGCAGATGGCAGACTACTCACCAGAAATGAGGCAATTTGCTTGTCTTCTCCATCTCTACCACATTAAGGCCTATGATTACCTACGGAAGATTCTTCCCCTCCCTCATCCTTACAGCCTGACAAAGCAAGTTTTTCGCTATTCATTCATTCAGAATGTATTTCCAGTACTCCTGTAGAAATAGGTGTAACAGATCTGTCCTGAAGCTGCTTTGTTACTTCCCTGCATGGTCAGTGCTTTCCTTGGCTTCCCACCGCTGGGGTGAGAGGAAAGAAACTCGGACTATGCATGAAGGCAAGCAGGGCTGCCTTCTTTACCCTGCATGTGTCAGCCTGCTCTGCAGCTTGGGGCATGGCTCACCATGTCCTCAGTGCTAAAAAGAGCTGCCTGTTGCTTCAACTTTTCCAGAACCACATCTCCTAATCACATCCTCCTTCTTTTTTTCCAGCTGGCTGTCTAGTAATGAGGCTGCTGCAGGCTTCAGCAGTGACATTTTTCTCCGGCTTCAGGAAAAGGTGGAGAGAGGGGACCAGGCCTGCCGCTGCTGCGCCGTGCTGGTACAGGACATGTCCCTGCAGAAGCAGCAGGAGTGGGACCCACGGAGCAAGCAGCTGTCGGGCTTTGTTGACTTGGGAGCAGGCATCCTTGATGCTGACGAAGCTCCGCTGGCATCAGAAGCGATAGTCCTCATGGCAGTCGGCATCTCCAGCCCTTGGACAGCTCCCCTGGGCTATTTCTTGGTGAACAGCACATCTGGCCCCTTCCTTGCTCAGCTCCTCCGTCAGGCCATCCATAAGCTGAACAGCGTTGGGGTCGTGGTTCTGGCTGTGATATCAGGGGCCTCTGCTCGTGGAGCTGAGACTGCCAGAGCTTTGGGCATCAGGATAGATCCCAAAAGGATTCGGTGCACTTTCCAGCATCCACCTGGTTCTGCTCACAGCATCGCGTACTTCTTTGATGTTCCTCATGCCCTCCAGCTGATAAGGAATGCTCTGCAGTGCTTCCAGAAGGTCGAGTGGCTCAGTGACACCATGTGGTGGCAGCATGTGGTGGAGCTGGCAGCTTTGGGCGAGCAGAAGGTGTTGGAGCCGTGCAGTGCTGAGTCGGGCAGGGCTGGGAGTAAAGGGAGTTACCACCTGAAGGTCAACCTTGCCACCCTGCTGTTCAGCAAGGGTGTTGCTGAGGCACTGGAGCACCTCCAGAAGCTGGGCCTTGCCTCGTTTCAGAGCTGCAGCGGGACTGCCAAGTTTGTGCGTCTGATGAGCTCTCTGTGTGATGTATTTTATGGCAGAGGTCCCTATGGAAAGGAGCCTTTGCTAGCTGGGAATTACACCAAAATAAGCAACCTTTTCGATGAGGCCAGGAGCTGCTTTGTCAACTTAACAGACTCTGTGGGGAGATACATTATTAAGAGCAAACGCAAACTGGGATTTCTGAGCTTGTTGCTCAATGCTGAAAGCCTCAAGTGGCTTTCCTCCAACCACACATGTCTAAAAGGCACTCCTTCCCAGCACCTCCACACACATGCCTTCAGCCTGGACCCTCTGGAGCAGTTTCTCAGGGCCCTCCAGCAAGCCTGTGGCAGCAGTGGCAGCCCCACCTGTGCTGTGTTCCAGGCTGCTTACCACAAACTGCTGGCCAGCTGCAGCCTGGCCCCCGGCTCACCACCCAGCAGCGGCAATGCCAGCCCCTGGGATGTATCCCTGTCTCAGAGGAGAGCTCTGACTCTGGGCAGCATTCGTGCCCAGTATCACCCAGCTCCTGGGAGGCCTCTGGCCCCAGAGTACCCCTACAGTGCAGGCCTGCTTTTGCCCAGCTCTGCCCTGAGCAATGCACTGACAGACCTGTCACTGTACGCACAGAGCCTCACCTGCACAGCTGGCTGGGTGGCCGAGCAGCTGGCCTTGGACTTGCAGTGTGAGCCTTGTCTTGCCTCTCTGTTTGAGGCAGATGAGAGCAGGCTAAGATGCAGGTCAGTGCTCTACATAAAAAAGTTGGGTGGTGTGAGCCTGCCCTCGGCCAGTGTGCACCACATAACAAGCATTTCAGAGCAAGTCCTAAACCAGTATGGCAAAGTAGGAAGTGCCAACAACAATACCAAGCTGTGGCATTTGTGTCTAGAACAGAAAGTCTTCCAGGAGCTTCTGGGAGAAAGCCCCCTCTTTCCCACCCTCACAAAGCATTTATTTGAGGGGGAGCTGAGCATCAACAACCACTACACAGTCTTAGTAAAGGAAATAACACGGTGTTACTTAAACGTAAGAACACACCCCACCCAACACCTGAATTTGAAATACCCTTGTGGAAGGCACGAATTGAAGACACTGAAGGGAAAGCATTTGTTTCCATCACCACTGGGTAGCTGTCAGTCAAGCTTAACCCACACATGGTCTCACTGAATACTCTGTGGTTCCAAGGATGGCTGTTCCTTGTTGAGGCTCAGTGCTGGACAGATCTAGGCAACACACATGAGGAAACAATGCTGGCAAAACTAGTGTTGATAAGCAGTGGTGTTTTGGGTCACTGCAAACTTCCTAACCAGAGTTTAACTGAGCAAAGCAAGGAAGTTTTTCTGATCCCCTATCCTAATCTAGCAGTCCTGCAGTATTTCATGAAACTTCATGGCAGGTCAGGATGAGCCAGGGTTGCTCCAGGCACCTGGGGCAGGGGTAGGAAGGAGACTCTGCTGTGTCCCTGGAAGTGCTGGGTGGTTTTAGTGCTCTTGCCAGAAGAAAACTGATATTTTATGGGGTTGGTTGCAGGGAATCACATGCACTGGCACTTCACCAAAAAGACGTGCTTTATAAAAGCTGGGGGCAGGAAAGCTTGCAGAGCTTCTACTTAAATAGGAAAATAAAGATGTGAGAAGCAAGTGGCACTCAAGTTGTACACAAGTTCTAATCTCCTTTCCAATGTCCCATCAAACAGCTAAAGATGCTGGTCCAGTCTAGATCCTCTGGATAGTGCTAAGCCTATGACCAGATTGTTGTGTCCAGTGGCATCCAGGAGCACCAATACCCTCCTCCAGGGGCAGGAATACATGGGTGTGCTGCAGCAGGGCAAGCATTTCAGTTCCCATTTCATGGCCCCATCCTCCCAGGGCTGTCCTGTATCCTGCAGCCCAGGGCACATGGCACCCCCCATTGATCACTTGAACCATAGCTTTGATGCCACCAAGTAGGACAGGCTTCTTCTGGTAGTTCATTTCCATGGCAAGGAAGCTGCCTCCAGTGCTTTGCCTGGAATAGCAGAGTTTGGCAGAACTGCTGCTAAGGGGTTTCCCTTTGCCATGCAGAACTGGAATTGTATCCATAGAGATGGAAGGCAACTAATTCCCACAAAGCCTGCTGTTCAGTCACTTTCAAGATCCATGATGGAACCGGGATGAAAACTGGGGATTTGCCACATCCTACGCAGTAATAATATTAAAGGTATCTTTCTGCCTACCAGTGACCTGACAAAACTGTCCCTGGTTGGTTTGGGTTTCTCCTCCTTCCCTTAGTTCTGCTGCACCCAACCCCTCAAGCTCTGCTTTGAGAGCAGCAGCACCACAGAAATTCATACAATCACTGCTGGGAGGAACAAACCAGAACCTCTGGACTTTTCTTTTCCCAATCCAAATATCTATGCAAAAAACCATGTTGAAGCCATCACAATCACAGAGCCATTCCACCTGCAAGAGACTTTGCAGGAAACTATTCCCTCCCCTCTATATGTGATTTTTGGGACAACATTTGGCAAAATGCTGCTGAAATCCCAGTGACAGATTGGTTGCAATCACGTAATGTTGGAACACTTGCACAGTCTCCACCTCCAGCCCTAAGATGAGTAGTTATGAACTGTGCCATGGATTGCTGTGCATGACAGCACACCAATAACCAAGGGATATTTATTTATCTCTGGTAGCATTTGGTCTCACACTGAAAATCCAAGTCAGTACTTGCATCAGAAGTGGACCTAGTGTTTACAATTTATTCTGAAATTTCAGTGACAAACCTTCTGTGTATATTTGTCAGTGCTGAAGCAAAGGAGTGCAAAAAAAATCGTATTTACAGAATAGTATAAATGTTTATTTTTTGTGATTTATCTGACTGTTTTATTTGTACAATATAGAAAAGTGTATTCTTTGAATAGGTCTTGTAAATATAAATTTAATTTTTCTACTTTTGGATGTAAACAGAACTATAAAATGAATCCTTGTCCCATTCCCAATTATTTTTTATGTAACTGGATGAACTTGACTGTTAATCTTGTCCAGCAGTTTGATGCAAATGGCTAAGGAAGTACAAAAACCAATTCATACACTCTACACCAGGGAGAAGGGAGAGAGGAATCCAAGCTTAATATTTGAGAAAGCTTGTTCAAAACAAAATAGAAGAACTAAGAGCATTTGATTGCACCTTCAAAGTCTTTACAAGCAAAATATTCTCCAGCAATGCCATCATACATAATTACAACTGTAATCTAAATTTCACAAGTGCTTTTGCACACTGTATATAAATACACATCACAAAAGGTGCAATTTAGAGTAAGACACTGAATATATACAAAATTAACACAGATTGAAGTCTAAACAAAAGGCATATTGCAATCTGTTTGAAAAATAACGTAAGTAGGTATTACTTTATTCACTTACACTAATTTACATTTATACAAATCTTACTGGACAGACTATATTAGGTCACTAGAAGGGAACAGAATATCTGCACTATCTACAGGTAAAGTTACTGCACTGATTTTTTAGTAAATCCAAGTCCTAATAATGAAAAAATGTGGCATTTACTTACAGGAGAGGTGGATTCCCTTTTCAGAGATTTGCACAAACATTGCAATTTATGCTCAGGGAGATGTCCTTAGCAGACAGAGCCCTTCAGGCAGGTCAGACCTGTCTGTGAGCCCATCACTGCTGCTGACTGCCTCCCAAGCCCTTCATGCCTCCCAGGCATTTCAAGGAGGCACCAGAGAAGGGTCAAGGGCCTTCTGTGCAGTGCACAGGGCTGGGAAGTGAAGCACCCTCCCACCCTACTGCCTTCACACACAGAGGCACAAATCTCTGCTGCTGGTGTGCCTAGCCCCTACCTCTCCCCAGCCTGGCCCTGCATTTCTCTGTATTTACAGTTGTATAGAAGGAATGCAAAATCCCTTTTGGAAAAAAAAAATAGCTAGTTCAGGCTGCAGTGAGACAGGTAATAAAAATGCCTGTGATTAAACATGGTTAATGGATGTTCATGATAGGTAAGTAACCCACCAGGTTAATTCTGCAAATGTGTTCCACTATCAAAAATGTGATCTGATATTGCCTGTAGCAAATACTGAAAAAAACCCCCTGCTTTAGTCTGAGCCCACCTATAGCTGATTGCCCCCCATTTAGTGTAAAAGGATTTGTGTCTGGTTTTGTAGCAATCCTGATTCTGTGCTAGTACTTTCTCTGATCACAGCTCTCACAATTATTCTAAACAACACTAAAAGAGCCCTTATGCCAAGTAAATTGCCAGCATGGAGAGAAGCAGCATCCTGAATACCCACAGCAGGCTGAACATGATCCCTTACCTGCATTTGCAAGTCGATTCAGATGCAGATTGTCATCTCCAGTGACTTCAGCTTCTCAGGCCTAAACACTTTCCCAAGGTTACAGCTTGATACCAGAAAACAAGGGACTGCACAGCCCTTCTTCCAGTGAGGGATCAGACTGCTGCAGACCTCTGAAAAACCAAGCTTCACCCAAACAACAGCATCAATCTGCTACACACCTAGGTAACACTACGCTGGGCAGACAGTCTGGCATTGTGGCGTGGCTGCTCTTCCTCACTGCTGAGGACAGGCCACTCTCTTAGCCTTCAAGTTCCAGCTTAAGAAACACCTGAGCACTCTGCCCCATTCCTATCAAAAATTCCCTGTAATGCCATTCACCTCTATACTCCTTGGGCCCTGCTCCAGAAACATTCTCCACCACTTGCTCAGTGCTGCATCTGCAAGCAACCCCTCTGTATTATTGCCTATGCATCTCACAGTGCTCCATGCACTTCAGGGACATGCTGTGTCAGGTCCTAAATACAAGTACTACCTTCCATTTATATGCTTATTTCTACCTATTTCCTTTCTGAATTATCTTGGATACACTGGTACCTCCATATTACAGGCCTGTCAGCAAAAGCATGACCTGGCTGTTGACATCACCTGTGTTTTCCTGTATGCACAGTGATGCAAATCCATACACTGTAAATAATATATATTATAATAATTTATATATGCCCTTCAGACAATTATTCTGGGAGAAAGGGGAGAACACATCTAATTTTTAAGAAACCCAGGGTAAAAGCTGTACATTGGGAAGAACTGAATTTTAGGCATTGTCTGACATAGAAGAGGATTTAGCTAAGATTTAAAAGGCTCTACATCTTGTTATAAAAGAATTTCTCGTTTCAATCTTACATGGGTCAATTTACAACAAGCACCAAATTAACAAATATTATTAAATCCATCCTTTATGCTAAACCAAAGTGTCCCTGTGCCTTAAGTGTTCTGTTCAGTCCGCTTCATTGTGGCTCATGTGCACGAGTCAGCAGTTCATGGCACAAGGGTCACCTTTGGACTTCCCTGCAGAGCTGATAACCCTCATCAGACAGCGTCCAAACTCCTCCAGGACCATGCGCTCTGCTGCAGCTTTGGACTTGCCCGTCTTCTCCGCCTGCTCTGCCTGTGCCAGGAGGCATTCACAGGTTGCATCGGCCACCTCCTTGGTGACAAATGTGAAGGGCAGCCTGAAACAAAGGAACATCCACTTAGTGTCTGCAAAAACACAAAGGGACTAACTCCAGGGCTGGCAACTTTTTGGTCCACAGACTGATGGGATTTCATCTGTCCCATTGCTTCCAAGAGCCTTTAGATAGTGAATAAGCCTCAGTTAACAGCCAAAGGAACTGGTGGGTCAGAATCCCTACTGTTACAGGAACAAAGTGTTACATTCACCTGACTGCTCCCCCCTTTACAGCTTAGACAGAACAAGGCTCAGAGATGGCAGGGACATACCTGTCACACACATCAAAAACAACTCAAAGAGGGTGCAGCATTAACTTACTTCCCACCACCACTGCTGAGTGCTGGTGTTGGCCTTGTCAGCAAGTCTGAGATCTGGGAAGATAACTTGGTCTTTGCAGCAGTCTGCTGCTGCACCCTGACCTCTGCAGCATCTGCTAAATGCATCAATGTCTTTCGCTCCGGGCTTTCTTCAAAATTTTTACAGCCAATGCATTTGCATATGGAAGAACACATGATTTTTGCCTGAAAGAAACAAACAAAACATAAGAACCCTGTTGCAAGTTTGACTCCCCATATGAGAAACCACAACAAATAGGAGATCTTAGTTTAATCTCTTACCAACTAACCACTAGAGCAAACTCCCAAGCAGTGGTCTTCTCTCTAAATTCTTACCTCAAGTTGAGATGTCCCAGATGTATACTTCAATTGAATCATAGAGCATAGAATGTAAATAAGTGGTTTCCCACTCAACCCTTTCTTCATCAACCTCCAGTTTCAGGTGTAATTTAGACAGCTGAGTTTTGAGAAAGGGCAGTCTATCTCTACACTGTCTCTACATCCACAGACTGATCAGTTAGCAGATGAAGTAACAACTTCTGCTTTTGAATTCCACAGACACATTCTATCCCACAGCATCTGTGGGATGCTGCTTCAACTCCTCCTAGGGACTTGGTACAGTAGATTTCTTTAGGAAATGGTGCTATTCAGTAAAGAACAAATCCAAGCCTAAGTTCAAAGTTGCTAAATTGTTTAAAATTAAAATTACAGAATAGTAGCAACCAATTTTTCCATGTACATGGCTTTCTATGTGCAAACTTCTGGGAGAAGAGGTAACATTACAGGAATGGAAACAAACAGAAGAGAAAATATTATAGCAATACAAGGAAGAGACAAACAAAAGAGAGAAGTCACTACACTAAAGGGGAAAAGCTCCTATTTTTCAAATGAGATAATGCTTCATACCTCATAACATTCGCAGTAGTTTTTGAGACATCCCGAGCGTTTACAGTTACACCCTTTGCTGTGCCTCCGATCCGATTCTCCTTCCTTTCCTTTCCCTATTTTGGGCTTGAAGGCTTCAGGGTTTCTGTCCAGGCAGGCCTGTCAATGCAGACCCAAAGGGTCAGTCATTGCATGCAGGGAGCAGAATTTAGAGGTGCAATTAAAGAACTTAAGCCTTGCACATGTGGGAGGAGATCAGGGCATTATACACCCACTCTGCCCCACTCTGGAGCTTCAGAAAAAAGAAGCTAAATGACTTTGATCCCAGGGGGCAGGGGAAGAGGCCCCTCACCTTTATTGCTTTTTGCCTATCGTTTTCATGGTCCAGGTTGTTATAACAATTTGTACAGTTGCAGTTATTGCAGAATTCACCGTTTGCAAAACAGTCACAATACCTGAAACAGAAGATGCAGAAGGCATTTGTAAATATTGACCATTACATTGGTGTGTGAGTATTGACTCCCACACTGCAGTACCAGAAGTCCCTACTCTGGCACCAATATGGGTAAGGGTCACCCTAAGCTCAACTCCACACGCACAAGCAGTACCAACCTCACTGCAGAACCAAAATCCTCTAGTGCAAGTCTAGCTGCTGTCTAAAGACACAGGAGGAGCTCAAGGGTGTTCTCTGAGCTCATCATATAGCAGAGGTCTCCCAAGCAGCCAGAGAAGTTAATGAGACTTTTTCTGAGAGTGACTCTTGGCTCACCCACATATTGAGGGCCAGTCTGCTGCAGCCACCTCACAGCCAGCTCCTGACCCAGTCAGTCCAAGCCAGGAGCCCTCATAGAGCCAAAACAAAAGGTAAGCAATTGGAGTGACAGTTCACAGGCAAACTAACCCAGCAAGGAGCGTTTTTTGTTGTTACTTTTGGCCTTAAGCTGGGATGGAAGAATAGAAAAGAAATAACAATTGGTACATCTTAGACTTTGAAGCACAGGTGATCAGGGGAAGGATCTGAATGAGGATAAAGCAGACTTTAAAAAGGGATGCACATATATGAACAAAAAGCAGCAAAACATGGACAGGGAAAGCCAATCCTGTTGCCATGCCTCTTATGTATCTCTGGTGCCTCCCATCAAAAACAACATCTCACCAATCCACAGACTCACAGATCTAATACATAGAAATTCCACATTCATTCCCAGCTCAAACATGGCTTTAGGCCACAACAAACTCCAACATGTTTCAAAGCTTCCAGGACCACCTCCTAAAAACTGCTGATCCTCTTCACTTGCTTTTCAAATCCTGCTGGGGGTGTGTGGTCATTTTTTGGAGCCTAAACCCACTGCTAAACTGGCCTTCTGTGGCTTGCCCAGCCTAGCACGACATAAATGAGATTAGGGTTGCCCTGTAGCCCACTGCAACCCTTTTTCAGGTTGAACTGGATTTTGGAGATTTTTAGCATCTTGAATGGTCCCAGGGACAAACTAATTCGAAAGCTTTTACAACCTGTAATAGCTCTCCTTTCTTCTTTAAAATTCAGTGGTAGAATAGTCCTGGTTTCCAAAAGAACCAGGGCCAGCATAAATCCAGAGCAAATAACTTAACTGAGTTGACTTCTTAGTAGAATAGGCTATGTGCCTACCTTACATGAGCATTTGGGAAAAAATAAGTTCCCCTCCAGACAAAAAAAAAGGTTGTACTAGTGAGAAAGCACCTGTGCCAGAGAGAATTAGCCATCTGCTCTGCACCAATGCCCAGAACAGGTAACATCAGAGATTTACAAGAACAGTTTGCTTCCTAAGAGTATTCTGAAGGTGCAAATTATTCCCACTGATGCCATTCCTCTCCCAGCATTTTTAGGGCACATTCAGGCACAAAAACCTAATCCCTACACCTCTAACATGCATTGGGCACTGTGAGGTCAGTCATGTATGCAAAATACCTGGAAAACAGCTACATATCTTCCTGCTATGCAGTAGAGAAGTCTGAGACCAGGTAACACAGGGCACACCTTCCCATATAGAGGTGGGTGCACTACACAAAAAGACACCCAAGCTTAAGAGTTTAAACAAACTTCTTAACTTGGGTTCAGATGCCATTGCATCACTTCCCCTTCAAGTACCACACCCCTGATTTCCTCTTCATTGTCTAGAATTCAGGGAACCACAGATTAATTTCAGTATCTCCTCCCATTCCTGTCCCAGAAATATCAGTAAACTGACTCTGACCAAGGTGAAGAAACTCTCCTTAGCTCCAAATGCTTTTGTGTCAAATTCTTACAAATACATGGAATGGAACAGCACAATATCTCATGGATAAGCAAGAGGTAGACCTATCAGTGAAGAATCACTTGTCTATTCAACCCTTTAATAAAATATACACAGCCCAATTTTTCTGAAGTATTTGATCTAGGATGGTATTACTGATGCACTTCACCAAAGTACAGTAAATGCCCACAAATGATACCAAGAGATACCATTTCACTCATGGTACCAACAAGGCAACCAGAACTGCTGACTGGAATTGGCTCCACCATGGCACATGATGCAAAATAAGACAATTTTATATGTTATGGTCCATATAGCTCACAGGAGCTGCAAAATGACACAGGCTCTGCAACATCTCCACCAATGTCCACCATAAATCAGCATCTAAACATAAAATTTCTGATGTACTTCAAACCATTATATTCTGATACTTGGTGCACATTTGTGATGTTAAAAATAAGGCTTAAAAGAAAAAAAACCGTACCAAGCTGTACTTACAATTTCAAACACAGAGACTTAGTACAATTGCAAGGCTTCCTGGGGCGGTTTGCAGACTCAGAAGAAATTATTCTGGGGGGAGAAAAGGGCATTTATACACACACAGTTTTATCAGTTTCTTCCTATTTTAAATTAATGTAAACAGCTCATAATAAAAACTTGGAAAAAATCTTTCTATTCCCCTTGCATTAGGTTTTTGGCTGACTGTGTTTAAGTAACTGTTATAAATAGTGCCTTTCCAACCCAGAAAGAGATGGATTATTTGCTGCAAATTTGGATGCATGCCTGAAGTAGAAATTAGGCTTTAAAGCTAGAGGAAGCATAACTAAAAAATTGGAGTCAGGGAAACCTTCCCCAGAATCCCTTCAAGTGCAGTGGGATCAGATCCAACCCAAATTCACATAACATTATTGTGCTTTTTCTTCTGTTCTCCTTGGAATTAAAACAATGAAAGAAAACAAAAAAATACCCCCTCTGGAATAATGGGAAAGCAAGTCAAACCACAGTATTCAGTTTTCAGATAAATTCTATAGTAGACACAGTCTTTAACTGCTCCTAAGACTTGGATTTTGTGACACTAATCACATCTGATGAGATTTGTTCCATCCCTATCCAGCAATTTCTGCACGTAATGCCAGGGAGATTAAATCAAACCCGTTCATTTGAATAGCTGCATCTGGATTTGGGATTAGTTTGCATCAGTTGAGGTTGCAGCAACAAAAAGCAACTTCATGTTCACAATTTCCAGCAAACAGTAACACAAAAGGACTGTGCAGAACAGCTAAGCCTGCTGGATTGGCAAAGGGAAAATAATATATGTTAGCTGTTATTCTCATCCTTAAAGGAAAAATGCAAGACTGAAAAAACCCAAAGCCTCCTATCGTGATCCATTTTGCTGTTTGGCTGAATTTCTGCATGTGTTAAGCACCTAGCTTATATATTGTCCAGAACCACTTTGCAGCAATGTTGAGAAATAGTTGAGGCCTGTAGCTCACAGGTGCTGTTGCAAATAAAAAAAACAAGAGCAACAGGGAGCTTTCAGGTCAACTTCCTGCTACATGAATTCAAAAAACAGAAAGGAAAACACAGCTTTGATCAAGAGACTGGCTCAAATGTCAGAGAGATCCATACCCTTCAGTCAGAGGTAATAATCACAGCAGACTTGAGAATTCCCCAAACCAAACTCCAAGACCTCATGCTTATTCAAGCAGCCTATTCTAGAGGTTTTGGGATTTTTTTTTCTTCAGAATTCTTACCCATTGAATGGCAGCCGTGCCTGGGACTGGACACTGGATGTCCCTGTGAAGCCAGTGTTGCTTGCTATGGATACATAGGATGACTGTTGGAGCTAACAAAACAAAAAGGTTAATGCCTGACATGAAAGAAATTATAAACAAGAGGATGTGTTGCTAGTATTTAAATTAGCTTTCCAGATATTGCTACAAAAATAACTTGCTTCTAAGAACACTTTTAGACACTTATAGAACTTGGACCAAGTGGCAACTTCCTGCCTCCATACTTAGCATAAAAATACTATTTTGGATTGTATTTGTTGTTGTCTATTACAGTGTCTAGATCCATACAGATGACAGGGTTAACACACAGAAATGTTCAGACCACAAACAGCTCCTGTTCCTAAAAACATGCTCATTTTCCCCCTAATAGAGCAGAATCACTTCCTGCACAAGTTAATAGCTTCCTTTATATACAAGCCACTTACTATGAAAATAAGCAAAATGATTTGCATTCCAGCTCCTCTGCATACCTGAACCCACCATTTACTTTTTACATTAAGAAACCAAAATCTCATAAGAACCTGCCAAACAACACTGCTCTGGGCAACCATCTTTAGCATTACCTAGAAGCAGCTGTTTGCTCCTGCTGGGATAGGTTTTGGGGACATATTGGCACGTGGCAAGATATAGACCTGCTGGGGCCAGGCAAACGGGGACAAGTTGTGGCTGGAACACAAACCTCAGAGGAGAGGTCCAACAGATGCTAGTTTCAAGTAAAATTTGGAGAACTAGACTGGAAGGACACAATAACAATATTCAGGGTCAAACTGCAACTGTGACAAAACCAAAAGGCAAACAGAAACCAGTCTGGTACCAGTAATGTCAGGAACTATCAGAGTCTTTGTTTCTACAAACTTCAGCCTTCAGCAGAACATTTCATTTATTCTCTTTTCATCCTGGTCAGATCCTGGCAAAGAGCAAAAAACTAATCCCTAGGCCTCAGTTGGAGTGACTGGTACCAGCTGCTTCTGACCCCTGGCAATGTGCTTAGCATTAACTAACACCATTTTATAATGAAGACAGCCATTCTCTGTGACCAAGCAGGTCACACATATGCTCCCTTTCTCCTCATCATCAGGCCCTGAAGGTCCTGTGAACCAAGCAGACAAACCAATAGGATTTCTTCTTCCCCTCACTGCAGGTTTCAGGATTCCTGGGTGCCAGGCCAATTACTCTGCTCCTTACTGGCCATGGAAGTCTCAGGCACCCAGACAACCAGGTGGTGGTGACTGTCAGGGAACAGGGAAGTGTAACAGCACACAGAGGAGTTATAAAATCAACCTGTTCCAAGTCCTAAGTGATGAACTTGGACTGGAACTGCTGCTGGACACTGAGCCCTGTGACCACCAGTGGCCAGGGTCACCTCCACTGACATCTGCTTCCTCTGAGGACCAAGTGACTTGTAGTCTTTCATATGATTTTCAAGTCTAGGTTATGATTGCTAAAGTGATGAAGCAAACTGTGTATCAAGATCTGACCCAATATGCAGGGTCTAGGTGATTAGAAATTCCAAGTTGAGATCTAGGTGATTCGAGTGAGTTGGCATTCCAAATTCTGTACTCCACCATTCAAAATTGCACTACACTGATTCTGCTGACAGAAATGCTGTGCTATTATGCTAATAAAAACTCCTTTGAGAAAACAAAGCTTTAATTGCAACCATGATTGAAATTAAAGTGCCATCATCAGTCTGCCAAGGATCCCTAACAGAAACTGTTGCCTCAGTGTCAGGTGGCTGTCACAGAGGAGAAACCTTTAAGGGAAAGGTAGAATATTCCACAAGAGCAACATTTGCATAACCATCTCTGGGAAAGGCCATACCTGTGTGACATACTGAGCTGGAAGGACTGCATAGCCAACATTTCCTGTGCCAGGGGCTGGTGCCAGCACAGTGCCTGGGGGGAGGTTGGTGAGGTTGGGCTGGATCTGTGGCAGTGGAGTGGCTGGCATGATAAGTCTTTGTTGGGGCTGACTGGTAGTGACTATTTGAGAAGTTGAGTTGATTGGTTTGGGCACCACCTGGAGAGAAAAGAGCTGAAATCAGTGAATCTTTCAATCTTTATGAAATCAGTGTTTCAGTCATTCAGAACACACTTTGATTAGTAGAACAGTTCTTTACAGAGCTGGAAGCAGACTTTTTTTCTGTGCAGCCAAACCAGGTCAGGACTCTTAGATGAGTTAAAGCCAACTCACCTGTTTCACAGTCTGTGCTGGCACTATGGGAACTGACATACGCACGGGGGTCGCGTTCACCACCACGGGCTTCGCTGGGGTCAAGAAACATCACAGGAATGTGTGTTAGTCACTCCAAATCCATAGTTCAGCCCTTCAGACTTTCACATGTGCATAACACAGAGGTACTTAGCACTGTGACTCATGGCATGCAACACTTGGGTCTAGACAACACCTTTGTAAACAGGTCTTTGGCACACATTTCACAGCAGTGGATTAAAAAACCAGTCAGGGTGCAGACCGCCTCTGGACACTGGATTTTCCTTACATCCCTTTTCCCTTTGAAATCTTTTATTCCATCACCCCTTTGGAAAGCATGGACAGAAACCAGCAAAAACACCTGACACTTCTAAAGCAATTTACATGGAAGGATCTTCATGTTACAAGAGTTCTGACAATATGCTTGTGCGGTGTCCTGCCTTCATGCTCTTCATATAGAGGAGATGAGAGAGGCCATGAACCACCTAAAAATCTGCTCAACTAGGGAAAAGCAACCTAAAATGCCCCCAGGATTCAGGCCCAACTACAGAGCAATTTGACACAAAGGAGCATTTTCACATACAGACCAGAGGTAGCGGCAGAATATGGAATTTATGGAAGTCTTACCATAAAACCAAGTACATCTGGCAGTCTTCACAGATCTCTGTTATGTATTCATTTAAATTGTTACAGAACAAACAAGAAAGAAAAACCCAACAGAGGCTTCAGACAATGTCCCCAGCAGCACTTACCCTGTTGCAGAGGCTGAGTATTCGTACTGGGATTTTGACTGGCAGATTGTGTTGAACTACTGGCTGTTGTGGCAGTAACGAGTCTGACATAATGGAACTTGCTTCCAGGTACCTGAATCTGCTGAACATTGGGTGCAGTTGCCAAGGGAATAATTGTCTTAAATTGAGACGTACCCACTCCTCCTACAGTAATGGTCTGCACTGCTGATTTCACAGCCTGTTAAGCCAACACAGACAGCACAAAGTTACTTGTACAAAGACAGAAAGAACATCAATATGTTTATTTCTCAATTTGTTAGTGAGCAACTCTAGCATACCATTCATACCCTTCAGAGGGAAGACAGTTACCCTCTTTTTGCTTTCAAAAGTAGAACAGATGCAAAGAGATTAAATGCCTCTCAACATCTCAGAGAAAACTCAGTTTCATTTTCAATGCTCTACACCAAACACCAGAGTAAACTAGTATTTAAATGAGTAGGGTGACTCAGGCCACTTCACAAGATACAACATCTGCCAAAACTATTTCCAGTGACTACAGAGAACATGGCTCAATTTGTCCTCCACAATCAAACAACCAAATATAGAAATATTCCTACTATTAAAAGCACATGGTAAGAACTTGCAGAACAGTTTGTCTGGACTGCATCATAATTTATCTGTGTGTGTACAGATTCCTGTTACGAAAATTTGTAATTAATCCACAGAAATCACTGTGCAACCCTTGTGAGGAAAAGGGAACAGAATCCATAACTGATAGACATCAGAAAGAATACAAGCTGAGAAATGAAAGAAGCAAGAACAATGAGGAGTAGCAAAACAAATTCCTTAAGAAAAAAGGCAAAATGCTGAAAGAAAGGGAGCTCAGCAGACCTGTGCTACCTTGCAGCTGGAGTATCAGTATACCAGGAATTTGCAAAAGTTCATCTTTCCAACTTTTCTTAAACTAAAAACTAATAACAAGAAAGTTTTATTTCATTTATACACATCCATAAGTCTACTGGTTTGATAACAGCCTCTTTTCCCAGACTTGCTCAACCTCAAAACTTGATTTCTTCCTTTTTCTCCTTCCATTTAACTTTTTTTTAGAGCTCAGCTTTTTATTCTCAGTATCTTTTACTATTAGTATAAAGCATATTGTCCTTGACATCAAGTTTAAGTACTACACTTGGTTGTAAATATGATGTGAATTCTTATGAGAACATTTTCCCACTTGCCCAGCTTTCAGCAACTACATGAATGAAATCTCAATTTGCACACATTTTACTAGAAAAACAACCCTGCTCTTCTAAAAGATGTTTTCTTGGGATTTTTGATTTTTCTTAAGACATTTTATACCTTAACAAGCCAGAGCATCAAAATAAGCACTATGTGCAAGTATGGTCACAGACATTGTCAAAGGGAGACCAGTTCTCTCTAGCACACAAAAGAGCAGCTGCTATCCAAGGACAACTGGGAAAATTGTAAAATTCAAGGGACAGTTCTTCTAAAGGCATGTTCTTGAGCCCAGTGAAGCCCTTGTGTTCTGTCAGATAGCTTTGCAACAAAACTCCCACAGACATCTCCATTTTCTCACTTAGGGTACTTGCAGTAGAGACACTTAACCTTTTAACAATTATTTCAGAAGAGAGTTCTCCCTGGAGAAAAAAACAGTTCAAATCTCTGTGGTGTCCATATTCCCATATCAGCTTTCCAATTATTTCCTGTATCAGTAAGATAAGACTGAGAAAATCTGTCTGTCTGGTCTCATGCTGTACATGTGTGTCCACTCCCAGCTATATCCATACTCTGGATATATTTACACCCATACACATTCCTTCATGTTTACCACAACAACAGTACAGATATTGTGATAGAAAAAGATTTACCTAAGATCACAAAAGAGGTAAAGAGCAAAAACTGTCATTTATAAGAAAGGTCAGTTTTGTGTTGTGATTAATTAATGCAAAATCATTTATAAAAGCTATTATGGAAAAGCCCATTTTTCTAGAAATGAGACATAGGAAATAAATAATTTCTGGTTCTGTAGGTTTCAGCTCAGACCTCTACAGCAGGAATGTGAACTCCACTGCTGCAAACCTCAGAAATACCTGGAAAGCAGCCCTAGGCAGTGGCAATAGAAACACTGGCAGAAGAGAGAGAACCACCCAAAGAACTCCTCCTCGTGTCACAGAGTTCTTCATGTGACTTGGGAGATTCAGTACACAGAAACAAGAATTTGCACCAAGTGGGGCTTTCCAGACTGGAAAGCTACTTTCTAACAGCAGAGATTGTATGGGCTTGCACTGGTTTGCACCCCTCAACTGAAGAAGTACATATACACTCCTTGGGGCATTACTTCTGCCAGTTCCTAAGCAAACACCATCCCAAGAACACCGGCGGACAGACGGCTGCCAAGCCGTGGTCCAACACTGCAGTTCCCAGCAAGCAATGACACAGACACAGCAGAAGACAAAGGAAAGTCAGTCTGTACCTGGGTGGTTGTGTGGTTGACTATGGCCTTCCCAGGGGAGGAGGGTGCTGACTGCTGCACTGTGAGGATCTGCTGTCCTAACGCTACATTCAGTGGGACGCCCACCGTCTTCTGGGGGGAGCTGGGAGGCTGGGAGGCCACTGACACCACTGTTAGCTGCTTGGCAAAACAAAAAGCAGTTTAAACCTCTGGGCAGGATACAGGACCCTGAACATACACATTCCCCTCCTCAGGACAGCACAGCTCTCCACCAGAACAGAGCTCTTTCTGTGAACAAGGGTCCTGCATTTAACCACAACTCACACGGGTCTGGCTGTGACAACAGCAAACAGCGCCCTGAGGAACTTGAAGGCATCACTGGTGTCCAGCACCAACAGGTTCCTGCAGAAATCTAGCACAGCATCTGGGTGGGAGCAAGGGGTTGTCTTTCCATTTGTTTTGTTGGGGTTTTTTTAAGGAAATTATCCCATTAAAGCCTGAGCATTGTCAAGAGGGATCTTCTAAATAAAGGCATTCTATTTGGTTCAATGACTATTTCATCATAAATAGGAATTTCAAAGAAAAGCTGTTGGAAAGAAAATTCTCACCTCACACTACTGATTCAGTCAAAGTACAAGAACATCAGTACTTTCAAATCTACACTGCAGTTTCCCAGAGATCCAGTCTTCTGACCACATTTCTGCAGAGTGCAGCGTTTATAAACACTCTATATAACCACAGCCCTTCCAAGGTTGGTTTTCTACTTTTTGTTCTGAACTTCCTTATGTTTTAAGAAAAACCAGATACTTAGAATTGCTTATCAACAGTAAATTCAAGATGTAACCCTAAAGAGTCTTTTCACACTCACTCCTAGTTAAAAAAGTAGCTTTAGAATAAAAATCAACTTCTTTATGTTGTTTCTCTTACTAATAATTGTCAAACACAAGTCTTTTACTGCACCTGTATAACATTACAACACTAAAGCATAGCCAAACTAAAATAATTCTTTATTCTTAATTTGCTTACTATTCATGATATTTTAGTTGGCCTGCACTGTACATCTTGTCCCTCTATCTCCCTTTCTTCAGCAATATTCCTCTTCTCAAGACAATTATCAAATCTGAAACACAAGTGTCACCTTGACCTGTGCCAATCTCCAGCTCTGTGCAAGGACCACTGCAAATTTCATTTACCTCACAAGTGATCTGGGAAGACTAAATTGCCTGTGCAGTAGCAGGAATGGTTAATAAGTGCTGACCTATTAATATTATTGAGGTCTCCTCTTGAACAGCCTGTTGATGTTTTATGAAGGCATTAAAAATAGTCTGAGTGCTTGGCTAAGAGGGAACAGCTGCTCTCAGAATCAATGCTTAGGGAATGGCAAAAAATGGCAGGAATGGGGAACTATGCAGTAATGCATATCTGCTTAAAACCATAGTAAGGGAGCCAGTTGAAAAAAAAATCTAAATTAGGGCATTACCACAGAGCATTGTGATGCAAAATGGAGACTCTGGAGATATTTTTATGGACTCTGGAGACAAGTTTATTATGTCTGGAGTAATAATAAACAGCTTGTAGCATAGACACAGAGAGCTCCATTCAGACCACTGTGCAGGAGGGATAGAAGGCTGCAGCCAGAACAGGTCCTTACCTTATTGGGGGATTTGAGTGGTGAGATAGCTATTTTATTCGGTGTCTGTTGTGTTGTTGTACTCAAAGATGATCCAATGACTCCACTCTCTGAGATGGTTATTGTCTTTGGTGGTGTCCCTGGAGCAGACTGTGAAAAAACCCTACCTATAAACAATGAAGATACCATCAGCTCCAGTTATCCCTGGTCACAGTCACTTTTAAAGCAAAGTTTTCCCTGCCATTTGTGCAATTTATCCCTACTTCTGAGAGTGTACGACCTGACAGGAAGGACACTGGCACTCTAAGTTAGATTTAGCAACAAAGAAGAAAATAATTGCTGTTATTACAAACAAAAAGACAGCTTGCTCAGGCTAAAAAAAGAGCCAAAATGGACATTGAGCTTTCTGTGCCATTCAGCTGACAATTGTTGACAGCCAGGACAGCATCCTGAGGAGCAGAACTCTCCAATACACCTGCACCACACACACCTGGCAGCTTCCTGGGAAGGCCCTGGGCTGCTGCCAATGCCCAGAGAAACTGAGCATCCATGGTGGGGGGACTACTTCCTTTGAAACCTCAGCCATCAAACACCAGCTGGGTTACAGTGACCAAGAAAAAGATGTTTGGTCTGTCTACAATCAGCTCTGAGGTTTTTTTTCTTTTCTCTGTTGATGGTTGCCTCTTTCACTGCCTAACAGTTTTTAGTCACGCTACCACCCATGTTTTCATGTGTGTGTCATAAACTCTCTCTGTTTTTACAATGCCAAAGAAGAGTAAACATCAAAAACAGTAGCTCCATATCATGACATCAGTTTCAGGAATATTGAAAACTCCCAGATTTTTTTTTCCATACTTTCTAAGTTTCTTTCCAAAGAATGCTTGACCACTGAGCTTTCCTCTGCTCCACTTTGGTTCAGACTCATTTCTGTCATAGCTTCTGTCACCCATTCTCTTGTACTACATTTATAAAAATAAGAAACAAACAAATACCAGCATAACTTTTCCGTCCAAAATCAACTGGTGGCATAACAATTAAAGTCAACTGGAACTAACAAGAAAAAGCACTATCCTCATGGCAAGCTGATTTCCTCTGCAGTCTGTGTACTCTAAAATAACCACTTTTGTGCAGTCTAATTAACAGCACAGATAGCTGCCAGCAGCTGCTAAAGCAGTGGGGGAAAAAAACATCTAGAGGTTTCAATCCTTTGAGTTATTTTCTTGGTGACAGCTTTCCTCTTCTCACTACATCTCCTCCTTAGCATCAGCTTCCAAAGAGAATCTGGTAGCTTATACTGACAAGTCTTTCCACATTACAACTTCCACCTCAGCTTGCAGGAGTTTCCAGGCAATTAAAAATATTTATCAGATTCATGAAAACATGCATAAAAAAATCAAAACACAAACACAAATGTTACACCTTCTCTAAAGTGATGCCAGTCTCTCAAAGCTGGCAAGCTGTGCTGGCTGTTTGGAATGGTGAAGGAAAAACCAATATATAAAGATTTCCCTCTCAATTAATGAAGCAACTTTACCTCCCAGTGATAGTTTTAGTGAAGGCTCAGGCACAGGTGATTTTTCAAAGTACTGATTTAAAAACTGCAAGTCATTTTAATGTTTTTGGGTTGGGTTTTTTGTTTGTTTGGATTGTTTTTTTTAAAAACACAAACAACTTAACTCAAGTATTTATAAGCATAGCAATCTTCTTACAGGTCTATATATTTGGTAGGGAATTTGAGAAAGGGGACAAACTGGGGACTGGGATGGGGAATTCCTCTTTCACCTGAAACACATGTCAGGCTGCAGGCAGCCTGCCAACTCAAGAAAAAGATTATGTTCCAGCTCTGTGCCATTCGCTGGCATCTCTCAGTGTTCTGAATACCAGAGACAGTTGCATCCTTTTTAAAACCAGCTCAAGTCCCAGTGCTGTAAAGACTTAACAAATTTGTGAAAAATACCTGGGAGAGATTTTAGGCCTACTTAGACTGATAAATCTGTAGGCAGTTAGACATCCTTCAAAGCTCTAACGATGAATCCAGCTTCCTACATTTGCCTTTTTCAGATAAAATTAGATGCCTAAGATGTTTAGCAACATACACTGTCATTATAAACAAGGTATTACACTGTGTTTTTTTCTTTCATTTTGTTGGTGCTTTTGCTGTTGTTCTGTGGTCAGTTGGACTTTTATTTTTTATAAGGATATATAGAGTTGTTTTCTAAAGAGAAAGACCATTTGTTATTTGCCTTAATTACTTTCCTAGACACTTCTGCAATGGTGATTTTTGAAGTAGGTGAACAACTTAACAAAAACAACACAGCTTTTTTCACTTTCTTCATTCAAACATTTTTTTCTGTTAATTGCATGTATTACATTTAAGTCCAACTATAAGCAGATTAAAGTAATACAAAAGCATGTGTCTCCCTTTCCCCCTGTGTATTTATAAAATGTTTCTGAAAATACTTTCTCTTCATCAAGTAATCTTTTCTGTGGCACTGGGGTATTTTTTTTCTCCTCCCCAAAATCCATGAAGTAAAAGTACCTTGCAGTAAAAGCAACTCTGCAATTACCAAGATTATTCTAAATGTGTATAAAGGTACCAACAACTGCATTTATCTGCTTCTAGCAAAAAAGTTTTCTGATTTTTTTTTCAATTGCTTGAGGTACTTTGACAGAAACTACAGTAAAAATGTTGAGACAGAAGAATTTTGACAATTACCATTTCTTTGAAAAGCCTTTAAAAAATGGCAAAGCAAAACAAGTCAAAGTAGTACAACCTGCAATGACTGGTGACACTTGAGTGGTCTGCCCTGTAACAGCTTTGCTATTGATTGGTTTTGCAAATATCAGCTTGGTGATCACCGGGCCAGAAGTTGGGGTTCGAGTCTTCTTCGCAATCTAAAAGATGGAGGAAAAAAGATCTAAAGTAATTTGAGCATTTTGGATCTAAATTATTGTATTGTTAAGTACATTAAAAAATAAAAAGGGCAATACTTGCACACATAATTAGAAGAATAACTGTGTATCTTTCATTTCATCTCCACTTCTCCTTATGGAAAGAACTAGGAGATTATCCTGGACACTTCAGAATGCTAGCTACCAAAGTAGGATAGCCAAATCCCTCTCAACTTTTTCAGAAGATAGTTCTCTGTGCAAACATCTCATCTTCAAGATGCTGAAATTATTTCTTATGTGTGGTTGGTCTACATAAAAGTGTCAAAATTAAATGCACAACTCTCAGTATTCGAAGCTTTAAATGAAGTCACTTCCCTTTCAGCCAACCAGGACAAAACTTGTCCCCAGGGATTTAAATATGACCACTACTGCTCTGAAACGTCTCTTGACCATTTTGACAAAGCAGCACACTTGTTTTGCAAATGGGGAAAATGTTTTCTGCAACAGTTCCCCAAAAGCACATGGATCATCAGTGCCTGAAAGTTCTGAGTACTCACTAGCTAAGAACAAATCAGTTGGCTACCTCCAGGTACAAGGGGATCTATTTTCATATTGCAATCCAGTCTCCTGAAACACAGCTGGACCAAGAACATGTACAGCAATTCGATAACAGATCACTTCAGCTTGAAATCCTCGTAACCAGGAGTATATAGTCTTAAAAGTTTTAAAGAAGATTTTTCTCCCCTTCCACACTGAGAGAAGTTAACTACCAGTTGCATTTATTCCAACAGTTTTTATACATTGACATCCAGCTAGTGAATAGTTCAATTTAGAGGCTGACTTTTTCCAAAGACTTTTAACCTGCTGACTGCAGGGGCTGCCTGTGGCTGTGGCCTGAGTCTATGTGAGGAAGGCTGTGTGCTCACATTTACTGAAGCCCTTACACCTGCCCACCCCACAGGTGAGGCACATCCTGCTTCTCCTCCACCACATCCCATAGGCACCAGCCTTCAACTCCAGCAATATCAGAGAGGCACCACATTAACATCCATGTGGGGAGCCATCTCTCAAGGGCACAGAGACACCTTTCTTACTCAAGCAGCCAAATCAGAAATGTGCCTGATGTGCAAAGATACAGAGCTGACAGCTACTTCTGACAGCCTGAGACAGTTACAAATGCTCAAATGAAGCAATTGAGTAGGCTGGAAGTTATGGTTTCCTCCACAAAACCCTATCTATAGAATTTGTTGCCTGAAAACACCTTTTTTTACAACTACATAAGGCAAAAACATGCAAAGTATTCGGCAGCACATAACAAATTCCTCAGCTGCTCCACAAAAGGCACACATGAGGCTGCCCCAGCTCCCAGCAGCACAGCCATGGCACAGCCAGGGAAGCTGCAGCTCCCTCTGCTATGGCATTGGAGCCCTCCAGGCTGCTGTGGAAAGCCAAGGGCACCTCTGTGTGCCCGAGCTACACCTGGCCAGGGAAGCCAGCAAGGAGCAGCTCTGACACCAGGCACCACCAGAGAATGGATCTTATTTAAAGGAAGCCATGTGCTGCTCCACAGTTACACTACAAGTGCTCCTCAGAGGAAAGCTCCATCTCAGAACAAATATGCTGCTCCTCAGGCACAGTAGGTGCTTGATGGGTGATATACAATTGTCAAGGTGCTAAAATGAAACAGAGGAGAAATAAACCTGTTCTTTTTGGAAATACATTAACTAAAACTTGGAAACATAAGTTGTTTGAAGAAGGAAACTTAATTCGTAGCCCTGCTCACAAATTTAACTCAAAGCCATTTTTAAATTTCAAGGATTCAATTACTGTAGCACAAACACAGCTGATAGATGAGCAGGCATTTTATCCATAACTTTTTTTCTCAGCTTGGACATGCTTTAATTTCTCATCAATTCTACACCTTTCATCTGCTTGATTTGAGATTTCTGTTTTAAATTAATCTTACCTTGCCATAAGGTATTATTGCAACTCAATAGCTATTGCTTTTCCTCTGAAGTGAGAGCTAAGTCTGGCTCAGAACATGATGAGCAGTCAGCAGGAACAGCCAGCTTTGGAGAACAGCAGTTGTTTCCCAGTAACAGTCAATAAATGTGCTTAAATGACTTACATGAATGGGTGTAAAATACTACTGACCATTAACACAAAGTATTTCAGAAAAAAAAAACAACTTTAAAATCCTAAAATAATAGGTCAACACAAGTAGCCCTGCTTCCCTCATACTTGACTTGCAGTATGCTCCTCAAATAAATTTTCCCCTGCTTTTTAGGTGAATTGTTTGTCTACAAAGAGGGAGGTCTAATAAACAAGTGAATCTCCTCAGGGCTTAGGAAACAGCAAGAAGATAAATGTGGTTGGTTATAAATGAGAACCAGCCCTCCTTGCCCTACCTGCTGCCAAGCAAGCATTTCTGAGGTTTATGGCACTGGATAACCCCAGCCACCAGGGAGAAGCTTCTTGGCACCACTGGGAAACTCAGTGCCCATTTCAGTAAAGACTGGAGAAGCCAGAGGAAATAATCAAGATGTCCCTTTGATACTTCAGAATGGACAAGTTCTCTGAGGCACTCTGCCATTGCCTGTGCTGATCACAAGGAGCTTGGCATTATCCCCCTGCCTATGTAAGCTAAGCATGCCCTCTGCAAGTTACTTTGAGTTAGACGGCAAATACATTCCCTGGAGCAACAAGCTCTTCTGTAGCAATGTTATTATACTTAGGAGCACACACCAACCTTCCTTCCCCTACAGAAGTCAAGAGATTTCCCTGCAGGCAACTTGACTTCAAGGGTCAAGTTCTGTCTTCCTAAACACTCTTCACTAAAGATGAACTAGCAAGTTCATACAGCTGGATTTTGTTTTCAGACTCTGTTCTATTCATACAGGCACACTCATACCTCACATTTACTGTTGGATATCCACAGTCAGCTACCACAAAGGAGCAATAAATCCACTCCCTAGATGACCTGTTGGGAGCCTGTCCATATACCCACTCTCTATATCATTTATATTTGGCATAGCATGAAAAATCAGGGACTCTAGAAATAGAAAAGAACACCTTCACTTCAGAGATGAAGAAACTGAACTAGGAATGGGAGTTTGAGATTATGGAGTGCACAAGGTCCCTTTTCAAAGATGAAATAAAGCCACAACGATGGCTTAGCAGCTGCCCTGCCATGGTAGCAACAATGCTATGGACACTGTTAAAACCAGAGCCAGTTACCACACAAAACAAGCACAAGGCAGACTTAACAGCAGCCATGGTGATATGGCTGGACATCTGGCTCAGAGTCACGTGCAAGGCCAAACTCCTGCTTCATAAACCTGGACTAAAGCAGCAGAGCAGCAGGCACACCACCACTTTTAAGGCTGTAGGCAGGCAGGAGCCACAGGCTGAAAGATGTACTTGCCCAGCAGTTTTTTTCCACACTTTTGTGGCACTAGTTTCAGCTAAATCAGGATGAGCTGCTATAAGGACAGTAATTAACCTCTGGATATGGATGAGGCCAAAGGCCCTGCCACAATTAACACCTCACAGTCTCATACATCCAGAACTGTAAGCAGAGGAGTCAAATTCCAGTAAATATTTTCCTGAACTCTACCAATTATGCCTCAGGTGCTGAGACTTCAACTATCACAATTAGATTACAAGATTAGATTAGATGTCAAGGCAATTGAGTTTCTCTAACCATATAGAAAGCCTTTATGGTAGTGACCACAAGAACTGATAAGAGCTCTTTGTCATCTAATCTGCACCAGTTCATTCCCAGCACCAAGTCAGTCTTGTGCTGCCCTCCATCTGAAATAGGTGATTCACAAGAGATAAATTACAGGAGATCCACGGGGAGTCAGGCTCACAGCCTCCTTTTCCACTCACTGAAAGATTAAGGGGCTCGTTCAGGGTGATGGGGTAAAAGAATCACTTCATTTTCTAAAGACAGGGACTCGAGGTGTGGGTTACCTCCCCTGTCATTAAGGGTAGAGCAGAGCCAGAATCTCTTCTCACACAGCCTCATATGTCACTCTGATACTTCAGAAATTTTCTACAGGGAAAAGCACTGTCTATGAAGTGCTAATGCAATCATTTCCCCTGCAATATCGGGTTCTAACCTTGTCTTCTTGCTTTTCATTTCCACTTCCTCCTCTCCTTGTGGGAAAAAAGGAATGTCAAGTGCTAACAATTCAATCTGTTTTGCAAAGAGAACCAATGGCTTAACAAAAAGAAACCACAACAAAACAAATTTCCCAAACTGCAATTAACTAGATTTAAAAACAGATGCAAGTCCATTAGCAAGAGCTTCTGCTAAGGAATGTGTAAGAATTCCCAATGGCAAATTGAAGGGCTCGATGGCCAAGCCACTGATTTCAGTCACTGACAACACAAATCATCTCATGCAAGGAAAAACCACATCACAGCTAAGTTGTTCTCCCCAGTTTCCTGTACCTGTCACTTGGCAGTGAATAATGAAGCCAAATAACAGGAACTGATCCACTCTTAAATGTTTCTATGATGACTAAAGAGCAGAGACTTTCTTGAAAACTGTAGTGACAATCATTTATGTTTCAAATGGTCATTATTAAATATGTTTCCAGGTATGATGTAGCAACAAAAAGAAGTAGAAATTGGTGAAGGAATCATCTGCAAGTTTAAAGAAAATATTCAGAATTGATCTTATTCACCTGCCATGAAACACTAATCAAGGAACATTTGGCTAATAAAGTTCTTTAAACTTTGTCATTTTTATGTGCAGCCGATTATTTTAATAGCATACTTAAGAGTTTAATTTCTCATTTTATTTAGACAGTAAAATAAATATTTTTCCATCATCCCCTGCATTGAGCTCTACTTGTCCTTCACTTTAAGAAGTCTTATTTCTGCCTCACTGCAGAAAGGAAGAAGGAAGTCACTCACATTTAGTTCTGCCACATAACAGATGAGAATCAGACCCTTTGGGTCATAACCCAAGTCTTTTCAACACATTTTCAGATCCAAGCAGATTCTCTGTGGTTTCAAATATCTCAAGATCCATGCCAGAGACTGGGAACAAAACCTTGAATGTTCAGCTTTAGATAACTAGATTTGAGGCAGACAAGATACACCCTTCTGTTCTTTTTCAGATGCTAGAAGTTTTTTCAGAGAATTTATTTAAACAAACTGAATGTAATAGGCAGAAGCTACTCTTCCATAAAGGAGTGTGTACTTTGAATAAACAACAACAGGCATATAAAGTTGAATTCAGACTTCCTGAAAGTATGTAGATTTATTTTTATAAAATGAAAACAATGAGAAAATTATCTTCAATCTACTGAATAGTTCACTTTCTCTGAGGCAAACCCTAAGTTTCTAGACAGTAGCTAGAGGCAAACAGCATAAAATGGCAAACGCATCCACAGATGAAAGCATGGGCTAAGAGCAGCATTGTATTTTTTAAATACAAAGAATAAATGCAAAGGTTGAAAGCAATAGTGTGTCAATCAGTGCAGGAAACAGACAACAATTGCAGCAACAGAACTGGTTTGAAGATGTTTCATCAGCATAACTCATTTTACCTGTACTGTTTTTACTTGCTGGGACTGCAAGACAGAGGGCTGGGCCGCAGTGTTTATCAGCTGACTCCCCTGCGTCAAAGCTGAGACACCCACAACAGGTTTCACTTCCGACCGACCTCCAATGACAACTTTGATCTGCTGGCCTTGTACCTTGGAGTCTCCAGCCTGGGCTTGGGACACGGCCTTCTGTGACTGCGGGAGCTGGCTGTGGGGTAATGCTAAAACAATAGGCTGGCCGGACTTGCCCAAAGTTGTTACAATCAGCTTTTGCCCGTCCGGCTTAATACTCTGACTGCCTATTTTAATATCAGTGGCCTTGTTCAGAATAATCTGATTAGCTGAGATAGTGACAGGGGTCTGAGCACCGAGTTTATGGAGGCCACCTGGAAAGGCAGGCTTTACAGCTGCATTCACATCAGGGCTTGGGGTTGTTGTGGTGGTAAGTGCTGCATCTCCCGAGTGGCTGCTGGGTGCAGGAACCGATTCCGTGGTGACTGTGGCTGTGGTCGTGGCTGAGGAGTCGCTGGTGGTGCTTATGTTCACTATTTCTTCCAGTTCTGTTTCCATGGGAATGGACTCTCCTCCCATGGGCGACGACACGATAACAGCCTCGATGCTGTCGTCCTCCACCAGAGTTATGCCTGTGTCCATGATTTCCTCAGGGAGCAAGCTGTTCACTTCTGCTGAAACCACCTCCATTTTAGAAGCTGTGGCAGCAATGGCCGGAGCAGGTACTGCAATATTTAAAAAAGTTATTGGCTTCCAGAAAACACATATTTTCCAAGTTTTATGAATAATATTATCAAAGAAGGAAATGCAGTCAAATTTTTTCTGACTGAAAGTATTGTGCATGCACAGGAGGGTTATCATGGGAAAAAATCTGTCATCAAAATGTAACACACCAAGCTGAATTTAGTCTCTGTAATAACTTATATGAAACCTTTACTATATCATTCGGTGAAGTAAAATAAAGGCATTACCAGTCCACTCTTCACACCACAGTACACAAAGAAGCAGTGTTTCCCCTCTGAAAATATGGGCACAGACATCTAAACTCACTGAAGTATAAAGCAATGATCTAATAGATCATGATGCAGATTTGTAGATGAAACACATTTTCATACATGCCAACATTGATTACCAGGTCATCTTGCTCAAGAGACTTGTTATCCATATCAGACATAACATTCTTGCCAAATTTTTATTTTGGAAATCTCAGAAAAACAAATGACTGTTTAGTGATGGACTTAAACAACCCCGAAAGGTCAATCAACAGCCACCTATCACAGGATCAAGCCAAAGCCCTGCCACTCACAAGATGAAGAGATAATCCCTTGATGCTGGCTATGAAAAGAAGAGCTCAGTAATTTTTTTACTTCAATACTCACCAGAAAATATAACACACAAATTCATTATTGATTTGAAAGGTGTTCTAAACACAAAACAAATAACACACCATATGAAAAATAAAAGGAATTTTTTAAGAGCACCCAAATTATATATTAAACAAACCCCTGCAGTGAGATTCAAAGCCCGAGTTATTTCCTGCTGAGAAACTTTACAGACATTGCTGGAAATGGCCACACTGGACCATTCCCCTGAAGCTGTATCAGTGTGAAGAGTCTGAAAACAGATCAGCTCCATAAGGCATTTTCTGCACTTGCTGACCCCAGGAGCACACTTGGGCCTCGGATGGGTGAGCATACCATGTGGGTCGGCCTACATGCTCCTGAGTACTAATAATAAGCTCAAGGGGAAAAAACCCTTGCAAATTCTGTTTCCTACTTGCTAGGGAAAGCAGAGTTGAGTTTTAATACTAATTCATGAGGAAGCGTGCCAGTGAAAACATTGACCAAATGCGGGGGTGACATTATTTCCTCTGGAGTTGTTGTGGGCCCGTTTTGTAGAGCAGCTAACTACAGAACAGCTGCATTTCACCCTTTCACAAGTGGAAGGACTGGGGGAAAAAGCCCTGCTAGAATTACACAGTTTCCATGCCAAGCTCCAGAGACCATGCTGGAGCAGTCCCGGCCCCCCTGACTGCCAAGGGTGCCACTGACCCCCCTCACCTCAGAGTGCCAGCCAGACCAAGCGGCCCTGACACTCAAGAAGCCTGAGCTCTGAAAGAACTGCACTGACAGTCAAACTCAGGGCTCACTTACTGGCAGGCATTTAAAGATACAAAGTTATCTGATGTCACTGCCAGAAATACCTCCCGTGGAAAGCATTTGTCCCCCAGTAATGCCTGCACAGTGATGCCAGCCCTGGTAAGCAGCCCTAGACAAAACAGCCAACTCTGAGGGACACATTAGCAATAGTATCATATAGCTGCCTTAAAGTCAAATAGGTTAACTGCATAGATGATTACTCAAAAGTAGACTGTTTGTGAAGACAGCATATGTTAAGGTCACTAGGTCTTCTGAGCTGTGTCACTTGACTGACACCTCAGCAACTTGCAAAGGCTTGTGGCTCAGATAGTAAAACTTCAAACTATTTCAGACACAAAAAAAATAAACCTCAAACCAAAGCATCATCCTGTTCTATACCGATATGCACATCGGGCTTGGCTCCAGAAGTTAAGACTCCAAGTGTCAAGCACAATCCATTAATGATTGCCTCCAAGTTTGAAAAGGAGAGAATAATCTAAATCAGACAGTGGGAAAACCACCTCACTCTGTGGTGGTTTTCTAACTAACTATAAGTAGTTTTAAATAATTTGCTCTTGGTTTCCATTTGTACATGTTTTTCCCAAGAAGAAAGGTCATTCTTAGCATCTTTTAACAGTATGATCATAAAATACTTAAATATAATCTAAGTAGTTTTATAGTTCATCAGTTACGTGCATTCTTTATCCTTACCATTTGGTTATGTTACAAAGTGGTAAGTGCTTATTAAATACCTATATCCAGCTGAAAGCATAATTATATTAAAATACATGGAGTCAGGCTTTTAAACAGCATTTTGAGTCCAAACTAACCACTGCAAGTCAGAATGCAGAAGAAAAAGAAATACATTACATCTAGTCTGGAATCAGAAACTGAGAAGTGAAAAGGAAAGAAACATTACTCATAGTTACTGTATGAACAACTTATGACAATCACATAGGAAGATTTTGCAATTATCAGGTAATTTTAAACTTAGCTTCCATTATTGTATTCAGGCTAGTGTGCTCAACAACAGCCAAGAAGAACCATAACACAACCCACTGGCTCCATTTCTTTACTGCAGGTTGGACACGACTGGAATAGATACTTCATAGGCAACAATGAAAATTTCATCCTGGCTATAGGAGAGGCTGCTGTCAAAGGCAACTTCAACATCCCTGAAGATTTTTATTTCTTGGTATCTAGCCAGGATTTCTCAACAGTTCAGCTGTTTATTTTTTACTAATGCTTTTATACAGTTTCCCTTTTTCCAGCTCCCCTACTAAAGCGATTACCAACAGTAAAAATGTGCCAACCTCTTTTAAGATCCTAACAGCCTTGAGATTGTCAAGAAAGGGTAGCAAATAGTTTTAACTATTTAAACCCTTGAAAGTTTCCTTCACTTCAGCAGCTATGTTTTGAATACTGAATAATGCACAAGCTCTAACTACAGCCCCTTGAAAACATGCATCACTATGTGTTTTCTCAAAGCCTGAAGGACAAAAACCAATCTAGACTAAGCAAGTGTTTAAGCTTCAGACTAGGAAACTCAGCAAATATGCTAGGTTCAGATTACTAAACAGATAATTTTAGCAAAAAAAAAAAAAAGCCCATACAATTAAATAAAAGTTCACTGAAAAATTCATATAATGAAGATTTGTAAACACAGCTAGCTCAGAACACCCAACTAGCCAAACACATTACAAAAAAGTTAGAGACTAAAGCATACTGTCAGCAAAGTCCTGGACCAGCAACTCTGAAAAGTAAGGAGAAGGCAGAGGAACAGTAAGGAGAAGGAGAGGAACAAACTCTCAGCTTGAACAAACCACCTGTGATCATCTTACTCATAAAACAGATTGCTGTTCTTGATATTCAGGAAGAAATATATATATGATGGTGTAAAGGATAAAGAGGATTTGTAAGGAAGAGGATAAAGAAGATCAGGATTGTAGGCAAAAATACAGAATGGTGTCTGACAGGAATCTGTGAATTTTGATCTTTTTTCTCCATCACTAGCATGTCACAGCAAAATCTCTAAGAAATTCTGTTAAAAGTATTGAGATCAATCATATCAACATCTTTGTTGATAAAATACCAGAACAGCCACACTAAACAGGGAAAATTTAAAAATCAATATAATTAAGCACAGTGATCTACAAAGAAGTAAATAAAATGCAAGACATAAAAATGTCTTGTACTTTACAATAACTGCATTTTATTACATGCAGAAACATCTCCATTTCACTAAGAACAGCCAACCTTCCTGCCTGCAACCATGAGCAGTTTGAGTTGGGTGACAGGTTACAAAACCACCAGCAAGGCTATGTAGGTACTGCAAGCAAAACACACGTTTATAAATTCAGATTATACAGAAACAAGGCTGCTGAGACCAGCTTTACACCAACTCCTGGCAAGGTGATGCACATTAGCAAGGCCATGACAACAGAGCAGAGGGCCAAGGCACTCATCACCACTTGTGCCTGCTGGCCTGGTGATGTTCAGCCATGGGAGCACTCTGGTATAACCTGACAGATCTAGGAACACTGGCCAGACCTGGCAATGCTCATTTTTTAACCAAATTCCCAAGTGTCACTTTCACCAGAAAATAAGGAAACCAAATCGGTAAAAGCTTTTATATGAACACTTCTTGAAGTACAAAACAAACCCACAGCACCCAAAATCAAAAGCCTCATAAATGCAACACATCTGAAGCAGCAGGGATTCTCTTGGGACCAGTAGGAAAATGCTAAGTGAAACTAAGTATCATTGCCAGATACAGCAGTATCTGTTAGCACTTCTTTAAAGCTGGGACAGATACACTTGAGAGCAGCACCCTTAAGAGCCAGCAAGAGAAAATATTTGCAATTTCTGAGCTAAAACCATGCAAAAACCCTTAAAAAAGAAGTATGAAGAAGAACAATGAAGTATGAACAAAGAACATTCTTGAACAATGCCCTCAAGAAAGGGGAAAATGAGGCTGAAAACCTGAGTCAGATGAATGGCAGAAAAGTAAGAGTGGACAACCTAACAAATAATTGTTCACTGCAAGTACAGTGGACTCTAATGAAAACATGTGCCAAAACCATCTCTTCTTTTTCCAATCAAGGTGCAGCACAGGACCTCCAGCAGGCTATGGCTCACATGTGAGGATATTAAAACTCAAAAATCCCACATTACATGGTTACATTCATAAAATTGGCCTATTTAAACCTTAACTAGCAAAGGTTTAAAAACACAATATATTTTGTTCCTAAGTCCATTCATTAGAACTAAGGCAAGAACATGAGGAAAAGGGAAATACAGAAGGGATCCTTGATGATAGAAGTGAGAAGCATGAGATGCTGCCAACCACATTTTAGTTGCTTAAAGGCTTTTCAAGTTTTTCAGCTTCTGCTTATCTGCTCTCTCCAATCCTGGCAGATATTTAAACTCCTGAAGGCTGCTGAGCTGAAGAAATCTGATTTTTTGGGACCTTAATACTTAGAGATTAAGCAATTTGAAATGCCCAGCCCTCAAGTGTCAGTGCCCAGACCTTTCTGCCAGGGCAGGGACAGGTAGCAGACCTATCTGCAAAAGGTGTGCCCAGGTGTTGGATCTCCTGCAGCAGGTGGTAGGAAAGAGGTTGGATGGCTGGTTCCAAGCACAGCCCACAGCCAAAGAGCCAAAAACTCCCCCACCATCACACCCAGAAGGGACAGGGGAAATAATGCTGAAGAATGGAGGCTTCCAACAGCAAGGACTGGCAGGAGGAAGAGACTTCTCCCAGAGGCTGAGGTGCCCCTGCCAAACTGCTTCACTGCTCTGCAGACTGAAGAGGAAACACCCATCACAGCAGGGAAGATGCTGGAGCTAAGGCAGCCCCAGGTACCCCTTTTACCACCAGCAGGGGTTTGGGAGCTCAGACCATGGGAGACACTTCAGAAACCTGGTCTGTGAGGGACTGGGGGTCCATCTGACAGAGAAAGGAAAGAGATCTTCGTTCAAAGGCTTGTCTGGATGGTGAGGAGGGTTTTAAACTAAAGGTGTCAGAAGAGGGAAGCCAAGGGCTGTGATCTGGAGCAGTCTCTGGTTGGAGGTCTGTAGCCAGCAGTGTTCTCCAAGGGGTCAGTACTGGGTCTGCTCCTGCTGAACTTGTTAAATGATCTGGATGAAGGGACAGAGCGCATCCTCAGCAAGTTTGATTCAAAACTGGGAGGTGTGGCTAATACACCAAGAGGTTGTGCTACAATTCAGTGAGACTTAGACAGAGGAGAACCTAATGAAATTCATAAAGAGTAAGTGCAGGGTCCTACACCTGGTGAGGAATAATCCCACACACCAGTAGAGGCTGGGGGCTGACCTGCTGGAAAGCAGCTCTGTGGAGGAGGACCCAGGAGTTCCAGGGGAGAAGTTCCATGCAAGCCAGCAGAGTGTGCCCCTCTGGTCAAGAAGGCCAATGGTGTCCTGGGGTGAGTCCGGAATAGTGGGGTCACTATCTAGAACTGCTGCACTGGGAGGCTGCAGAGTGTCCTTCTCTGCAGAAACCCACCTAGACACAAACATGCAGCCTGCCCTAGGTTCTGCTGGACTAAATGATCTCCAGAGGTCCCTCCCAACCCCAACCATTCCCTGATTCTGTGAGCAGCCGGAAGCTGCAACAATTTAAGTACAATCCAGTGGAAACAATGAATGAATTGCGGTAGCAATTCATTCACCCACTCTTCTTCCTCTTCCTAATCTTCCAGCTTTTCGGATGGAGCAGAATAAAAGCATGTTGCAATCATTCAACCATGGAACAGTTACTAAGCTCTCCATGCTGCTGTAATTAACAGATAATAGTACAAAATATTGACAAGGACACTTAAAACAAAATGAGCACCCACTCCTGCCCAAAAAAACCCAATACACAGAGGAAGAAAAAGATTATGTTCTTTGAAGACATGCTGTAAAGAAAAAAAAGTTTTCAAAAATATTCATGTCTTACTGTCTTCAAAACAGACAAGTTTTACACAACTGCATCTTCTTCCTTCACCACAACAGCTGCTACAAATATACTTGAAGACTCAGCTATCTTGTGACCTATAGCTGTTTTCTTCACATCAAAACTATTTCTCACATAGAAGGAATCTCAGCATGCTACCACAGAAATTCAATTATACACCAAGTACAAAAGCAATTTTTACAATTAAACTACCAAGGACCTTAGAAAGAGTACATAACCAAAAACCCCCATGAGTCAGAGCCTTTCAGGCAAAATGGAAGGTGAAAAGAAAAAGGACAAAAGCTTTAACTAAGTTTTCAATAAAAGCAGCATGTCATACAAATTGCAAATGGTTGAATTATGTTACATGTACAAGTGAGTACATTGTTTCCTAGAAAACTAGCATTTCAAAACACTAGGATATCTAGTTCTGGATTGGACAACCCCGTTTCCATCACAAGAAAATACTACATTGCCCAAAGGTACTACCTATTACAAAAGAAGATTATTAAGGAAGAACATTCCAGCTGTTGAGAGGTACTGAGCAGTATTACTGAACAAAACACAACAAAACCCCAAGCACTCAGAGTCATTAGTTAAAGTCTTAAACACTTGCTGCTTGTTTACCACACACCTCACTCACAGCAACTTTCCAGGAAAGTACTGGAAATAACATTCCATGCAGCAGAATACTTCAAAGCAGTTCAGATTGCCTTCTGTAATGGGAAACAATGTTCTACTTTCAAGAGCTTTAGGCAAACTAAAAATAAAATAGAAACTAGAAATAAGAACATTCCCCTTCACCTTTCCCTTGGTTTGCATGGCAGTTTTAGTCATCTTCAAAACATGCCATAGCACAAAAGCTGAAACACAGAACTGCACAGGTGCTATGACCACTAAATATGTTCTCAAGGTGTTCACTACAGTGAACAATCCAAATTCTTGTGGAATTTGGGTGTGTGGATTCTAGGGCCCTTTACATTTAATCAAGTGCTTCTAATCTTATGTTCCATACAAACTTTGGGGTGAGATTAAAAGTAGAAAACCTTAAAATAACTTCAAGCAATTTCATTTTTTGCCATGTTTAGTAGGTCAATAGTAAGGCATTATGAATCTAAAGTTACATTGAATAAACATGTAGTGAACTTAGCTTGACTGATAAAAAACCAAAAACCAAACAAACCTGAAATGTGAGGAGTACTTATCACTAGGCCCAAAAAATGCAGATTTTTGTCTTCTATATACAGCTTGAAATAAAGGTCTTGCTTTCTAAACTCCAGACACCCCTTGAATGTGAGGCTACAGAAGAATTCAGAAGACACAGCAATATCACACCAAGAACACTCTAAACAACAAGTGTGAAAACTACCACCATAGGCTTGATATCGAGTTCCCCACAGACTTTTAGCAGGTGTTATCATATTGCACACCCTCAAGATCTGGCCTGCTGCCAGCAATTTCAGCAAGAGTACATTTCAGAGCTGTATTTATGAACAAGAGTTCATCACAACAGAATCGTAAACTACCAGATTTACTGAGACTTCTGGCTGGGAAGCACAATGATGGTCCAACTGCATCTCACCTACACTACACTAGCACTGCCCAGTTAGGTACAATACATGAAGTCCATTCTAACTGAAACATCCCTCCCCCATATGACACCGATTTCAGTGAAGTATTTAATTTCAAAAAAATATGCTAAAATGGCACAGAAAATTCTGTCCTAAAAGCTTAATTCCTTATGTGTCTTATGCAATCACAATCCTTTTCAAAGTTAGAACACCACAGAGATGAAAACCAGAGAAAAGCCTTAAGATAAAAAAGTGCCATGCTTTAAAGGTAGTGCTGTCAAGATATGAACAGCAGTGAAAGCTGCTATGGCCACTACTGCTTTTTAAACTTATCTAGGGTGGCTTTCTTCATTTTTGACTCAAGTAGAGCATTAAAACAAAAATACAGATAGCCTGAACAGTTACTTTGCAGTGATTTGCAGGAAAACATCCTTCTAGCTGCAATCTCAGCAGTTCTACCAGCTTTAAACATGTCAACACTCCACAAGAATATATTCATTTGCAGAAGGGCTGAGCTGAAGATAAATAGCTCACCTGCAGGAAACCAGGACCGAATTCAGATCCCCTCGTTCAAAAAAACCACTATTAACACCTCCTTCCCGCTTCAGTCTCTAGATAAAGCACCTCGGTATTCCTTTTGGGAAAACTTACTTAAAGAACTACGACTGTGCAATAGCTGACTGACCTTTGTGGAATTAAATTCCACATTAAGATTTTGAGTTGAGATCAATTCAACAGGAGAAACAGGAATTTCTGTGACATCTTCATCCCTGCTCCAATACCACGTGGGTCACTTCAAATGCAGGCTGCTCAGATCTCTGAAGTCTCAGGTGTTGTAACATAACAAGTTGAAGAGCTTCTGAAACACAAACTCATAAGTTTCATTAGCTGTAGCTAAGAAAACCAACAGCTTTGGATAAGTACTTCAACAACCCCCAAAAACTTACAGACAGGACTAGCCAGAAAGAAACATTTGAGTGACTAGGACTACACTGTATCTCTTACAGCCTTGGTTTCAATATGCTGAAAGTGGCAGGGCAAGATATCAACACTGTATCTCACTCTATCCCTGGAGAAGCTTTATTCCACACAACATGCCAAGGCCAGTTAGGAAGAAGAGTTCTTTAGATGCACTCACTCTCCATGCTGCTCACTGGGAAGTCTATTCCAGTGCCCCATCACTCTCTGGGGCAGGACCCCTTTCCTAATACCCAACCTAAACAAGCAGCACACCTTGAGAAAAGCCCCAAATCTGTCCTTACAGGATACCCTTCCAAATTTGATTTTCATGCCAGACACGCTCAACCACTCGTTGGACAAGTCACCACTACACTGCCTGAGTTGATACAGATCCGGAATGTTCATCTCCTTCTCAGAATTCCTAAGTGAAGGAACAACAGTATGCAAAGCCATAACCGTATTTTTTCCACGGAAAAAGATGCTTGGCTTTTTTTTATGCAGCAAGATCTCTTTATTACATCTAAAACCAATTTGTGTATACAAAAAGCAGCTTTTGCCATTTTTTTTTTGACAGCTTTTGTCAGTTCATAATTTTGAGGACTGGAGATGAACAGTGATTAACGTATGACAGGACACTGGAGCTGACCTGCAGCCTGGCAGGTTCTCTGTGTGACTCAGCTGCCCTAGTTCATCACTGCACAGTGAACAGCACCACACACCCACAAAGAGCTGGACACACCTGAACCAGAGGCTGTCACTCGGTAAATTCTCCCACAGTCCAGCTCAGGACACACACCCTAACAGCTTTGTGTCAAACTGTAAAGTCCACTGAAACCAAGCCAGCAGCAGAAACAGAAGTTGAAAACAACTATGGGATGTCTTTCGGCCAAATTCTATAGCAGCTGCATTTATCAATGTCATAAAGAATTTTTGTTAAGAATCCAGGACATCCAACTTGTCAAAACCTTTTATTCAACCTATTTCTTTTTGCTGACATAACAGCAAAACTCACCTTCCTGTTCAACAAAGAATGAACTCTTATTTTTCCCAGTTGTTCCAGTAGTGATGGTAAAAACTCACAAGTAGCCTCTCTCTTGCCTATTTTCAGCTTCTCTCCTGGGGAAATGCACTTTTTTGTTTTGTCCACAAGAAACAGGAGTGACAAACTTTGCCAATATCATTGAGTGCAAAACTGACTATAGCCTTGCTGGTCATTGCAGTGTAGCCAGTTCACAGCACTGGCACCAAAACTAATCTCTGCAAATGGAAAAACACCCACTGGTCATTTAATGGTCCAGGCATCCTCCCAGCAAAGAGAAATCTTATTTTAAGAAAAGATCAGAGCATAACAGCACAAGGTTTATAGTTCCCAGAGATTCTTGACTGCTTACTAGTGCAAAGGATTTTAGAACACCTACCTATGCAAAGTTGAATCAAGTCACCCTTTAGAAAGTGAAGGTTACTTGTTTGCCTAAGTTGATTTCAAGGGGAAAACAAATAAATCTTAGAGAAACAAATCCTTTTATTGGGTCATTTTATAAGCAAAACAAACTAAAGAACAGGCTAGGTAATCTCCTTATTTGCTGTGTCCTCTCATCCCTTTTTGACAAATACAAACAAGCACATTAACTATTCTAGGCAACTGAAATTCACAAAGAACGACACCAAAAAAAATAGGAAATGCAGTTCTTAAGAAACTATTGATACCAGACCTGCTTTCATTCATTTGTTAGAAAAGCCTCCACAGAAGTATATGTCTAATCAAGACTCACCCTGCTATGCTGGTAAATGAAAGAGCACAACTGCATGTAGGTGATCTTGCTGTACTACATTTCTCCTAATTAAATGCTGTTCTTCAATTTTGCTATTTTTTCCAATGATGGGGAAAATAGTGTCATTCATTTTAGGCATTCCCCATTTTCTTACTCTCTCTGACACTCTATGTTTTATCTCTAAAACTGAAAAGTTTGTTTTGTCATAAAGCAAAGAATTATAAAATCACTCAGTACTGTGTTTGTTCAACAGAGAGGCTTTTGTTTAAGCTTACTGAGCGAGAGATGCTTTAACAAAATGCGTGTCATGAAACCAGAAAAAGATGAATTCATGAGGAAGCTATGATTAACAAGGGTAAGTGGAAAAATTAATCATCTAAGACTGCAAACTCACCATGTTTGCATATGTAATAGCAGAGTGAAAGCAAATAGCTTTAACACAGTAACAAAATAGGTATGTGGAACACAGACAAAATAATTTCCATTCTCTTTCCCAATCTCCACATAAGACAAGTCATGGAGGCAGTTTGTCTGCATGCTTCCCAGAGGATCATGGCTCTAGGCTGACCAAATACAACACCAATGGCAAACCATAGCAAGGAAAAACCTCAACCTCACTCCTTATCAAATGCTGAATACATAATCAGTGTAAGTATCCAGTTTTTTTTTCCAACAGTTACAAGGAATACTTAAGAAAATACCAGGTGTTCTTCTACCACAAATTAACCATCTATAGTCACAAAAGAGTTCCCAAGGCAACCACAATTCCCTCAACCAACGCGCACACCATTCCCTTCCCATTACTCTACATTCTGCTAAGTGACTGCTCGCTGCCTGAGACACCACACAAACAACTGTGTGCAGCAGATCAGAAGAATGGGCAAGGTACACAAATTAGCAACTCCTACGTGTTTAAACTGACACTTCTCAAGTGATATGTACATGACAATTTTATATTACACAGTTGAGGGTTCTGGGTTTGTTCCATTTTTTTTTCCATGGGAAGATGGCTTAAGTTCATGTTTCTACTGCCATGGTTACTATAGAGGTGCTAGCTGATTTCTTTTTAGGACTGGACAGAGAAAAAACCCAACAAACCAACTTGTCCACATACCAGTTACTAAGAGATTCTTCTTCCCTTGGCAAGTTCTGAGTAATGTATGTTTCCATTATAATTTTAAAAGGAAAAGCAAAAGCTAAAAAACCTTACATGTCAACGAACAGATAATTATACACTAATAAAACAAGCACCTGCTACAACTTCCTAGGATTTAGTGTGAGCCATATCCTAGCAATACGTTTATTGCATGTTTATTTCAAACAGCAGCATTTGTGACTCTCTGTACATGAGCAGCAGCATTACTTTCCCTATATTTCAATTCCCTGTGTGTATTAATCCAGAACTACTGCTAAAGGTCTCCTGTCCACCTTTGGCATCTGCCTTTTTGCTTCCATCCATTTTCCCTCCTTGTGCTAGCAAAGGTCAGTATAACTGCAAGGGCAGCCCAGATGAATGAGCCAGGCAGGAGCAAAGCCATCCAAAAACAACTATAGGTTGTCACAAACCCATTTTCTCCATGCCACTGACACTGGTGTCCAACCCAGGAAGAAAACCAATCCACAAAGTAGTAAACAAATTCTGGTGAGTCAGTGTGCTGAGACAGCTCTGTTCAAAGTCTGTGAGCACCAGAGCAGCACCAAGGGATCACACCTGAAAGACTTTTCACAGGAACAATAGTTTCACCCAAGGAAGACTGACTGCTTGAGTCTGTACCAGAAACTGCTCTTACTCCAAAGGAACAGAAACCCCAAAACAGTCACTCCCTAGAGATGGGGATTCAGTATGTACCAGGAACTCACACAACAGATCAAAGCAGAGCCCAACACTCAGGGCATATCCCTCATGTGGGCAGCAACACATCCAATAGCAGAAGGATGCTTCTGAAGGGGAGTGATGTCCAAATTAAGGAGCTACCAACCTACATCCAGATCTGGAACATGGGAATCTCTCACTTCATGTAGCTTTGCACCTCATGACTAATCAAGGGATTATTCTGTTAGTCTCCCTCTTTCTTGTACAAGAACATTCTTTTCCAGACTTCTAATGTTGTCAGGTGAGCAAGCCTAGTCACAGGCTGTACTGAAAGCCACATGCTGCTTATCAGCTTTCTGAGCAACTGAGGAAACCAAGCTATTCAAATATAAGGCCTGGCAAAATACAAACCTTCGAAACAAGAATTCAAGAAACATTTTCCATTTCTCTTTGGAAGCTCTTGAAACTACGAATAATAATTAAAAACCTGAAGAATCCTGAGTTTATCTCCTAGGTACTTGCTATGAAGGTGCCCACCACACCCTGGCACTGCTGTGGTGCACAAACTCTGCAGGACATCAGGATGTGCTTCTCACAGCAGGTGAGCACTACCTCTACAGCACCTATAGAGAACAAAAGCACAGTCCCACCAAGTGACAGATAAGGAACCACACTTTGTTGCTGAAGCAGAAACCAAAACACAACCCCCCCAATATACCTTAGTGCCCCCTGAAAACATTTTTCAAACAAGTGTAAGGGACAATAACCTGAGGGGGGTCTGATAGTTTTTCCAAATCTAAAATGAAAGATACTGTAGCGTATGAGATAACAACATCTCTAAGGTTGAATTCTGACATCACTCTTCTTATGCACCTGTGGTTAGCAGCTACTCCACCTGAAAGCATTTAAAACTTCTCAAGAATTCTGACAGAACTGTTCAGAGCATTCAGTTACAAACGATCTGAGTGTGGACATCAAAGTATAAGCAAACCAAATATCAGCAGATAGTTCTTGATATGTAAACTGAACAAGCAGCCTTGCATAACAAACTGCTGAAGCCTAGCCCATCACAATGAGCATGAAGTACTTTTTTATCCCATTATGGAGGCTGAGCTGGGTTTTCAAACACACTCTCCAAGCCAGCCTACAAGATGGTTTGGCCTACAGAGCAATACAAGCACACCTCTCTCTCTAGGTTGGTGCAACTCAGTACAAGGCATGCAGCTCAGTGACAGATATCTAAACTGGATGTCTTGACAAATAATAGTGTAAAGAGAAAAAAAGAAAGACAAGTCTAACGCAATTTATTTTACAAAAAGATTCCACTGCCAGAAGAAATACATTCAGCTGATAACTCACTATTCTTCTTGCCTCCAAAAAGCCAAAAGCTATTGTGAAGATGATAACCACACACTCAATGATTCAATAATCTGCTATTACCAGTTTCATGTAAACATTGCAAAGAACACTCCAAATTATTTCTCTATATTCAGTATTTCCTAGAGTAACTGTAATAAATTTCAAGGAACTGTTCAGAAGGATGAAACTAATGAAAGGTGATTTAAGTATCTATCCTTTCCTCACCTGACATCTTAAGTCTGAGAGCTTTCCTCCTGATTACAGTATATTCCAGTAGACAGTTTTATGTGCTCTCAATGCCACAGGGCTTTCCAGAACCCAAATCCTCAATATCAAGCATTACATAATTAGTACATTACCTACTTCAAAGTTAAGGCCACAAACAATTAAAACATTCTGATATACCTCATAAAAGCAAGATGGTGACAAGAAAAGCTGGGACTGTCCCAAAAGATGGTCTGGCTACATTCACAGAATTGTTAAGTTGGAAAGGCACCCCTGGAAATGATCCAGTCCTACTTCCCTGACAAGACAAGGCCACTTGGAGCAGGTGACAGAGGACTGCGGTCAGGTGGGGTTCAAATGTCTCCAGAGAGGGAGACTCCACAACCTCCCAGGGCAGCCTGTTCCAGTGCTCTGCCACCCTCAACATAAAGCTCTTCCTCAAGCTGAGGTGAAATTTCTTGTATTTTTGCTTATGGCCATTTATCCATATCCTGTTGCTCAGCACAACCAAAAACTCTGCTACCATCCTCTTGGCACCCATTTCTGAGATATTGATATGCATTAATGACAGCAGCCTTCTATTCTCTAGACTAAACAATCCCAGCTCCCACAGTCTCTCTTCGTACAAGAGATGCTCCAAACCCCTCATCATCTTCGTGGCCTCCACTGGACCCTCTCCAGGAGTTCCGTGTTTTTCTCGTACCGCAGAGGCCAGAAGCGAACACATTCCCTGGGAGCTGGGGGCTGTCCCCAGCCGGGCAGCGCCCGCTCAGGCCACAGGTGTGCCCTGGCACGGGCTGAGCTGAGCAAGCACCGCACCCGCTCCGCGGGCACAGCCGGAGCGAGCATCCCGCTGACACCGCCGCGGCCGTGCCCGCCGGCTCCCCGGGAGCGACCCGCTCTTCCCGACCGGCGCATGCCGCCGAGCAGCCCGGGCCCCGGAGCCGCCCGACTCGCTGTCCCCGGGCCGGCCAGCCGGGCCCCGCCAGCCGCGGGCCCGGCGCGCCGAGCCCCGGCAGCCGCCAGCCCGGCGCGGTGCGGCCAACGCGGCCGCTCCCCCCGCGCCCCCGGGGCCGACTCTCACCTGGCGGGGGCGGCCCGGGCCCGTCAGCGCCGCCGGCCGCCGCCGTATTTCGAAAGATCCGCCATTTTCAGCCCGTCACCGCCGCTCCCGCCCCCGCCGCACCTGCCCCCGCCGCCCCGCCCCGGCGCCGCCCCCGAGCCGCGAACCCCAACCCCTTCCGCACCGGCGGCTCCCGCGCAGACCCCGCTCCGAGGGGGAGCCTGGCTACGCCGCAGGGCCGCCGTGACCCCGCCGCTCCGCCGCGGCTCCGGGCGCAGCTGACCCCGGCGAGCGGCGGGGCGGGGAGGGGACGCGCCGGGCGGGCACCCCCGCGGCGGAGGGGCGGCCGGGACCGACTGTCCGCGCTATCCCGGGGAGGCCGGCGGGGCCAGCCAGGAGCCCGGCCCGCCGCGGGGAGAGCGCCCGGCGAGGCCGGGCCTGTTCTTTCCCGGCGGGAGGCGGCTGTCAGCAGTGCCCGCGCCTCCTTCCCTGTCCTCCCGCCGCCGCTTTCCCGCCCCTCGCACTCACCGGGCGGGCGGGCGCTCTTCTCCTTCCTCCGCTAGCAATGCCTCTGGCCGGTGCCGGCGCCCCCCGGTGCCGCTCCCGGCGGCCGCGGCGGCGGCGGCCGCGCCCGCGCCGATCCCGCCGCCGCGTTTGTTCAAAATCACGCGCCCCGCGCCATTCCCCCGCCGCATCCCATAATACCGCGCCGCCCTGGCAACCGCCGGCGCAGCGCCCCACGCTTCCGGGACCGCCCCGCCCCGCCGTCCGCTTCCGGGGCCGCGCGCGGGCACCACCCGCGGAGGAGGCGGTGGCGGCCCGGCCGTATCCCACTCGCGCTGTAATTCCCGTGGAATAACCCCGTGGGATATTTCCCCCCACCTCCCCAAACCGCGCGCGGGGCCGGCCCGCCCGCGCTCCCCCCCCCCACTCCGCGGCCTGCCCGCGCTCCCTGTCACGTGACACGCACGCCTCCCCCCTCCCGCCGGCGCGCGCGGCTCCATGGTGGGAGGAGGTGGCTCCCAAGATGGCGGCGGGCGCGGTGAGGCAGGACCTGGCGCAGCTGATGAACTCCAGCGGCTCCCACAAGGACCTGGCCGGAAAGTGAGTTGCTGGGCGGCGCCGCCGCCACCTCCCCGCGTTGGGGCGAGGGGTGCGAGCCGCCCGCGGGGTGAGGGGTGGGGGGGGCGCCGTGCGCTGCGCGGGTGGGTCGTGCCCAGCGGCCGCGTTTGTTCGAATAAAAAGGAGGCAGAAAGGTTTCGCCTCATGGCTGTGTAGTTTTTTCATTCACGGGCAGGTCTGCTCAGCCCCCTCAGGGCTCGGCTGCTGCCCCTGGGTGTGCTACAGCGAGAGGCCGCGGGTTTGTTTTCCTCTGCTGCCATGGATGTAGCAGCGACTCTCTTGTTATTGTTGACAGTTATTGCCATTTTATTATTGCCATTTTATTATTGCCATTTTATTATTGCCATTTTATTATTGCCATTTTATTATTGCCATTTTATTATTGCCGTTTTATTACTGCCTTTGTCATTAGGTGTGTGTTTTGGGCGGCAGCCCTTAGGGGTTGAGCTTCTCGTGGCGCGATGTGTCACAGAGTTTTTCACTCGAGAGAGTCCAGGCAGGTGCGGATCTGTCGCCTGGAATTCTTTGGCTCCCTGTCCAGTTGTCTGTGTTCTAGCGGGGCGGTGTCACTTTTAGGGTTTTCGTGTGAAACGCTGGAAATCTTCCCTTCAAAATGTGGCTTCCACGTGGATGTAGTACTTCATCAGTGTCAAACACACTGAGGAAAATTTCATTGGCTTGCTGAAACAAGAAAAGAGAACTTGCTATTTTCTTGCAGGAATAAACACTTGAAAACACATGGAGTACACCTGTGTTGCTGTCAAGTGGCTGTAACAGAATATTTATCACAACACTATTTCTCGCTCACATTGAATGTGGCATTTTGAATGTTTGACTGCCTTGATTAATCTGAATCTATGAGAAATACAGTTTTCATTACTTTTTCTATGTGCTATCCTAGACATTTGATTATTTTTAAAAATTATTATTTAATTATTATTTTATTATTTTAAACTTCCAAAATTGCACATATGTTGTTAGATAACAAAATAATTGAGCTCTGTTATCTGAGAATCTAGTCCTGGGATTTAAGAAGAGGCAGGTACCAATTCCAGGAGAATGTTTATGACACTTGGGAACAAACTGGAGAATTGCCACCTCAAGGTATAGAAAATATGAGCAAAAATAGGGCTCTGACACAGAAAGTATACAAAGAGGCAGAAGTTCTTTGGGAAAAAATGTGTGATTTTCAACCTTTTTAAAATCTATTTATGGACAGGTACCGTCAAATATTGGAAAAGGCCATTCAGCTGTCGGGTGTGGAACAGCTTGAAGCTCTCAAAGCTTTTGTAGAAGCAAGTAAGTGCATAAGTGGTGTAAGTGGTTGTACAGTGAGTGAAGGCCAGAGGTCTGTGGGGTTGTGTATCTGTTAGCTCTATGTGAGACTGTGTAAATGCAATATGTTTTTGTCCTGTTGGAGCTCAGACACAACAGGAAGAGGAGCCCTCATGAGCACATTCAGAAGTGAAGAGGGAATGGATTTGTAAGCTTTGTGGTTATTACAGCTTTCCAACCTGTCAGCAGTGGAAGGTGAAAACAAAGCTGTCTCTGTTGAGTGCTGAAGTTGGTACTGGATGCCAAGTGGTATTTAAACTGACAGCCTCCTTCTTCACCCATTTGTGAAATTGCCAAGAAATTGTTAGTTGGTTTTTGGGGTTTTTTTTGTTTTTTTTTTTGTGTGTGTGTGTGTTGCACTGGGTGTTTGGAACATCTCTGTAAATTATATTTCCTATAATGTTTTTAAAGTTGAGAGTAAGCTTAGTGAGATTTAGCCCAAACAGGTACTTTGTCCAAGATATTTCAGCAACTGAGAACTATAAATCAAGGTGAAAAATTCATTTATCTGACAGGGGTTAGAACTCTGGTGACCTCTAGTGTAAACAGTTTCTGAAAGAATTGGAAAACCCACCTTTATAAAAAAAGGAAAAAAAATCCCCTTCATTTGCATAGTTTAAAAAATTTAAATATTCAAATTTAGTGTAAAAGCAAATTATCACCTGTAGTGAAGGCACTGAAAAATACTGCATCCATTCTGTGTTTTTCTTCTGTGCACCTCTGAACCAGTGGTGAATGAGAATGTCAGTCTGGTGATCTCACGGCAGCTGCTGACAGATTTCTGTACACATCTTCCAAGTCTCCCTGACAGCACAGCCAAAGAAATTTACCACTTCACCTTGGAAAAGATACAGCCCAGAGTTATTTCATTTGAAGAACAGGTGAGAGATCAATGGTGAGACAGATTTTGGCTTGTGGCTTTGGCTTTAGTTTTTCCCCTCCTTGTCTGCTATTTCAAACCTTTCAAAAAGCTGCTCAAAACAAATATTTCTACTTAGAGTCCAGTTTTTCACTCCTGTACATGGAAAACCTGAACTAAATGCAGAGAGCACTTAGGACTGTGCAAAGATTACAGACTGTCACTTCATCATGATGATGGACATGTAATTCCTCTGCTTCCAGTAATTGGCTTGTTCCAGTGAAACAATCCTTGAGCTGCTGGAGGTGTCTGGAGAGATAGGCTGCTACTCACTGTATTGCCTTTTAGCCAAGTAGTAAAACAGACAGGTGGTGTGAAGAGCATGCACCTTGAAAAATAGCTTTGTTTCAAATGAAATAAATTTTCTCTGTGTGTTTATTTTAGCCATAATAATTTTACCAGGAAAAAATATTTTTTTGTTACTCTGCTTAACTACTAAATATGCTGCTCTGCTTTTTCAGTTCAATTCTGTGTTTTGTTGTACAAATGCACAGTATCATCTGAGAGTTCTTAGAGAAGCTGTTTATATAAAAATCCCTTAGGATCTAGTATTGCAGTAGAAAGTCAAGGCAGTTTCTGCCATGATTTTTATTTGCTTCTCTTTATTTTTTTAACAGCTTTTACTCTGAGCTAAACAGGCTTGCATGTATGTCATCATGATTATGCATAAATTAAATCAAATACATCAGATGATTTCTTTTTTTTTACCCACACTTCCAGTTAAAAACCCAGGTTGTAAGCACTGACACTTTACCTGCTGACAGCTGCTCTCCAAAGCAGAAGTTTCTCGTGAGGATCTAATCACAGATCGCCTCATTCCTACCTCACAGGCATGATATGAGATGTAACTGCAAGAAATGGCTTGTGACTCTTGGTGCTCCAGTTCTTGCAAGATTTGTTTCATCTTTTTAAAAGCTCTATAAATGATGGCTCCTTTTGCTGTTGATTTTATTGTCCTTCAGGTGGCTTCAATAAGGCAACATCTTGCATCAATCTATGAGAAAGAAGAAGACTGGAGAAACGCAGCACAAGTGTTGGTGGGGATCCCTTTGGAAACAGGGCAAAAGTATGTGACACCCAGTTCTGTGGTATTAGCTGTACCTGCTCTCTCTGTACTGAACTAGACCAGCAAGTGAGAATTTTGAGGTTTGCTGCACCAGAAATTACCCACTATTAATTAGTCTTATTGATAAACTAGTCTTTTTAATAGTATTTTGCAGAATTGTGTCTAAGGTTATTGGAAGGTTGCAGTTTTTCCACGTGTCCACCTTCTCAGTTTAAAATGAAGGCATAGTTTGTGACTGGATTTGGATATTAACAAATGCAGTTGGGGACTTTTTTTGTGTGCTTGTGAGGTGGGGTTTGTTTTAGTTTGGTTTGTTTGGGTTTTTTAGGTGTAGAACCCTTGCAGTTAGTTTTCTCTGGCAGTTTCTCATTGTGCACATAGAAGGAATTGCTGTAGGTTTTGCTTACTTAGCACCTATTTGTTGCATTGCAAGGTTGATTCTTAAGTGGCTCACCACTGGTGGCAAACTTCCAGTCCACAAAAAACAGATTATGAGAGTGTACATTTGTGTCTTGTGGGCAGCATTATTTCAGCTGGTGTTTGCAGGAGCCAATTCTGTATTGGCATTTATCTCAAATTTCCTTACTCTGTACAGAAAGCGCTAATTTGGCAGTAGGGAAGAAGAAAGCAGGGTAAAGCAAATGATGCCAAGTGCTTAAGAATCATAACAAATGTTAAAGCAGCTAAGAGCAAAGGTAGTTCTGGAGCAACTCTGAGCACTTGCTTTTTTCTTTCCTCTACAGGCAGTACAATGTAGATTATAAACTTGAGACCTACCTGAAAATTGCCAGGCTGTATCTGGAGGATGATGACCCAGTTCAAGCAGAAGCTTACATCAACCGAGCTTCCCTGCTTCAGAATGAATCAACTAATGAACAGTTGCAAATCCATTATAAGGTTGTCTAACCTGCTTTATTACTTTCTCTTTCTAAAGAGAGACATTTCTAAAGGGAGACATTTCCACATTAAGATGCTTTAATGCAGTGCCATTAAAACTTTCATCATGAGGAAGAAAAACAAAGGGAAAAGCTACATGGTTTTGGGAGCTTGAGAGACACATCTCAGCAGTTATTAAACAAGTCATTCCTTACCATTTGGAGATAAGTGTGTAATGGTTCCTTAAATGCCAGCTTTACTGATGGAAAATAAATGTAGGCTAAAAAGCATCTGAAATATTGTTGGAAATATTGCCTCCACCTTTGTCTATACATCTAAGCAAGGGGAAAAATTGCATCCAATATTAGAGACAGTAATAGTCCTCCCACACCCCAGTAATTCAAGAAGTTCCATACATAAAAGTAGCTTAAAGTCTTAAGTAGTAAATTAACTGCTGACATTCCTGCTTTTTTGTGGGTTTACTGTGTACATAGTTCATACACAAATTTCTCAAACCATTGTAGTAAGTGATGAGCAGTGATGACTAAGTGCAACAGAATTGGTCAAGCGTGGTGGTGGTGTTTAAAATTCTGTGACAGAAGCAGATATGCCACAAGCAGTAACTCAGCATCTGGTGGTTTTTGTTTGTTGGGTTTCCCTTTCCTTTTTTCCTCATCCCATGTTACATTTTGAAGTGTGCCCTCGGTTGAAAGTGTAAGTATTTTCTGTGAATCTTAGAAAAGCACAAAGAAAGGAAGAAATATCAGGTGGTGTTCCCTTGCTGAAAGGGAAAAGCAAATACTTGAAACATAAATTGCTATCTAAGTGGTAGCTGTCAGTGCCAGTAGTGAAGGGGAAACTCACACAAGTGCAGTATCAGCTGTACAGTATTTCAATTACTTAGGCTCAATACTTGGCTTTTCAATATTTGCAGTGTTTAACATGTGAGCAGTGGTGGGAAATGTCCTTTCAATTGATTTCCCTGATACTTTAGCAAGGACCTGTCAAGTCAAGCTAATTCTTTGAAGGCACACATTTCCCTAGGAAGCAGAAGAGCAATGTTTATGGAAGCTATCACTTGACAGTGTGCAGTTTTTACACACCTTTATTCTGCAGCCACCTCTGCTGCTTTTCTTTTGCTGAGCTATGCTTCCTTTCTAGGTTTGCTATGCTCGGGTGCTGGACTACAGAAGGAAGTTCATTGAGGCTGCCCAGAGGTACAACGAGCTGTCCTACAAGAGCATAGTCCATGAGACTGAGCGCCTGGAGGCACTGAAACACGCGCTGCATTGTACTATTTTGGCATCAGCAGGTAAAATACACCTTACCTTTCTGTGTAAAAACTATTTCCCCTGGGGCAAGTCAGCCTGTGTATTACTTGTATTACTGAGATTTGGTGAGGAATCCAAAGTTGTAAACATGATGTCAGAATTAAGTGTTGGCAGACTGTTAGCTCAGAGTTGGATTAGTTCAGTGTCTTTGCCTTTGAACTGGACACAACCAAATTCCTTCTTCAGTAGAGCTTTGTTGGCTGTTATTTGCATGCATTGGGGAAAAAAGGTGACTTCCTGCTGTTTAACTCTAAGTACTCAGTGTTTTGGTGGTCAGTTATGAGAATTCCTCTTGACTTTCTAGGCCAACAGCGTTCCCGCATGCTTGCTACTCTCTTCAAGGATGAAAGATGCCAGCAGCTTGCAGCCTATGGGATCTTGGAGAAAATGTATCTGGACAGAATTATCCGTGGAAATCAACTGCAAGAGTTTGCAGCCATGCTAATGCCTCACCAGAAAGCGACTACAGCTGATGGTACGCACTTCTCTAAAACCTTGTAATGCTAGGTGTTCATCCATGGGAGTTAGACCTCCCAAATCAGTCAAGAAGGGTCATAGAAAAGAATTTATTACTGTTATATCATCATTTAAGAAATCTTTTTCAGCATGTATAGTTAGATAGTAAAGCTTCTTAGATATAGTTCATCTTTCTGATTTGCCATTAAAGTTTTGAAATACTTGTCTGGAAGATAACTTGTCACATTTTCTTTCCATGTCCATGTACAGTCCTCTTCACTGAAAACTTCCCAGTGTTTCTAACGGAGTCTCTGTCCTCCTGAGATTCTCAGGCACTGTTAAGAGTAGGGTGCCTAGAAACCCATGACAGGCATGCAGCCATAAATGGTCTGTACTGATGATACACTTATTGGAACTGCTTCCTGACATAGTGAGGGGATGGGTTGGACCTCACACACCTCTCCACTGACGTGACACTAAGTCCTGAACCTCTGAACAGTCAGAAAAAATGTCAAGTAATGACTTAACTGGTATCCTAAACACACTGGTCTCAGTTTTCTAGACTGGAAGAATATAAAAATGGAAAAATACATAAGCATGAAATACCTCTGAATCAGGAAAACCTTCCTAGTGAAAAATAATTGTTGATTAAGGAAAAATAAGTAACCATGTACTTGCAGAAGTGAAAACTGGGTTAAAGGTACTTGCTAGCAATATGCTGCATTCCTTCCCTTGGTGACTTTGTTGTTTATTTATAACCTGTACTGTTTGTCCTTAAAGAATGCAGGTTAGCTGGTATTTAATAATGTGTTTATCTTCAGCTCGAGGTTAAGGGGCAAATGAGTTTTATTGTTGAAAACTGTTCAGTCAAGGGGAGAGACATCAGATAAGGATTTATCACAAGCAGAGTAAGAGAGAGGTTAATTGTACCCCTAGGAGCCATAATGAACAATAAGAAAACCCCCAATGGTCTTCCCACTTGTCAGGCTAGGATCACAGGAAGTCAAACTCCCTCAATTCAGACAGTAAGTCTTACAGCAAGGGCTCCACTTGCTTACTCTAGAAATGAAATAAAGGGTTTATCTGTTTTAAAGTCAGCCATGTGCCATCCATTTGTTTCTGTCTGCTGTCTCTGCACAGCTTAACAGGGATGTGAGGCAGATGCATCTGGACCTTCTGCACATGTAACACTTCAGAAAAAAAAAGAGAAGCATTTTTTCATTTGGTCTACTGTATAAACCCATCTTTCAATCTTACAGTAATGTTTTGGTTTTTTTTCCCTCATCTAACCCTAAAGGTTCCAGTATTCTGGACAGAGCTGTTATTGAACACAACTTACTATCTGCAAGCAAACTTTACAACAACATTACCTTTGAAGAGCTTGGAGCATTACTAGAGATCCCTGCAGCCAAGGTATCCATTGCCTACCTTTTTATTTTTTTTTTTAAACAAGGAGTATGAATGGCATGAGAAAATATCTGATAAATATTAGTAAAATTAGTTAAGTATTAGGGAATAATTAAACATTCCATGTTACGAGGAAGGTTAAGTGTCCAGCACATCTTATGAGAGTGGGAGTTGCACAATGTGGAATGAACAACAGTGGAGTTAGATGCCACTGACAGTTTGTCTAATCATTTAATGAGTGCTGTCTGTAGGTTCCTTCCCCCCTGTGTGTGGACCTGGTTAAAAACCCATAAGACTGTTAAGTGTGAATAATTTGGAACTCCTCTGAGAATGGACTGTTTCTGACATCTTTCCTTGTTCTAGGCAGAGAAGATCGCTTCTCAGATGATAACTGAGGGTCGCATGAACGGATTCATTGATCAGATTGATGGAATTGTTCACTTTGAGAGTAAGTGCAGCCACAGTAGAATTTATTTTTTAGCACCTCTCAGAGTGAGCTTTTTGAGGTGGTCCCTGGGTAAGGAAATGAACTTTCTTAATAATCCCTTCTGCCTGAAGTGAGCTTGCTCATCCTGCTGCAGCCAGGAGGTGGCAGAGTTGGCCATAAAGGACAACCTTGATACTTCACCCACTCCCTGAAGAGGGCTTTGCATGGCCCCTTACCCACAGGAAAGAGTGAATTTATTCCATCGGTCTCTTTCTATGAACTTTTTCCTTCGGGAAGTTCTCAGTTCCAGTCTCCTTCAATACAAGAGTTAGGCTTGTAACAGGCAGCCAAATAATTGCAGCCTTTGAGTACAGAAGTGATCCTGGTGTCACTGCAAGGAAGGCTTCCTCTGTGAGCTAGGTGAGGGCAGTGGCAAAAGGAAAGGTTGCAGTTGACAAGGCAAGGGAATTGCTAAGATTTACTTTGTTGAGTATTAGTTGTTTTTTCTTTTCTTTTCAGCCCGTGAAGCTTTGCCAACTTGGGACAAGCAGATTCAGTCCCTGTGTTTCCAGGTGAACAACCTGCTGGAGAAGATCAGTCAGACGGCCCCGGAGTGGACAGCACAGGCCATGGAGGCACAGATGGCTCAGTGACCGTGCCCTGCTGTCACCTGCCTGCTGTGCCGGCAGGGGGAGCTGAGCAGGACTGGGAAACAAACACAACGCTGTCCTCACTTCCCCATCTTGTGCTTTCACTATGGCTTAGGACACAGCTAGCTGATCCCATGTTTGGTGTGACAGGCTCCCAGTTCTCTGAGCTTAGCTCGATGCTCTTGCTGCCTCTGCCTTGCACTCTGCTCTGTGGTTTTCATTTTAAAGAAGCTGTAATGTCTGCAGCAAGCTTTGGGTTTGGTTTATTTAATTTTATTTTTTTTCCACTGTATTGCTATAGCTTTGTAGCCCATTACTTCCTATGGTGCGTGTTCTGCTGTGAAAATAGAAGCACCATGTTTCTTTTAGTTGTAATTATTCTAATAAAGGCTGAGATAAGCCACTTGGTTTAAGTGTTGTAAGGACTTGTGGTTTTGGTTCTTTGGTTTTGTTTTCATATTTTTCTTAAACAGTAACTTGAAATAAAATAGATTTTTGTAATTGCATTTTCAGCTCCTGAAAATGTTAAATGAAAACCTTTTTTTTTTCCTTTCTTTGCTTATGAAATGCAAGTCAAGGTGTCATGTCAAAAGCAGGACTAACTTGAAATGCTTATGCACAGCAATGAAGCATGAAAGTGCCCCTTCTGATGTTTATCAGTCTGGAGTTGGGCACTCTTTACCCATCCTTATGCTTTGCCAGGTACACACATTTAAGAAACATGACAAATATTTGGGTCTTCAGAGGCTTCTACACTTGGTTATCTCCAATCTGTTGGAAACTCCATCCACTCAATTATCCACTCAGTTGCATATTAGCTCCATACCTTGGATCCATCATATTTTTCAGTTCTTTAACAGCTTAGAGAAACAAAACCAAGTTGGCTGATGAGGCAAACATCCCTGAAGAAAGGAATTAATAAGTTTCAGGGTGTCAAGCACAGCAGAAACTAATTGCTATTAAAATCTTTAAACAGGAATGAGCAGCATGCACACTTGCTATACTTGCACTTGTTGCTGTTTGTGAAGAAGTGCCTCTTTTTGAGGTGTGCTGACACTACTACTCAGTAATAAACTGTCTGGTGAGTGTAGACCCAATTATGATGTTCTTTGCTGTGCAAATTTTGCACATCTTAGTACAACAGCATCATAAAAGTAAGAGCAAAGTGGTGACATAAGTGGTGAGAATAGGCTGAAGGGGGTATTTTGACCACCAATTTCCAAGGGAAATTACTTGTAACTTGTTTGAAGTGGTACTGGCTGAGAATTTTCTCTCCCTTCAAGAGAAATGCTGACACAGTCACTATTAGTTTGGAGCCTGTTGTTTTTCTTTTAGCTTGTGCTCTGACTTCTGCACAGAGCTCTTCTCCTGGAGCATGCCCTTTGCAGATGGGGGTGTGCCATGTATGCCATTCATGTACATTCCCATTTAGGTTATTTGTGTCTGCAGTCTGGTACTTAAGGGAGAATCCAGTCCTAAAAAGCCGTAGCAGTGTGTGTTCACAGCTGTCTTGTGGACCTTTTCTCCCTGTGGGCCAGGACTGACTTCTGGAGAGCAGTAAACAGTTCTACTGAACCATTTCTGAAAGGACAGACATGAAGTGGCCAACTCAAGCCTCAAAACCAACATGACCTTGGGTGATGCATATTTCAGGCCACAGACTGATTTATCTGATGGCCTCAACATAGGCCAGGTCTAGCCTGGGGATGCTGTGGTGAGCCAGGGACAGGTTGAGGGAAGCAGAGCCACTTCCAGCAAGGATGAACACACAAGGGACAGAACCTGTAGCCTTGACACATGCAGCATTTGAGGTATGTCATGCAACAGGAATGCTGTGGAAAGAGAGTGTAATTTTCACATCAGCAGGGAAGATCTAATTATTAAAGTACAGCTACCTGCAGATACTGCTGTAGTCCATTGCCCAGGCCACGCTAGAGGCATCCCAGAAACCTGTAAAGGGAATGGCTTGGAACACCTGGTCCAACATGTTATACATATGCACAGAGCTTGAAGAATGGAAAAAGTATGCTCAGTGCTATCAGTCCAGCCACCAGAGATAAGGGTACATAATATACAACCTGACATGGGAGTGTTAATGAACATTTCCTCACAAAAATCCAGATAGGAACATAAATGGGAGGGGCTATGCACTCTCTTACTCTGTTCTTATTCTGCAGTTAACAGTTTTAGGTAAGGAAAACTGGATCCACCATTCTCACATTAGATGAGTACTTAAATGATCTACCAGTTGATCAACAAGTGACTTTCGAGAATCCTTCATGATTTTGTGTTGATAATCATTACCACTCCATGGCAAACTTGTTTGCCTTAATTCTGTTGTGTTTATTGCTTGTAAGGGCAGTGGTTCAGTACCTTTAAAGTTTTCTTTTTATTTCTTTTTCCTGAGAGTAAAATGCTGATTAAATCAGAAGTAGATGCTCAATTAAAACAGAGTGATGATGAGGAATACACATAGTGCTGGTGGCTACAGGCTGTGCCCTGGGTGGGGGGAACGCCAGGGGCCCCCAGCAAGGGGCTGTGACCGTGCCAAGGAGTGCAAGGAGTGACTGGTCACCCTGAGACTCAGCAGGAGCTGATGAACAGCAAAAAGATCCCAGACTAAATACCACCACTGGAACGGGCACACAGACTGTGAAAGTGTAAATCTCTGTGAAAGTATGTCTATTTTATATATATACATATATATATATATATATATATACACTGAAAAAGTATAATCCTTTGTTCAAGTTTGTTTGTTGGAAGCACAACTCCAGCTGTTAATGGTGTTGCTGCACCAACATTAAATTAAAAATAAAGTATAATACTGTATATTATAATATTATAATACTATATATTATAATATTATAATATAAAAATTATAATTAATATTATAATAATATATGTTATTACAATATTATAATACTGTATATTATAATATTATACTTTATATACTATACAATACTGTATTAATAAAAGTATATGTATATATTAATTAAAGTATAATAGATAAAGTATAATAAAGTATAATACTGTGATTATACTTTCACAGTATATATATAGTATATATATATAGTATATATATATAGTATATATATAGTATATATATACTATATATATATAGTATAGTATATATATATATATATATATATAGTAGAGTATAGTATATATATATATAGTATAGTATAGTATATATATATATATAGTATATATATCAATATATAGATCAGATGTTCTTTGAGGATCCAGAGGAGTGGGAAATGGCTATGGGGAAGCTGGGGTCCCGCTAGTGGGGGAACCTGGCACCTGAGTGCCGGGAGCCGAGCGGGCACCCCCGGCTCACTGGAACAGCGAAAGGGCTTCGCTCCCGGCGGTGACAGCCCGGGACCAGAGCCGGTCAGACACGGATATTTCCTTACCAAACGTGTGTACAGAGCAGTGCCAACCCCCCGAGCCCATTCCGCCCCGCTGGCCGGGATGCTCCTGCTCCGGGCGGGATCCGAAGGCGGCAGCTCCCCGCTAGATGGAGAGCCAAGCGCACAGAACCCACGGGGAGACGCCGCGCTCGGAACAGCAGCACGGACATTGCCGGGTTTGTTCTGTGATTAAACTCCGCTCATCCGTAGCGAGCGCAGGAGAGCAAATAAATTGTCCTCTAGATCTGTGAGCCTTTAGCTGCATTCAGAGCAGGCTACAAAGCTTGTTTCCACATGCAGGGCTGAGGTTATACTTCTTGACTTCAACTAACTGTCCCCTGCTACCAGAAGGTTTTCCTTTCACCCAAACTTCAAATGACAAAAAGAGAACTTTTCTCAGAGTAAGGGAGTAAAAATTACCACAGGGCCTCTCAGGATGATCGAAACAATACATAATATGTTTTTAAGTATAATGTGGGACTGAATTTGGGATTAATAAGGTCTTAATATTATAACAATTTTTTTTTTTTTAATCTTAGTACAATGAGCTACATTTATCTAGAAATATTTTGGTTTTTTTCTATGAAGAAACCTGAAAACAATGTAAGTAATCTGTCACGGGGACAACACCCATGCAAATCCATTTCCTTTTTTTTGTTTAAGGCTTAGGGACTTCACTTTACAGATGATAAATGACTTCTCTATAAAATGATGTTTTTATTCTTTGGGGTAGTCACTGTTCTAACTTTGTTATTCATTGCAAAAGATAATCCAAAAGCGAAGTGAAGGATTTTACCAGACTAAGAACATTAGACTGAAAAGCAGGGGGTCAGCCTAGGTTCATAATGAGTGCACAGCATTCATTTTGTTGCAACAATGTAAACTGGAAATTATGACTTTTTTGGGAAGGGATGCCACCCAGAGGCACCTTGACAGGCTTCAGAGGTGGGGCTGGGTGAGCTGTAAACCTCAAGTTCAACAAGGCCTGGGCAAGATCCTGCAGGTGGGCTGAGGCAGTCCCCAGCACAAACACAGGCTGGGCAGAGAATGCACTGACAGCAGCCCTGAGGATAAGAATTTGGGGGTGTTCATGGATAAACAGCTCAATATGAGCTGGCAATGTGTGCCCACAGCCCAGAAAGCCAAATGTGTCCTGGGCTGCATCCAGAGCAGCGTGGGCAGCAGGGAGAGGGAGGGGATTCTGCCCCTCTGATCCACTCTGGTGGGACCGCACTCAGAATGCTGTGTCCAGACCTGGGGTACCCCAGGGCTCATGGCTTTAAATTGAAAGAGAACAGGCTTAGATTGGATATTAGGAAGAAATTCCTTACTGTGAGGGTGGTGAGACACTGGCATAGGTTGCCCAGAGAAGTTGTGAATGTCCCATCCCTAGAAGTGTTCAAGTGCAGCTTAGAAGGGGCTTTGAGCAGCCTGTTGTAGGAGCAGGTGTTCCTGCCCATGGCAGCAGGGTTGGAACTAGATCAGTTACCAATTGCAATTGGTGTATTTTCACAGCATAGCATGAGGGGATTGTTTGGGGCAAGGATTGAGGAAAACACGTGTTATCAGTTACCTCACAGCTTTGGGTGAGGCCCAGCACAATTATATTTTTGTTGGCTTTCAAATGCTGCAATCATCGTTGTAACTTCCATATTTCAGGGTATATGATGCTCCCACTATTGCCTGTATGATGCTTTGTTTCTGGGTACAAAACAATTCCCAGCTGCTGTGACTTTGCTTTCAAAACAGGCACTGTCATTGCACACCTGATCACCATTAAAGCCTCATGTAACAATTGGCACTGATTGTTTCAGAGGGTTTTTAAGGACCAGGGAGGCTAGAACCTCCTTCTTCCAGCATGGTCTGTCTAGCTGGTCTCTACTAGGTATGAAGAGTCCCAAGGTAATGCACTGACTGTAAAATTAGAGGAAAATAGTAAGGTATGTAAAGTGTTTTATAACTATTTTTCATGGTCAAGGTCCATGAGCAGCTATAATATTTTATTCTGAGGAATGAAGAATAGTCACTTTCTCCAGTTTCTACTGCCTTGCCTTGTACATTTGTGTTGGATGTGGTGTTTTGTTGTGACT